TTGTCCAGAGGCAAGGTCGCTAACCACTGGACTACGCACGCTACTCTATAATAAAACTGTTGAAACGTTTTACGGAAAGACACTCCAGACTCGCGAAGCCGGCACTCGTGCGACTGAAAACGGGAGTGAGGTGCTGTTGAGTTATCAGAAGGATGCGCGGGGAGCTTTCGGTTATCTAGTCCATTTTTAGTACAGTGCTCTCCTGTTATTTGCATGGACGATTTGTCAGGGAATTTTATTCCTATAACAGGTTTAGTCCAATAACCTTAGGAGAGCCCACACGACCGACAGGGAGGGGAGGTCAGTTGGTTATGGATGATACTGGGCTGGGGCCAATTGAAACAACCACAAACATGATGTTATTGGTATTTATATACTCACTTTCACCCACAACTACATACATGTACCATATTCTAATCTTCAAGTCGCATTCAGAAACTTATAATGAACAGGGCTAACATGGAGATAGAAGATCAGACACATTCCACCTTCATACTGTCTACCCATGTGTTGGGAAAAAGCTTACCAAACCTAAAACAACAGCCCAATCAAGGACACCAAAAAGGAACAAAGGACTTCTTCACACAATCATCATTGGGTGATTGGGGGTTCTCACCTGTCTAGAAGGAAGTGACAACAGAGAAAGTGTATGACAATGGAGGGTGCAGGGGTGATAATGAATGAATAACAATGGACTTCATGCGGATTTGCTGATGCGCAACAAATTACATGTATTTCTTTCACGTACTTCTGGGTCAGTGTGCCATTGACTTGGAAATATTTTAGTCCAATATCAGGTTAAAGTCATAACAGCTCATGCAATTATGCCATGCAATTTATAATGTAGTGAATGGGAAATGGTTTGGGTTTTCAGAATTTTATGCAGATCCCAGGTTTATGCCAATATCAGTGATGCAAATAGTTGGTGAGCACTGTACCAGTATCTATCTGTCTCTAATCCATTGGACAACCTTATGATCAGGCAGAGGAAATTTGTTATGTTTCCAGTGTCTGCTCTCAAAAATTAGGGTTGGTAGATAAGGATTTTTTTCTTTCCTATTTTTTTAAAATGCTGAAGTGACCCAACAAATACAGTTTAACTCTGCATTAGAACTGGGGCTGTCCTCCTTTTGTTTTTGGGAAAATGGACAAATATTTCACTTTATCTTTTTACTCGATTAAAATTTGCTTCTAAAATGCGTGTGAAGAAGCGTTTTGGATGGTTTGAAATTCAGATGTCAGATCAAATATTTTATGACCTTGTCACTAGTCAACCTTCTCAAAAAAATCCTTGGGTCGGTGGGTTTTGCCAGAGTTGGTCAGGAAACCAGAAAACACATTTTCTTTTCTTAGACCTTAGGCCACACCAATTTAATTTCTTGGTTAACGGATTTGCCCACTTCTTTTTTTCTGATTTACAAAAAAAAAAAATTCAGAATCAACTGCAAAATGCTCATATTTTGCCCTGAACAGTTGAAAACAGTCTTTTTCTTCCTAGTTGTTACAGTTATTCCATCTTTCAATGCAGTGGCATCATTAAAAGTTCAAAATTTATTGTTTAAATGTTGAACCAGCCTGGTGTGCTGAGTTCATGGCTCCTATCGAAACATTTTGGGCCATACATGCAATAGGATGCCTAGGCCTGTTTTTATTTTTTTTATTTTTCGCCCGCTCCATTAATTTTTTTAAAGAAAAATCTGTTAACCAACAAGTAAAATTGGTGTGGCCTTATCACAAAGTAGCAGGAATGACAGACGTACTGCAGAGCTATGGAGTAAGACTCAGGGTGGATACAGGTCATGTCCAGGGGGTTCAGGGTCAAGTTTGCTTCTGTTTTTGCCTTCTTTGTTTTCCTCTTTGGCTCAGCTGCTGCTTTCCTCTTCTTGCCTGGTGCAGTGTTGGTGGACTGCTCCTCCTCTGTAGTGGACTTGGCTGAGCTGAAAACCATTGAGAGATATAAAATGAATCTATGATGTAGTAAGATTTTAATTTTGGCAAACGACCCTCAAAGGCATATAGTGTACTTTCAGGGTGGCAAAACCAAAAAATATTGATGAGGTAAGATGAGGAAATCTGTCTGATATTGACATTTGCTGATGTTAATTAAACTTAACAAGCTCTGAGGAAGGTCTCAGATAGGCATCAAAATGTAAGCAGGTGAGAAACATTATACTGGTTGTGTAAAAGAAAACCCCAAAATTCAGTGTCCAATATATTTACATTTTGTACATAATAATCACACTTCATCGTAAGAAACATTGTGTGTATCATTCTGTATTGTCCAAGATAGTTGTATCAAATTTCCTTTAAGTTAGTTAGTAGTGATTCACTACACTTTCCCAGGCAATGTCAAATGAGATGGCCACATGGATAAACTTTGTCATTGACTAATAATTATAAACGATTAAGGCTGCTATAGTCAGGGGAGTTGGTGAGAGAGCCAGTGTGTCATAGGATCGTAAATGTGGATGAGGAAGATGACATCCCAATAATGTGCTTGATTAGGCAGGGCTGGAGACCAGCTGAGCACTGTCCCAGGGTTCTCAAGTGTTTAATTAGATGATGTAAGATGTATTGCATCATTTATTCCACATCTGTGCACTGGCATATGTTATTATGCTTGGGGACTACATGTTGTACTATAGACAGCTGAGCTACATATGTACATGTACACAATTTTACTTGTCAAAAGAAAGGCCAAGTACATGTAATTCTTTGGGGAAGTAAAACTTGAAATAAATTCTGTTATTTCTGCTTCTACCCTTGTACGAAAAAGTGCTATCACTCATCATGTACATTGTACATGTGCACCTACATGTGTACGATTTTTGTTGTACATTGTAGGGGGCAAAGGCCAGTACTCCGTGCAAGTGCAGTGGACCTACATGTACAGTACATGTAGTTTTACATTTTGTAGTCTATAGATATTACCTTCTGATATTAAATGTAAAGAAGTCTTTTGCTTAGGAAATGCTTTTTTTGGACATGTTTGCAGAACTAAATATAATACATGTATGTTTGTGGTGGCAACTTTTTTCTGATATTCCAATGCTCTTAGGCCCGATTTACACGTGCGTCGTTTATATGTGTTGGGCGTAAAACGACGCGAGCGCGCATGCGGCGCCGCACTGCGCATTTTGTGTGACAGATTTTTTATCATGTAAACAACCTCCGCCACAGATGCTTTTTCTGCGGCACGTCCAGGAGGTACCACAGGAAAACCGCTGCGCGGCGCCGCGCATCTGTGGCATCCGCGCATCTAAACGAGCCTAAGTGTGATCCTGCATTCTTCCAACAGCCCTACCTGTTGATACTGATAGGGTTGATCCGGATGAAACCGGCACACTGCTCGAACGTCTTGGGACCGAGCCCCTTCACACTCCTCAGCTGCTCCCTGTTGATGAAGGAACCGTTGGCGTCTCGCCACTCCACCAGCTTCTTGGCCTTGCCGGCGTTCAGCCCCGCAAGACGTCTGGAACAGGAGCGGGTCCTTACAGTGAACATCTTATTACAATTTAATTAATTAGTTCTCAGATACGCTTTTTTGGGAAAAAAATTATAAAAAACACAACAAATTCAGGTTCTGCATGAATCACCTCTAAAATAATGATTATCATATTTTGGTCCCAACAGTTGAAGAAAGTCCTTTTCTACATGTAGTACATGTAGTTGTTAAAGTTTTTCTACATTGTACATGATTATGTACCTGTACATTACAGATATTGATGAACTTCCCCTCCCACACATTTTACACACAGTTTTAACTTATTTCTTGTGCAAAAATCGTTTAAATTGTGTTTAGATTGTGATTGAAAGTCATGTAACACGTGGTTAATTCTCGTGCAAAAGCCATGTAAACCGTGTGCATGTGGCTATCTACATTGTATAACGCATAAACACATTCAATAACATGAACATCCACCCACATTTTACACAAGAAATGAACGCATTTTTAATCATAAGTGCATGGCTTTTGCACGCATTTTAATCAAGAAATGCATGACTTTTGATCATGATTTGCATGTATGTAGATTATTGAAGATCAGTACTGTACATTCCAAGTGTTACTAAAGGAATTGAAGTGGGCACACAGTGCCATAGCCTGGGCATGTCCAGGTTCTGTCATCACCAGAGGAAGCCACTAAATCCCAAGGATCTTCTGTTTAAGTAGTGACTCAGCCTTTCCATCAACACATTCTTATCCCCCCACTGACTGACCTGTGTGGCTCACCTGAGTAAGGTTTCTGAGCAGACGTTTATGTCGACCCCCACAAAACTGACGCACTCCTCCACAACACCATCCAGCGCTGACTTCAGCATGGACTCTGATATGTCATGCTGCAACACAAAATAAACCATCAGCAGTTAACTTTTCAAAATGTTTCAAACGTATATCTTTGAAGGGGAGGGCATTCTGTTGTTTTGTCTTTTGGCCACACCAATTTAATTTGTTGGTTCTCGGATCTTCATAGAAAGCATAATGAAGCAACAGGATAAAAGAAAACAGGCCTATGTACAGTCCCAAATGCTACAATTATTATAGGAGCCATGAAGTCAACATTCGAGAGTACATGTAGTTTATAATTCAAACAATGACTTTTAAACATTTAATCGAAACACTGCATTGACAGATGGGAAAACTGTAAGCAAGGCAAGGACTTGTTACCGGCATGTTGAGGTCAAGATATGTATTTGAGCATTTTGGATTTGATTCAGAACAAAACTGAATTTTTTTTGCAAATTAGAAAAAAAATGAAGTGGACAAATCTGAAAACCAAAGTTCATGTTATATATAGTTTGTTTATGTTAGATCACTGCCATCTGCAACCTCTTGGACAAGTGTAACCCAGGAGGTCATTAGGTCTCCTCTGTGTAACCATGCCGTGTATTACTGTTGGCTGCCAGGGAGACAGAAGCAACCTGCCGTTTCCGCTAAATGTGTACTGACTGGGCAGGGCTGCTGGTCTGGATTACATCATCCTGAACTGTTCTGACACTGTGGTCCTCTTCAGTAAGCACAGAAGAGCCCACAAGTCCTGACACCGTCTGGGGGTGTTATGGTTGTTAAAATATGCTGACTAGGTCAGAAGGTTGCATGAATTGATTGATGGATCAGTGCCAAAAAGCAAATATATAACTAAAGGAGCTACTGGGTACATGTATTTAAAGGCATCCAAAGCCATGCTATGGGATATCTAGAGTTGATTCAACTTACATTAAAACATTAAAAATGACTTTGAAAAGTTTCACTGACCTAAAATTGCTTTCATCACAGTGCTAATAAAGAATTTTTATGACATGCTTGTGGAGATAACCATGCAGTAGCTTTTGATTCTGGGACATGTCAACTTGAGTTCCTAAAACAACTGTACACATACATGTACATGTATGTATGTTTGATTCAATGATGGGAAGCACCGTGTTATCCAGGACAGTAATCTTCTCCAATATTTTCTACAAGACGTAGTGACAGAAGTGCACCCAGGGGCATTTAGTTCCTATGACAGCTATTTCCAAGGATACAGAAACAAGACCACATGACAGCTGTGGCCACTTTAAAAACATGCTGTTTCCATGACTACTGGATGACACCAATGTACATGTCATTGCCATGGCAACCAGATGATATCAACACATGCAAAACATGTCAACGCTTGAACCTGAGAGACATTACTAGTACTGGTTTAGGGCATTGGAAACAGATGGACAGGTACAATGTAGCTTTTTGCTGCTCATATACAACTTGATTCTCAAGTTCTTATCAGTAAAAATCCTCCACAAGCCCTAAGTGGATTAGATGGTACAGTTTGCTACAAACCTGATACATGCCAACTCCAATGTTTTTAGGTTCAATCTTCACCAGTTCCACCAGAGGGTCCTGTAGTCTTCTGGCAATGGACACTACATGCGGAGAACAGAATTCAGAGTTTAGTATGGCAAGGAATCCAATAGTCAGAGTATTTCTACTGAACTCCCATGTGTACAGGGAATGCATTTCAGTAATGCAAAAAACTGTAAGTCCAAAAATCTTATCATAAATTAGGCCACACCGTCTTTAATTTATGGATGACATCCGCGCGCACATTGATTTTCGCCTGTTCTAAAAAAAAACAAAAAAACAAGATCACGTCCTCTGGCCTGGCTCTGGCCTGCCAGGGTAGTCAATGGCAGTTAGGGAGCCGGCGGTAACTCTGGAGGATGGCACTCAGGCTACCGAAGCTCCACGACTCAAGATCTCAGTACACACGTACAGTGCCGATTCATAAACTCTGCAAGAAGCCAGCATGTACCGGCTTGTCGTATACGTCGCTAAGTACTACCGCAAATTTACAATACCAGCTTTGTTATTCCTGTGGTTTAGTAGCATTTTTGGCCGGAATTTTTTTTTTTTTTGCCCGCACTAGTTTGGGGGTCTTCAGAGGATGTCATCCATAAAATTAAGTCAGTGTGGCTTAATAATCACCTGCACTCCTAAGGTTTGGGTCCAGGTCTGGCATCTCTTTCTTAGCCTCATCAGAGACACTGTAGATGGATGCTCCACTCTCGTTTACTATACTGAAATCATATCATACCAAACATTCAGCACTAGTTGTGTCTAATACACTTCAAACTTACTGTACAAGAGGGTCTGCATGGGGGTATCCTGACAACATTTAATGGTAAACTCAGAATTCTATGTTCATAACAACTTAAACATATATTTTACACCATTTAACAACTTTTGGCTTTTACTCGTATCTGCTAGCCATATACAATGTTTCTTGTGCTAACAACAAGGAAAAGGCTGGATGCTATCATGTCTGCAACGAACACATGGAAACACTTAGAAGTACAGTAGTAGCTTTGAAGTGGTTAACCTTGACCCCATCATTACATAACAGGGACATTGACTGTGTGCCAGGGATGCTAATCTGTAGCAGCTGGGTGACTGTTGTATGAGATGGCTTGCTGTCATGTTATCTAGGGCTCAAAATACTTTTCTATAAGTACTGCACCAGTACCATGAACTTATCATTAAGAAATAAGTCCTCGACTTCTTTTTTCTGCACCTGTCAACACTGTGAACGTTTTGTGAATATGTCCATTTTTCTCATACTGTGAACTTTTGCTTCTGTGAACATAGAGTGAATTACAGTAGATTGACATCCCACTGCCCCTACGGCCTGAAAAGGCTACTGGACAGACGACTGACCAGTAGACGACGTCCAGTGGCCGGAATGTGCCCTGCTGGATGTGCTGGGAGAAGAAGGCCTCCGTCTCTCGGCAGGCCGTCCCATTGCCAATGGCAACTGTCTGACATCTGGGACAGATTTACAAGGAGAAACACATTACTACATTTACATGCAATACCAGAATTCCAACAACACAGTTTGTCATCCTCGAACTACATGCTTGTGCCCTCTGATGTACACTGTACACTACGATTTATTTCATTAGTCAGGTCAACAGTCTTGTTGTGAGGGCTAGCCCTTTATAATAGCCTCCAGCTAGTTGGGCAGTCCTGGCTGAATACATATGTCTTATACAGCCTAATATATCAAATCAAATCAAACAGTCATTACATTAATTTTAAAGGGGCATTATGTAACATTTTTGCACCAAAAATTGAAATATTTTTAACTGAAAAAACTTGTCAACATACTTCAATGATCTCACATTTCTGACCTTCACCGTTATTAAAACAGTCCACACGAGGTGCAATCATTTTGTGGCACCACCACAAACTACCAGAATGTAAACAAACATGGCTGACATCATTGAACAAAATGTTAAAGACAAGCCAAAGCCTAAACCTCTGCTTGGAGAATAGTACACCAGCGTGCAAAATACCTGGTTGCCCAGTTGCTCCAGGCAACCAAATTTTAGTTGGGGCAACCTATTTCTAAACCTAGGTAGCCCAGTGTGCTACCTGAATTTGAAGAATGCCCCCCCCCCCAAATCATGCCCAATTGGCTTACACCACTGTATCCGGCAGATGCTTTTTAATTTTAGGTATTAATGGCTATTACTAGTATCAGTTAACTAAAGGCTGTTAGAAATATTGTCAAAGGCTTATGTATGTAACATTACTTAATTTGAGGAAAGTAGTTAAACTTATACATGTAGGTGGTGGTGCAACCTAAAATTCTGATGGGCAACCTAATTTTTGCTGTAGGTTGCCCACTGGGCAACCTGGTTCAAAAAAGCATTTTGTACACTGGTAATCCACCACCAACCTGTGAATCTCCAGAATTCTCTTAATCCTGCCGGCTTCCCGGGAAGCCCTGTTGTCATGGAGATAAACAACATCTGAGTGCAGGATCTGTCCTGTAAACAAAACACTGACATCAGACAATACCTCAGGTGAACAAGAACAATCATGAACATGCTGCAGAAACCTTTATTGCAATAATTATTTATTATCTTTTCACAACTTTTACTGTGTCTATTTGTGCGTTTGCTTCAGTTTCAATAGTCTGTCATGGTCCCAGAAAAGTTTATCTCATGTCCTGGCTTCAATTTCCTGCTACATGTACATGTATTATGCATGTCTGTTTTGTGTCAATGTTGTGTCTTTGTACACCTATCTTCTCACTTCACTCTGATGAAAATGAGTACCTGGCTTTGGTTATGGACATCTTCTCATATTGGAGTGAAAGCTAGAAGTTACAGTAACTCTTTTAGTGTGTTTGAGTCCTATGTTTGAGATCCCCCTGCACTTACTGTAGGGATCCTTCCTGTGTGAGTGGTTCAAACCTTACAGTCCAGGCTTACACAGCTTTAATTTACTTTCTGTACAAAACTGGTGTTTAATTATGGCTAAAGGCAGTTTACCAGTTATGCAAAACAAACAAACAAACAGTGTTGTGTACCACCTGTCGGTGATGTGACAGCCAGCTTGCAGCCGTGCCTGTACCCCGGGTCCACCCCCAGCACCACCCGACCTCTGACCGGAGGCTGCAGCAGCAGACGCTGCAGGTTGTGGGAGAACACTGCAGCAGACTGCTTCTCCGCTGTCTTAGTCAGGTCAGCTCTTTGGTAAACAAACAAAATCAAATCAAACTTTATTGCACAACAATTACAATAGGTGCAATGTATGGCAAGTCCTTCAAAGTACTACATACACGTACAATATATAAAACAAGTATCTACACTTATCTTGAAAGTTCATCTGCATTGGTATAAGTTATCATGAAGCAGTTTAAACTGTAATTTCCAACACAAGGGATTCGACTTACATCTACCCAAATTACATGAATTATAAAAGCATAATGTGACATCATGGAAGCAGTAGATTGCTCATTCCTTGACAAAGACTGGAGTTGCACAGTCGAAAATTTGGGTGAGTCTGATCCCTTGTGTTGGAAATTACAGTTTAAACTGCTTCATAATAATGATGACACTGTACACTAATGTCTACTGTGATGCTTTTGAGTTTTATATGTTAAGACTAACACTACACTATTTTAATAGACAGTAGTTGACTGATGTGTAGGAAAATACATTATGTACAGTATGTCTGACTTTACTTTCTCTGACTTTTTCTGTACAAGCAATTAGTCTTCGGTCATGATTTTGCAAATAAAGATGAATAAACTCTAATATTACACACATAACAATTGTACAAGGTACCTACATACCAACCCTAATGTTTTCAGGACTGAAAAGGAAACATGTTTTTTCTTGGCCTTACCTGTAGTGTCTGATCATGAGAGGCTGGATCAGTCTACTGTAGGCATCTTCCACAGCCTTCTTGATCACCCCCGCCGCGTGCGGTGGAGCGTTCTGTGGTACCCATCGCCGCTCACAGAAGGTCAGGAACCTCGTCTTGACATCATCTGGAATGTTTATCTTCACTGACAGGATCTTCTGACTCTCACCTCGGTTGATGGCCAGCACCTGTCAGGTACATTGTAGCATAATGACATTAGGCTATTACAAAATAAACTTTAAGAGGGATTCTAGCTACATGTAGGTACATGCAGACCAGCACATCGGCAGAATGTACTGCACCTTTGCAAAAAAGGCATAATGTATCTAATGCATCATACTGCATCATACGCCGGTGAAGGTTAGACATCCAGGTAATAAGATACACCAACAAAGTTACTCAGGCACCTGGATAATTATGATTTTTGAAATGGTCAGACATTTCAGGTAGCATCCACTACCTTTGGTCAGTGTCACTGGAGAATTGTCAGGAAAGCAGGTTTATAAGCATGAACTATTGAGTGATATGCAAATAAGTGAAGACAATTTCTATTTTTTGAAGTCCAGAAGGAAACAAAAGTTAGACAAGTCAAGTACATTGTACAAGTGGCACATACATGCTGGTATTTTCGAGGCACTGTACTGAGTTCTGGAGTTCCATGGAGGTTTGGCAGCCTGGGTGCCGTCTTCCATAGTTATACCGCTGGCTCCCTATTGTCGCTAGCTACCATGGACTATGAAGGATGGCACCCAGGCCAGAGCCTTAAAGGAGGTGTTTTTTTTTTAAAACAGGCAAAAACGAATAAGCACATGGATGTCATCCATAAAATTAAATTGTGGGCCTAATTTATAAAACATTGAGTGTTGAGAAGTCTCCTGTACCTGGTGAGGTTTGATGAACTTGAGAGGACAGGAGAAGGTGTAGTACTGCTCAAACTTGTGGGTAGTGTTCTCCTCTTCCTTCTCCTTCTTGGCAGTACTTTTAGACTTGGTAGATTCCAGAGTGACACGCCCGGCCTTGCACCTATATAAACCATGGGAGGAAGCCAAAAGTGACATTTTCACACAGTTAACAAATGAGTCTTCTTGATCTTGTATTACCGGTAGTTGTATTTGAACCAACTTAACCAAAATATAGCACTTTTCCAATTTGGAGCAGATTTTCTGAGCTATACAATACATGTAGTACATGTTCACTAGTGCTGGATGATTTTGCCTAACTGCGTGTAGAAGACTTCAGCATATCTTCATGTTTGCCTAACTAGTAACTAGTAGTACATGTATATATAGTAACAACTATAGCATCTATCAATTTTCTACTCATTTTTGGCATACATTTTATGTACACAAAGTCATGTAGTAACTAAGCACTGTTACACTAGCATCACTAGCAGCTTACAAATGCCAAAACAGAATCACTGACAGTCACAGTATTAGCAACTGGAAATGTACTAGAAAGGAAATATTTACTAATGGTCTAACCTAACAAACTATTGCTTCAAACAAATTCATATAAATGGTTACCAGCCCTTCCAACTTTGTCCTGCCACTTGCTAGCCTGGTTACCAAACCTATTATAGATCCCAAGTCCTACGGCCTCTATCTGCGGAGAGGATGTAGGACTCGGGAGCTATGGTTTTGGTAACCAGGCTACCACTTGCTACATAATGTAACTTAATTCAACAAACACAGGGTGTCTGCTTCAGGACCAGTTTCCATGGTCCAGGTAATTGTTTGTTACGAACAGAAGAAGAAAGAAAAAGAAGAGGAAATGGGGGAAACATACATTATAAACACAGATAAGTCGTCTGAGCAGTTTTACACCTACATAGCCCTGATAGTGTCCATAGTCTCCTTGTCCTTGGAAACCATGTCTGCTATGATGTGCTGAACACCTCTGTCTACTTCCTCTGGAGACTGGAGACCTGTCAAATTAATGGTTCAAACCTCAACTCCCTTGTATTTGTATTGCTGGTCTGTACCAGAATAAAGAAACTTTAAGGTCTTGAAATAACTCTTGTAGGTTTTTTTATATATATATATGATTGTGTATATAAGGGATGTAGATAGTACTATTTCCATATTACTTCCATACAAATATTGCTTCCAAATATTACTTCCATACAAATATTCTTAGCAAGGTAAGTTACCATTTGGCTGGCCTGTTTGTAACCATAAACTTTTGATAGCACTATTCAACAAATATTATACATGTACATTTGTATATGGGTTTAAAGCACTATAATCGAGTTAGTCTGATGACAACTTGACATAAACAATTTTAAGCATTTATAATAATCATTGTTATTTATACTACACATCTGAAATGCTCTTTTTCTACTTTACTAACCTTCTACCTGCTACCTAACCTTGTAACCAATGTAACTTTGGTGCCAAAAGGCTACTTCAGCAGGGGGAAGGTTAATAACTCACCTTCCTCCCCTGGTTTGACCAGCTGCTGAGGCCTGTAGGAGTGTGGTTGTGACAACAGTCCCACTGCTGCTGGTTCTAACCCCAGCTGTCTCGCCCTCTCAGCGAGAGTCGCTTTACTACCAACTTTGTACGGGGCATACTGAAGACAGGAGGGAGGAAAATGCATGTAGTTAATATAAAACATATACCACAATATTCATAAAAGAGAAAAACACACAGTGACTATCTCTAACCAGTAAAATCCTCTCCTGGTTTTGGTTGCTTCCAATTAAGAAAAGATTTTAGGGCACAGCAGCTAGAAACGTACATTTTTGTCTGAAAATAGCAAAAAAAGTCCCATTTTACACAATTATAAAATAGTGTATGCCGAAAGTTAGGAGAATGTTCTAGCTGTGGGCATGTGTCCAAGGCTCCCCCATACCAAATTCCAGGTCATTTCGATTTAATGTCAGGTTGCAAGAGCCGAAAATGTAAATTTTTTGTCTGAAAGTATAGCAAAAAAAGTCCCATTTTCACGATTTCAAAGTGGCATATCACAGTCAAGTCTTCTGCTTATTGCACAAAACTGGCGTGTTTCACCTAAAGGTGGTTTGCTGGTTATGCGAAACATTAACCAACAAACACTTGACACAGTCATGTAACTAACAGGCGAAATCACATCAGTAGTAACAGTCAGCCATCGTACCAGGTGGTCCAGCTCCTCTATAGTTATGGATCTCCTGATGGCAGCCAGTAGTCCATCTGTCATCTTCCCTTGCTTCTCCACCTGCTTCACCACCGTACCTGCCTTTGACTGCACTCCTCTTCATGTACAGACACAAAAGAGAGAAAAAAACATACCGTCACTATCTAAATCAGTAAAATCTTTTGGTAGCCAAATCTGAGGCTCCAAAAAAGAAAAGATACCAGACAGTCTGCTAGAAAAATTGTACTACAATGCCAAATTTGTATGCTCATGCAGTACATTCATCTGTCAGGGTCTATGTCCGGTATGCCTAAATACCTCAACCGACCTCAACCGACCGCGTAATGGGTTAATATGCAGTATACATGGGCTAACAACCTTTTCCAACGCTCTGGATACATTGTCTATGCTTGTATGAACGGAAAAAACACTGTAACTCTGACGTATTTACCAGTTTTTAAAAGTTATTCCTCTGGTTTGACGTTAGAATGCTTTTAATGGCCGCCATGTTGGGTCGCCATGGTTAGGCCTGCATGGGGAATTTCTGGACACCTTTTGCTTTATACAGGCAACAGAACGCAAAGATGTTGGTTTATAAATCATAGTAAAGCACAAATACTATAATAACCAACTCATATTTACTAGTAGCTATATACCGAGTGTTTTCCAGCCTGACATCCAAGCTGCTAAGCACATACGCCTACCGGCTTGACCTCCATTGACCTCCGTCAAACCAGAGGAATAACTTTAAAAAAACTGGTAAATACGTCAGAGTTACAGTGTTTTGTCCATTCATACAAGCATAGACAATGTATCCAGAGCATTGGAAAAGGTTGTTAGCCCATGTATACTGCATATTAACCCATTACGCGGTCGGTTGCGGTCGGTTGAGGCCGGTTGAGGTCGGTTGAGGTATTTAGGCAGACCCGTCTATGTCAGTATCTTTCAAAACTATATAATTTGTAATATAAAGAAGTTGGCCAAAGCCAAAATGAAGCAAATATAACTTAGGTGGCTCGTATCAAATATATTCTGGTTCAGACTTAATCACACTTGCTAACGTCACATGTATGTATCATTAATGTAGTATTTATCTATTTCCAACTTCATGCTTAGACTTTCTAAGTCTTTCCTTGTCAAAGAATATCTGAGAAAACTGTGAACAAAAGCGTGGCATGGAATCTCTTCTAATTACTTGAGCTCCTCGTATGCAGATTGCACCTCCCTGAGTCTCTCAGCCTCCATGTTTCCCGTTTTCTCCTTACGATATCGTGCGATGAACGGCACCGTGCAGCCCTCGTCCAGCAGTTCTATCACGTTAGCGGCGATGTTGTGATCGAGGTCCAGCCTGTCTGCCAGGACGTGTGGCGCCTCCCACAGCATGGACACCCCTGCACTGGAGGTCATGGTGGTACGGCCCGGGGCTGTTGGCTTCTCTCCCTGTTTGGTAGAGGCCATCTTCTTCGAATTCTGTGCCATGGACTAGGATGATGAAAAAAAAGGCAGCACACTGAGCACAGTCAAACAGTTATAACACAACATGGACACCCTGTAACAGTGCTAACTGACCATGCTAAATGGTCGTGCGACCTTTTAGTGTAGTGGTTAGCGTTGGTGACCGCCAAGCGGACAACTCGGGTTCGATTCCCGGTTGTGATCTGCTCGCCCCTTTCAGTTTTTACAGTGGTTCCCATGCCGGCCCTGTGAGTACTGGCACTGAGGATAAGTGTGGCAGCTCCAGGGATATCGGACTCGGAAGATTCGAGGACGAATCTTGAAAGAAAAGGGGGAGTAGTGTAACAGTGCTAACTGACCATGCTAAATGGTCATGCGACCTTTTAGTGTAGTGGTTAGCGTTGGTGACCGCCAAGCGGACAACTCGGGTTCGATTCCCGGTTGTGACCTGCTCGCCCCTTTCGGTTTTTACAACCCCTAAACTGGAGGACATGGTGCTACGGGCTGCTAGCTTCGCCCTGTTTGGTACATGTAGATGCCATATTCTTCGAATTCTGCGCCATGGACTGGGATTAGGAAAAAAACAAAAGGCGGTACAGTGGAACCTGCCTAAGAGGGGGGTACAGAAGAAAGCATGAAAAGGAGTGAAAAAGGAACCTCCATTAAAATATAACTCAATTTTACACTTTTTACACAATGTAGACAGGGGTAACGGGGGGTGTCCTAATTCCGACCTACCCCTAATTCCGTACTAGTTTGAAAAATCCTTGTCGCCGCGCTATGCATGGGAGCACGTGCCTATAAATAACCACAAGAATGGACAAAGTTTCTGTGTTGATATCGGTATTCTCACAAAGTTTGTTCCAGTTCGCACGCTCCGATAACAGACGATTGAAAAATCTGTATAAATTTGACGCTTGTTCGGGGGTTGACGAGCGTGTTAAAAAACGCAGCTTTGATTTTGAAACAGCCGCTTTGGAGCAAGTAGCGTAATGGTACAAAGAAGAGTTGTTTGGGACAGAAAAATAGTTATAGATTGTTTTAGTCATAATTTGTGTATTTTAGATACCTAACTCTCTCCTCAGATTGGCCTTTGTTAGATACTAGGTCGGAATTAGGGCACCCCTTTTGCGATAGAACGTTCCACCGGCAGAATGACGAAAAACCTGCCGTAAGTTTCGCGAACCATTACGCTTGGGTGCAAGGCGCCACACTAAAGTGAAATACACAGCTATTTAGCTTTAATCGTTGTTATCTTTATCTGTAAATATTATAGCTCGTGTTAGGCGGGTTTTTGGTGAGACAAACCATTACCAAAGGTATGTGCGTTTGCATGGAACATAGGTCGGAATTAGGACCCCTCCCGTTATATATTATCAAAAGGGGTACTCTTGGACGGATAGGACAAATAGACTTGGGCAGCTTGCTTAACGTCTTTTCACTGTTAATACTGATCAAGTGTAAACAAGGGAAAAGCACAGAGAGATAGACATAATTTGACACATGCAAATGTGGGGAGGGGGGCGTCTTCTATACTGGACTGTTTTCGATGATAGAAAGGTATGCTATCGTCAAATTATGTGATACAACGTTAGCAAATGTTAAATGTACTTACTACTAGTATTAGGTTGTAGGAAAAGCCAGGCTATTTACAAAGGTACGCCTGTGGTGTGGTCGAAGAAGTCCCTGGCGTGATCATGCCGCGAATCATCACACCAGCTGCATTGTGACGTAGACGTGGTGGTTTTGCAGTGTTCAAGTCTCGCGGGCCGTGCAGTAGCGCCGACTATCGACATACAAAGGTACTGAACGCTGCTTTAAAGTACTAGTACATTGGTGTGGCAGGAAGAAAGTTTGGGGAGGGTATGAGCCACAAGCAGTCAAAATTTGCGAAAATATATTTCTTACACCAGGTTAGAAGGTAAATGATGGGAATAACATGCTTCTGGTGTATTACTATAACGCAGGGTGCTGTAACTTCGGACGTCCCCTAACTTCGGATGAATTTGTAATTGTCTAAATATGCAGAAGTAAGCCTGACCTGTTGTCACCTTATATTTAGTATACATGTTGAAAGCATCACCATGCATGAATTATGTATTTATTGTCATCATTTGCATAATTTGTGTAGAAATGTTCATTCTGCCAAACAATAGGATTTCCACCTTACGATACATGTAATTACCATAAAGGAGATGTCAATGGACATAGACTCTGCTAATCAGAAACTCATTTGCATAATCAATGAGACACAGTGAAACAAGAATTTAACAAACAATCTTTATTATTACTTCATGGAGGTATGAGATCTTCCAGCTCTTGTTCTGATATGTGTGCAAAAGCATTACTTACAGGCACTCTATGATATACACTGTATGTATGAAACATTGCATGTTCATCCGTGAATAGTTTCATCAGGTTGGTAAGACACTGAGTAAAGAGACTCTTTTTACATAACCAAGTCTTTTATTCAGCCGACATTTCGGTGACCATCTGTCACCTTCCTCTGGGCAGTTCTGACTGGTTCACATTACTACAAAATGTAGTATGTATATATATCCAACTTCTGCACATTTGGGAATGTATTGTAGATACATTTCCCTGTAATCCAATCATGCATATGTGTAGATATGTAATATTGTACATTTGGCCATTTTGGGAATGCATCTGTAGCAGCGACACCCGTGCTGCAGTGCAATGTGAACCAGTCAGAATTGCCCTGAGGAAGGTGACAGACGGTCACCGAAACATCTGCCGAATAAAAGACTTGGTTGTGTAAAAAGAGTCTCTTTACTCATTGCATGTTCATGTTGATATGATTATATCAAAGGCAGTTGTACCACGGTATGTTCCAAAATGATTTCAAAGTATCATTAGCAACAGGCATTATACAATGTGCATGGCTTTTTCTTATTTGAATATTGCCGCTTCCTTATAAGCTCTTTTATATTTATAAATACATATTTAGAAATGACAACATGGCATATCATTCCCCTAAATGCATTCTATCATTGCCCCAATAATAAAATTGAGCCCTTTGTAGCAAAAGCTTTTCTTCTTTACTTCTGAAGATATATTTTTCATACACTCTTGTGTCCATACGGACAATTCATGCATTCTTTTAGCCTTTCTTCTACTCCATATAATATATACATGTACCACCTTTAATAAACTTTTACTATATATAACTTAATTTCACATTTTGTTACAACCATTTACAAACATGCAATGATGAAGTCAATATTGGTCTATTTGATCACCCTTCACATAGAGACATGTATATACAATGTACATACATGTACACTTGTATTAGAGGTTACAGTAGTTTTGATTGGCAGTATGTACAGTTGATAGAACACAATGTTGCTCAGTGAGGCTTGAGAACAATCTGTAGCTTGAGACTGTCGTTGACTAAATAGTGTGAGTCAGGTGAGCTGAGTTCCTGAATGGGGATGATGTTGTTCAGCAACATGATTCTGTTCTCTGCGTTGAAGAGGAATCTGCGCTGGACCACCTGCTCCACATACTCCACCCCCCTCTGCTGTCCGCAGATCAGTATCGCGACCTCCACGTTACGAACCTCCGCGTCCGTCGACCGCAGGATGAATCGGACCTCGCAGCTCTCCTTGGGCTCGACAAACTGCATGCGGACCCAGCTGTGCATGTAGCACCCCTCCCACCGCACACCCTTAGGATAGAATTCCACCACCCAGCCCCACTTGTCTACATCCGCGTTCGAGTTGCTCTTCTTCGTTTCGAACTCCAGCGTCCGTAGCTCGCACGTCGGCATGGACGAGTATTCCTCGGTGACTAGTCCGGCGCTGAACTGATTGTCTGTGTAGTTCCGGCACCAGTACTTGATGTGCTGGAGCTGGTTGTGCGGCCGGTCTGACCGCGGGAGAGCGTGGTAGCGGAAGGCCTCACTGATCTCGGTGGTGTAGAGGTCCGGGTACTGCTGGGCGAACTGCGTACTCTCTAGCTGTAATAGCTGCTGGGGAGTCATCATGGGAAAGCGGATATGTGGCAGGAACTCGGTAAGTAAGTCTTTCGCTCTCCCCAAGTTCGGGCCGCATTCCTCGCGGATCCAGGCCTCCACCGCCACGTAGAGGCTAAACTCGTCGCGGATGACAATATCCGAACTCTGCAGCAGAGCCAGCAGGGGTTTCTTGCCCCAGTTGAGCCAGTCGGGGGACTCGACCACCGTCTCCATGTTCCAGACGATGAACTTGTGGCACTTCTCCTCCAGGTTCTTGTGGTGGAACATGTGCGCCTGCTGGAACCACGAGACGGCGTGCGTGCTGTTGCTGTCCGCGGCCAGGTGCTGCGTCATGAAGTTCACACAAAGGTCCTTCAGGTTTGTCACGTTGTATTTATCGGCAAGAACTAAAATCGGAAGTACCGTCTCCATGTTCATGTAGATCTGCCCGGAGTACATGTAGTGCAGAAACTCCGCGAACACGGCCTCGCACTTCGGATCCTCCTTCAGCTCGATGACCTTCTGCTGCGCCTCGGCCCAGTTGGCGTGGGTCAGCATGACGCGGAACACGTCGCTGGCGTTGACCAGGAACAGCTTGTGCACGTGGAAGGTCCGGTTTCCGACCTTGAGCGTGATGTCGCTGAACTGGGAGGTGACCAGCAGGTTGGAGATGCTGCAGAGGAAGGCCGGCGAATTGTCGATCAGCTCCTTGGGAACAGTCTCTTCCTCATCCTCCTCAGGATGGTCTCCTTCTTCTTCAGACGCCATCTGATGGATAAGACAATATCTTTAAGTTAACCTTCAATAGAAATATACGCACTTACAGAAAAGAGAATTGATCAAACATCTTATGTCATCCAGGCACTACGGTGTAAATGAAAAACTATGTAAATTTGTTCATGCTCATTTCAAAAAGAGAGAAGAGATCCTACATAGACGTAGCACTTGTTCCTCCTACCTCAGTTATCTAATGTAGTACATTTGGCCCATGTAGGTCGTGAATATGCAATAAACTTCATTGTCATTGTCCAGTCTGAAATGATAATATCCTGTTTTCATTCATTTGTACTCATTGATTTTATAATTTGTTCAGAAATGGTAAATACTCCCAAAAATTAAATTGTGTGTCTAGAAATATTTCTTAGGAGCATGCAGTGCTGCCATCAAAACTTGCATAAGTCCAAACGTTAACATTATATACACAATATCTATTTCATTAACGGCAAAGAGGAAGATAAACTGCATAGCTAAACAGTCATCATCATTACGACCTTCTTTAATTTGCATCCTTGCTCTGTGATCATGATACTTTCACTCTGCATGTATCTATGCACAAAAAACACAATATTGGTGCGATGTCCTGCATATCAATGTTGGATACAATGATCTGACTTCATACTCATACTGCACCTAGATTTTTGCTGGTTTGCTGATCATCTTGTGGTTATGAGCACGGGTCCTCCTAAATCAAAATGTTATTCTGGAGCCCAGGATTTGTTTTTGCTGTTGAATATAAACAACCAACAGTGATTGTGTTTTTGTATGTCTGTAAGTTTCGTAGAAGGGACACTTGCCTTGCAAGTTTCACATAATTTTATCATACTTCCTGAAACCATATATAATTTGATTGAGTCACTGACAGTCCAAAGCTTTCTCTAAACGGTTCGCAAATGATTCTCAATTCGTATCAAGTAGGAACAACAACAACAAGAGGACCTCCCCGCCCTCTCGCCCCCCTCCCCACACAAGTGGTTGCCAGTGCAGTTTCTTCAGACCGATCGATACACCTTCACTGACAGCGAAGAGACACCACACTGCGGATGACACACATAGACACTGTCGGGTTTCACATTTCCCCACCAACCTTACCTTAGTCCGAGGGCTGATATCGTCCATCGCACGCCCGTACCTTCCGCCTGTCTCCGCAACCACATCAAAACAAACCTACTATATCACGTACGCCACATAGCCAGACTTTATTTTCGATTTCCTCCCTGCCTACTGCTTCTGATTGACATATTGACCTTATATTGGCACGTATCGCCGTTTCTCGCGAGACTTCACGTCGCGTTGCTGACTGGACCGTTCTATTCTCAACGAAGGGGTGACTATGTGCCAGCCTGTTTGTCAAGTACTACAAATGTATTATAAAAAAAAAGTACTAGTACACAGTACTTAAATGGCTTCCACAAATGTGACAAATCTCAAGAAATACTGCAGTAAAAAGATTTTAAAACGTAGAGAATATATAACCCAGTGGACACCATCACACGCTTGTCTTTACTCGTGTCCAAATATGATTGAATTCGAACAATGCTACTGATGATAATCTCCAGTGTAAGGCCATCTTGATTTGATTATATGGATGACATCCACTAGGAACCCCAACACTGATGCGAGCGTGCGAATAAAAAAACCTTTGGCAAAAATAAGTTGCCTTCATTATGAAATCTAGGGGGTCATGAAGGTTGAACAAATGACACTGTATTTAATTGGCATGTTAAAATTCTCATTCTAAAAAAGACTCATAAAACTCGACGGAATCAATCAGAAATGAAATGATGATGATGACAAACCAAAAGAATTTTAGATTTTTATTAGCATTTGAAGAATAAGCGAGCTAGCGAGCAGTTGCAGTCTCTTCTGGTTGTCTTTGTAGCGTTGCGTCTGTTTACTAGTGCTGAATAATGAGCAATGATGTAGAAAATGCCTTTCTCTTGTCTGCTTGTGTTCGTCCACCGTGTTCAATAGGCCTGTAAGAAATCAGAACAAAAGAAATCAGTACAAACGTTAGTAACTCCGTCGTATGCTCTGTTCTAATACTAATAATATACTTGGAAAATTGAAATGTGTCTCTTTCAATGTTCACTATTCAGTGAAGATATCGATGAAGATGATAGCAAGAATAAAAAGACAGCAGTATTTTGCAGGGCACATAGATGACTATCCAATGAATATCAAATGCCCTCAGTTTACGCGATCGTGCGACGATTGCGCGACGTATCTAACCCGGTCCAAAGTAAACACCGTTAAAGGCTCAATTACTGTAATTACAATGCGGCTTGAATGTAGACTTTCAGTACCTGGGCGTTCAAGACTTCATCACTGTCATGTCCTCGTCATCACAGGCGTCCCCTTTCCCATCGCCGTCCATGTCAAGTTGGTCAGGGTTGTGGATTCCAGGGCAGTTGTCCTACAACCAAAAGTTGCATGGATTCAATAAGTGTCAAGTTAAAGTTTATTACAAATCGCCATGGTATCGAGACAACAAAAATACAACAAAAAGTGGCTGCGCTGCGCTGGGGGGCCCAAAACCAATCTCAGTGACCATTGCCTTCACAAGATCTACCCACATACCAACTATTCATTCAAGTTGTTGCTGGCCCAAGTATTACCTGCAGTGATATCGATCGACGACATGCACAGAGAGTTGTGAAGACGACTAGTCATGCCGCCGCAGCGGAAAGATTCCGAGCGACCTCGACTGACTAGTGTGTGTGTGTGTGTGTGTGTGTGTGTGTGTGTGTGTGTGTGTGTGTGTGTGTGTGTGTGTGTGTGTGTGTGTGTGTGTGTGTGTGTGTGTGTGTGTGTGTGCTGGCCAAAGTATGAAGAAACTTAAACGATCAGCCACAATATAACGCCTTGGGCCAAATCCTCTTTCACGGACATGACAAGTTGTATCATTATGAGTAACAACGTTTTCATTAGACAGTACTTATCTAGAATAATATCTTTTGAGTTCGGATATTCAATACAGCGATATCATATCACAATGTACCTATTAACAGCTAAAACCAGTATTCAGTTGAACACCAAACAATTATCGTTTACTTACCACTGAACAGATGTCGTTCCCACATGAGATGGGGACATCAGAAAAGTTGTCCAAGTCGTCATCACGTCCACAGACGAGACCATCGCTTGAGCCTGCCCAGCCGTCAGCACACTGCAAATAAGAAATAATACAAGCTATTACTAGTATATAGATGGCGAAAGAAAGTCATTTGGCTGCTACAGGAGTATATCAGAATATAAACATAAGGCTTTAAAGGTATCACGTAAAGTTGCTTCAGTTTCTTATACACCATGTAGTTTCTCAGAAACGCCAAGCTGTCGGATGAGGATTGTTTTTAAGGGTTGGTATCTGGTATCTTCTTGCGCTCACTCGCCGGTGGTTTATTCGGTGGTTTATCAGTTACGGTCAAGCGTTATGTCATTGTAACACCAACGGGATGCGCGGGTCACAAACGTTTATACATGTATTATTACCATATAGCCAATTTAAACACTGACATTGTTGAATTGAAATACATGTACTATCATTCCATCCAGTGTAAATTATTGGCGAATCACTAATGTTAATGACCTAATGGTAATTACTAATTAGGAATGGAGGTTTGTGATTGGTCCACAAAGCCTCTAAAATCTAGTGTTGTTAGACGGTGACCATTAAAATAAAATGCCGTGCTAACCTCACAATGAACATTCCCGCCAATGAGACGACAGTCTGCACAAGGTGCCTCACCACCGACACATTCTGTATAGGGGACATAAAAATTTACATAAAAATCTGTTCTTACCAATACAAGCCATGTCTTGAAAGTTCATCTGTGAAGATGTCGCCATGAAGCAAGTTCCAAGACAAGAAAATTTAGGAAAGTCCAGTTTTTTTTGTGTTGAAAATTACAGTTGAGACTTGCTTTATAAATTTTTTTACATTTAATACTTATGATACACATAAACATTGACTGTTTACAAATAACTACTAAGAGTACTTATTTTGATTTTTTAAATACAATTTTAAACCTTTTCACATTGAAGGTATTTGTCAGAACGAATACTAGTATGTAGAAAGCACACTGATAACATACGCGCCGCACACTCCTCTTTGCTTGTCGCCCCCTTGGAGACAGCGCTCGTACCGACAGGACAAGGCTTGCAGGAAGACTGTCCCAACTCGTCCTGGTATTCCTGGTTGCCACACATCACACAGGTGATGTTGTCTGCTGCCTTGTAGGTTCCTCTGGGGCAGACCCCTAAATTGAAGAAAGTTATAGCAGTTCTATTTGCACATGTGCAATGGGATGCATTCTGGTCAAAGTTTAAGGACACCGATATAGGAACAGAATATTAAAATAAGGATATTAAAATAAACTCTGTATTACCATAGTATAGTACCCTAAGACTTATGTATGTATGTCTAAGTAGTGTATCTTTTGTCTCCACTTTTCTACATACGTTTGTTATGTGTCTGTTAAGTCTTGACCTGTACCTAGCCCGTCGTGGCATGAATGTAAAGGTATCTCATTTCATTTCATGAAACATTGACCCCTGCAAATGCGCCATTTGGAACTATAAGCATTAACTAATCTCGAATCAGAGGTTTGGGTTATTTTTGGCGTGTTTTTAGGCTTTTTTTATTAGGCTTACTTTTTTTGCACTGGATTTTTTTTACCCAAATTCCAATGCAAAAAAAAAGAAACCCTGATAAAAAGCCTAAAAACATGCCAAAAATAACCCAAACCTCTGCTTGGAGAGTAAGTATTAACATCTGACGAACTGATACCGTGTATTTTATCAGACCAAATTTCGTGAAAAACACATAGGCAAATACAATTTGCGCCAGATGGAATTCGAAGGTACAAGGTTCTACAGTTGCAAGCTAAAAACAATTCAAAGGTTATATACCGGTTTCCTCTGAAGCAGCGACCGAGCGCAACAAGCGGCAGCTGTGATCACTCTGATGTGCAAAGCCATCGTCACACCAGCAGCGGTAACCTCCTTGAGAATTCGTGCAGATGCCGTGGTTAGGGTCACACGGACCCTTCCCGTTGTTGGCGCTGCATTCATTCACGTCTGGAACCATGTAGAGACGAACACAATAATCAGTATTCAAAGCAATCATTCAAAGTTTCGCTAAATGCTTGAGAGCTTACATCAAAATGTATACTACTAGTATATTGTAGTGTTTACAGTGTATAGACATGTCAAAGGCAATATTATTCAGATGGCCAGAATAAAATGGAATGAAAAAATGAATGGTCCATTTTTGCACAGGCTTACAGGGATCCATGGTATGAATCAAAATACCATGGAGCACTATGCTAGCCTATGTTACCTTTTACCAAGAACTCTAGTTATGTTTTGGGTATAGCGTTCGTTTGTGAGAGTGTTTGTAACTCGAAAAGGCTTTAAATGTAGTCTTGTTGGTCGGTAGGTCTTGATGAGACCTCAAAATTATTAGATTTTCGCGGCTTGACGCTTGTGGTCGCCCACCCAACATGCACGCTACTGTAAAGGATCGCAGTCTTTAGGATGGGAAGCGTTAAACCGTGGTCCACTGTTCATTGTGCTTGTCTTGAAGAGATAGATGAATTTCCCCGGTACAGCGAACCTGTAAATACTGCACATAAACTCTGTTTTCTTTGTTACTACCATTTAGCATCAAATTAATACTTAAGAAATGATAACTGTGATGTCGACACACTTGCCTGTCTGACAGTTGACACCTGTCCATCCCGGTGTACAGTCACACCTGTAACCGTTCGTCAGATCTCGGCAGGTGCCATGAAGGCATGGATAACTGGCACACTCGACAATGTCTACAATGTAATAAATACATTTATTAAGAAATATCCAATCTGTCACAATCTTTCATCAACCAGGCAATTGCAGTATGGACGTGACGGTGACGGTGACCTCTGGACCCGAAGTAAAAGGACTATGTAGACTATAGAATAGAAAAACCAATGTCGTAAGATCAGCATTAAAATTCCATTTGACTTGGCCTGCATGTAGATATCAGATATGTGTTAACTGATAAAGAATCTATTCAAAGCTAATTAACCTTTCTTGCTATTGAATTTCAGATACATACACTTTCTTAAACAATCTGTACTTACTATTTAAAGAACCGAGCATATAGTACAAAATAGAACATCATAATATAAAAGATTTCTCTTTGATACTCACTACGGCAGTATCTCGACCCATATAGCTGGTACCCAGCCCGACAGGCACAGTCGACGTTGACGTAGCTTCCTACGGTATTCCGACAGATGTGCTCGCAGCCTCCGTTGTTAATGGAGCATTCGTCGAAGTCTTGGTTGGAATAGAAAGGTAGATTAGTCCATTGATGGTGAAACGTTAACTTCCTTTTTTTGCTTCTCCATACATTCGGATGTTCATCTTTTATCTTATTCCAAAGTCAGATATTCAATTTAGGATTTAGGAAGGGCCTCACTTGCTGCTCAGTGTCAACAGCCTTGCAGAGACCCTATTTTGTTTCAAAATGAAGTAGATATTGAACTAGCGTGTTTCAGTCATCAGGTTTGCTCCTGTACTAACTGAAAGTAATGTCCAGTTGAATAGTATCAGGAACTACAAAAAAATCAGTCATTTTACAAAAAAAAGGAATTTTGTTTTTTACCGTTTCTATTTTCATAATTAAGCCATGTTGATTTGATTATATGGATGACATCCGAGCGCGCATGAATTTTCGGCCGTTTCAAAAAAAAAGTTTTCAACCATACTGTAAATCGTGCAAAACATTTGCTAAATGAGCAAAAATATACCACAAGGTGCAAGTAAAACATTTAGAAACGATACCAATGTCGTAGAATGCCAAAATCAAAGGAAAAAAGACAAATTAATTTGAAGAGTAGATTATTCGCCATAACATATTCTGTGCCATTTGTTCAACCTTCATGACCACGTAGATTTCATAGTGAAAGCAACTTTTTTTTTTTTGCAAAACTTTTTTTTATTCGCACGCGCGCATCAGTTTTGGGGTTCCCAGAGGATGTCATCCATATAATCAAATCAACACGGCCTTACCACAAAACCGCCAGTATCCGCTGGATCCCCATCCGGTGCTGTACCCAACATGACGGATCGGTACCGGGACAGGATCTCTCCACTGCATGAACGAGTGAGTCTCTCCCATCTTGCCAACAGATATAGTTCCGTCTCGAGACCAAGTGACCCAGAAGCCTCTGTTCACTGATGCCGAAAGAATGCCTACGTTGTACATGTAAAAGACGTAATACGCAATTAGCTAAGTGTTTTCTCATTTACAGGGCTAATTTATGTTTAGAAAAGCCTTCCAGATTACCTAACAGGACAGGTGAATTTAGTGAGACATGCATGGCTGTGCTAAGAATGCCCCTAGTTTACGATCGTGCGACGACACCTTTGATTGCTAAAACATAACATTTTTCTCTCCATCTCAATGCCCGTGGACTGTTCCATATCAACTTTTTGCAGCAATCCACCATCCGAATCTTACCTCTAACCACAAATGCACACTCCAAAATGGAATATGTTATTTTGAACTCTTAGTCTTAACTTCATTCAGCCCTAATTTTAATGTTCAATGTGGGTCACGGTTCTCAATATAATGCTGCATGCTTCGACTTCAAAAGAAGCGCCAGCCGAATGTTGGACCTCGCAAGCTTGCACGCCCCCGTAAAAATTAATAGATAAACGCCACCGCACCTACAAAGCCTGCTAGACAAATACAATGCAGCTTTCACTTCCATACTTATGGTAAGAGAGCAGATTAATATTACGTATACCTGGTGTCCTCACTTCTACCAGGTTGGGTCCTTGCTTCCTTCGGCGGATGACTGACCATTGGTTGCTCCACCCACCAAGGACGATTTCGTACATTGGGTTGTAGTCATGATTGTAGGGCGACAAACCGATGTAAGCGTCGTTTCTGGCCTTAACTGTGAACTTGAAGGGCGATCCAAGAATATCTGGTTGGTTCCATTGGTACCGATGCCAGGTACCCGTGCTGGCAGTACCCACGATACTACAGGAACTGAGGCTGGTGCCTATTAGCAATATCAGAAAGGCACTTAGCAATCAACAGATGATCAGCAACTATGATCAGCTAGAATGAAGAGTATTTACCATCCTATTTTGACAGTGCATTACAAATTTTTCAATTTTATGTTTTGGACAGGACAGTTAGATAAATCTTTCGAGATATGAATAAGCCTACCCAATGTCGGAACCAGCAGGCAGAAGCCAGTGACTAAGAGGAAGAGATCCCTCATGATTGCAATTGGTGATGTTCCTCGCCTGCAGGTAGTATATTTTACAGTGAATGATCAAAGATCATGATGATGTTTTAAAGGCATCCCATGAAATATCAGGGCGGCAAAACCGAATCTTCAATGTCAACTTTCTGGTCACTTTTTTAAATGTAGTAAGTTGAATCAACACTATGTCATAGCGTACTGATATCTAGATCTGGGACAAAAAGGCAAAAATGCGATGTCGACGTCGCTGACTGAAAATGGTTGCTTCTATCGTAGGCTGCTTCTAGCTACTTATGGGCGGTACCCAAAAAATAAAGACAAGCACCGTGTAGCTTTAATTTCTAGTTCAAACGCTTAATTAATAAAATGATAATGAAATGCTAAAAATGATAATGAAATGCTAAAAAAATGGCAGTAAATGTCAATATCTGACAGATTTCCTTCTCAAGAATATTTTGCCACCCTGAAATTGCATTTGATGCCTTTAAATCTTCCCTATTTGATATGTTAGCGAGTCCTTCCTAATCATAGATTAAACTCCAAATGACCCAAATATATTCAGAACCATATCGCATAGTGAGAAATGCCCCTACTCAGACATAAGATAAAGCGGGAAATGCATTATTTGCATTTCACACCTACCATCTTTCATCTTTCATTGTGACACAAATTACAATAAGATAGACATGTATAAAACACTACTCAACTGGCAGTTTGCAGACCTGGTAGATGGGCTGTCAAATCTTCTGGCCTTTTTGCTGGTACAGAAAAATCGCAGGCTTTTATAATTTTATATCACAAGTTTAAAACATACACGGAAATGTCACGCTGATACAAATGCGACAAAACTGCACACGTAATATTTTCTAACCGCTTCAAACCACTTCAATATCTACCAAGTACAGTTGAATAGCCAAACTGAACTCGGGTTCGTGAATGGTAGACACGAGTGTTAACCATACAGGATTTTTTTGTAATTTCCAAATTCACTTCTGCATTTTATACGCTTATTGTTAGACAGATGGTGTTATGTTACAAGCTCTTGAGCAGGCGTAAATTGAGCCTAGTCATCAAAAGCCGTAGGCAGGTTTTCAGAGTCAATGCTCTTAACATTTCTTGTCTTCAAAGCTGCCGGAAACATTGTGTACTAAGGCACAGGGTGAAGGAGAAATTACAGAAATTAAAACGCTGCAAGTAAATCAAGTAAATCCTAGGTTTTTAGTGAACATATACGCACACGTTTTAATTTCTGTAATTTCTCATTCACCCTGTGCCTTAGTACACAATGTTTGCGGCAGCTTTGAAGACAAGAAATGTTGAGCATTGACTCTGAAAACCTGCCTATGGCTTTTGATGACTAGGCTCAATTTACGCCTGCTCAAGAGCTTGTAACATAACACCATCTGTCTAGCAACAAGCTTATAAGAAATCCAGAAGTGAATTTGGAAATTTAAAAAAAATTCTGTATGGTTAACACTCGTGCCTACGTGGCTGTAACTTATTATTTCATTTATCTAACTTTAAATCTTAGAAAATCTAATGAACTTAACTTGCTGCAATTCAATAATCCTTTGGTATTGAATACCGTTCTGCATGTAACATCGCATTCTTTGATTTTGACATCGGGAAGGTTCCCGGAACCTATTGCGTGAACTATGCAGGATGTGTATCGTGTGCTAAAGTAATAGCCAATATCTCGAATGATATATCTACCCGAGACGAAAGTAACATATATTGTCATATGAAGTTGACCAACAGGATACTAGTTTATCCCTATCAAGTATGGGTATTCGTTGATCCTAAAATCATACGACGGATACTGAACTCATCTCCACCCAAAGTTTCTGATGTCCGTAAAGATATTTTGAAAGTTTGTTTTTTACATGGGTGCATGTTCCATAACAGGTTTACAGACACCACTACGTAGAACAATGAAACTAAAACGTTAAATTTCAACGTATTCAAAAAGGGACGTAGTCTCATATTTGACAGACAATTAAGTACATACGAGTATCATAAAACAATGTTTATATTTTCTATGGAAAACATCTGGAAACTCTTATATATAGCTGCATGTCTCAGAACAGGTTTAAGCAATACTAATCAAAGTCAAACACAAGTATACAAAGATGACAAAAGCCACATACTTGATATCTCTACATGTTGTAATAATAGCTGATTTGTTTTCTATGTATTTTTCAATTCAGCAATTCTTTCAACTCCCGTTATTCAAAACAGTTGTAGTGTATAGATTGACTACTTAATAATCTTATGAAATTCGAGTTATTAACACTCAAGTATTTATTAGCTATATTAACAATCGTTCACGGTAAGGTTGTTTTTCTGAGTCTGAGCATATCAGGAATGTAAATAAAATTGCTATAATGTGGCTACTTACGTTGAAGACCTACACACACATGTCATTTCCCCTATGATGGCATTTCACTGTACATGCGTGTTCTACTCTAGTGAATATGTTTGAACGCAATTTTTGCTACAGTAGGAGATTAGAATCGAGCCACGCGACACGATAATCACATGGCCTTGTGTTAATTTTTTTCACTTTAATTAAGAGCATAGTGAGCAAGTGAGCAAGTTTATCAGTAGCAAAACGAACAGAAGTAGAATGAAGACTGGACCAAAAGAGAAACGTATCTCTTTTGTGCAGTAATCTCGACGTTAACAAATCCGCCGAGCTGAGAAAATAATGACTATAAACAAAATCAAAGTAAATGAAAATGTCACAAACCATTTTTATTTAAACTATACTCAACACTCGACGCCCAAATGAACAAATTTACCAATCCTAGCCTCCTGTCCCTTAATTCCCTCTTCCACATCTGGATGACGGAGATCACGTCGGGTATTTCGGGTGTCATGTTCCACGTGATCGCCTACCTGTTGTTAACACCTGTGTTATACTAATGACCATGACTGGGATGACGAAACACATAACCCCTGACCCCAAGATACAGGTGAAAGGTCAGAATGCATGTCAAAGTCCTCAAGACCGCCTGTGAAGTTTTTAGCATACGGTTTCAGCCATGATGTAGTCGTCATAATCCAGAATTAAACACTGTGCAATTCAGTGTAAACAAGAAGCGAAGGGACCAGTTGCGGTAACGCATATTTCCAGCGGTTATACATGATAATGATCAGGATCGGGGCTTTGAACCGGCGGTGGTCGACGACGATTGCCGCCGGAAGATGGCTGCGTTTTCACCGGGGAGCCACTTCGCAAGGTACGGTGACTGACAGTTCCCGATGATGAAGTCCAATAGCCCAGCTTGTGTTGTCAGTAGCTCAGTAGTATCTCAGTATGTCTAAAATTACATGTATAACGTTAAGTTTTAGGGACTCCAGATAGCAAGTTCAAAGTACAGACGCGTTGTTGATTTAATGACATTCTATTGTTTAAATAAGGGGTTTATGGAAAAGCTGGGTACCAGTCTAGCCGTGGACGACTCTGGTACACCTTTTTGCATGATAATGCCGGTGACAGAGTCGTGGAAAGCACCATAGGCCAAAACCAACCTTTGCCGTGCCGGGCCTCATGCAACGGGCCGGCCCCGGTTTTTGGTGTCGCTGGCTTCCTAACGCACTCACCTGCCGGGCCGGGGGGATAAGACCCTAAACAAACGCAGCATTTAACCACAACACGGCCTCGGAGCACGTAACTCCATACAAATCATCGGCGATCGACGCCATATTGAATTCAGGAATCGGTCCGCAAAACAGGTCGGACCCTGAATTTACGACAGTTATTTTCAACTCTCCAACGTTCAAGCTGCAAGTATGTGACGTAATTTGTCGTAAACTCAGGGCCCGGCCTTTTTGCGGACCGATACGGCAAAGGTTGGTTTTGGCTTATGGTGCTTTCCACGACTCTGTCACCGGCATTATCATGCAAAAAGGTGTACCAGAGTCGTCCACGGCTAGGTACCAGTCTAGCTTGGCCAACCAGCTGTCTACCTGGTCTGGCTAGCACCTCATTCTACTCAGATCCCCCATTCATATCTTCACGAATGATGAGACACTGACAGTGCGAGATCCGTTTCCCTGTTACTGTTACTGGTTATCTGTTTATTACCCTTGGTTCATTAAAAGTTCAAATAGCTAGATCAGTTTATTTCTACTTTTCTTGTAGATTTCTTGCTGTATACCCTTAGCAGGTCCCAGTGTAATGGAACTAATTTTGATGCATTCTGCTAGAGGGTGCAGCTGCTTTATACTAATTACCTTCGCCAAGAAGGTTATGTTTTCAGAGGCGTTCGTGTATGTGTGTGTGTGTGTATCTGTATCTGTATCTGTATCTGTATAGCCGGTATAACCGCCTTTCGGCGTAACACACCAGCTTTGCAGGCACGCGGCACGGCGGCAGCTGGCTATATTACACCGATCGACTTGTTACACCTAACCCTTGAACTTCTAGCTCTAGACATTGTTTAAAGCTATCTATTGACAATGTCTGTCTGTCTGTCTGTCTGTCTGTCAACACGATAACTTGAGAAGGCCTTGAAGGATTGTCTTGATACTTGGTAGGTGGGTAGGTCTTGATGAGACCTCAAAACGATTAGATTTTGGACCCCCTAGCGGCTTGTTATGGTACTGCAGCTGAACTTCCGGTTTTGATATCTCATGATCTAGACATGTTATGGTGATGAAATTTGGGTGGTAGGTAGCTCCTGTGCTGGGGAAGAAGTGACGTGAGTTTGGGCCCCCTAGTGGCTTGCTCTGGAACTGCAGGGATATATTCTTGAAAATATTCAAAAGAGGATAACTCAATAACCGGTTGACGGATCGTCGTGATTTTTGGTATGTAGGTAGCTTACGCGATGCTTAATATAATTATGTGACAATTATGCAAATATGGATGTAATTTGCATAATTTATGGGGAAATTCTATAAATCAGCTGCATTCCATAATAAGACAATTGAAGCTTGTGACATTGGTAATTGACAACGAGAGAAACACAGGCAGATATTGATTATGTTAATAATGACTTAATTTGCATAATTAATGAGAAAATTTTATAATTATGTAATGATAACTGCCTGTAATTTCATACTTATGGTATTTGAAACTTAAGTTGAGGTGAACATCATTAAACATAATTTATTCAAATCAGGACCTCATTTGCATAATTTATTAGGAATACTAGAATGCCTTGTTTGTTTATATAAGACTGTCTTTTGGTTGAGATTATGATAAAATGATATAATTCATGAAAATTAGGTTCCTATTTCTTAAATCAGGGGGGAATAATCTAATCTATAATTTGTCAGTCATTTGGCGAAGGTATGAGATCGGGGAACTCTAGTTATAATAGTACCTGAGTGTAGGTGTCTCATTATTCACGAGGATATGAATGGGGGGATCTCAGATTCCGAGTAGCCTGACCTGCTAGGCAGCCCAGGTAAACAGGTCACAGAAGCTGGCACCCAGCAATTGTCAATTGATTGATAAATCACAAACAAAACAGGGTTGGACAAGTCCTATTGCCCACTTGCCCGGGGCAAGTAAAAGCACTGTTCGGGCAAGTGAATATCCCCCTGTACTTGCCCGATTGGGAAAGTAAATTTTTGGGATGCGAAGTATACCCGCATTGGTGTTTGGAGCAAAACTACTCATGATTTGGCCATAATGATATTATATTAAGTCTCAAACCACCTTATTTTGATAACTCTAAAATGAAAATAGTTTTCTTGCTGGTAGTGAAAATGCATATAAAAATGTCGTTTATTTTGGGCAAGTGAAAAGTTGGTTCGGGCAAGTGGTAACGACCATGTACTTGCCCAATAGGGTAAGTGGATTTTTGAAAACTTGTCCAACCCTGCAAAATGTTTTCAGCTGCATCCCAAGCACCATCTCACCAGAAGCAGGTGGCCCCACCGGTGGTGAAGCCGTTCTCAGCTCTGCCAGAACCAATGAAAGGACTGCCCTCCATCCTGAAGTACCTGGTTGCCATGTGTACCGGTGGTACGTCGAAAAAACCCCGACTAAATAGCCACCTAATGATGGGCTACTTGTTCAAGACATATGGCCCTATTTTCAGGTAAGTAGAATAATTTTACCACCTGATTACACAATTCTTCATTTTGACCACAGGAATTCTTAGATTGATTTATTTTCTAACATGCATATATGATTATGAGCTTTGATATTTGCTTCATGCCACATCATCATCATCTTAATATCAGATTACTAGCAGCTGGTGCAGTTAACATTCATTCAATCTCCTTGCTGCCTAAAATATGACCTGTGTAAGTTGTAACTAATAGTAAAACAGATTTAAATTTGGTGCCAAAAGGCTTTTTATGCTACTTCAGCAAGGAATAGATTAACTTAGAAAAGGCCAGCAAAAGTTGTGTTTGAGTCAACTGTTACAGCCAATCGTTTGGAAGGTAACTTGTGCTATTAAACATCAATTCTTTTAAAGAACAGTCTACCGGTATATCAATTTAGCCCTCTTTAGAATAGCTTGGAACATCAGTAAGACATCTAAGTGTGCATATACCTTGGGAATTAATGCATTAGTAGCTGACTCTTTTTGCCATTTTTTTTCAATGTGACAGTCTTTGGGTAACCGGCAGAATAGGTTGCCAGTAAATCTGTCCGTGTGTCCACAGGAATAAATTTGGAAGCATGGATTCGGTGTCTATCTGCGATGCAGGTGCCGCCCGAGAGGTCTTCAAGGTAGAGGGAAAATACCCGGAACGACAGGACATTGCACCATGGAGGCTGCACAGGGAAGTCTCCGGCAAAGAGACAACAGTCTTACTCAGGTTAGTCATTTCAGTCAGTTAGACATTTCAGTCTCAAGTTAACCCTTACTCTTATAAGTTATACTATCATGAAAGTTCATCTGCATTGGTAGTTACATGTTTAAAGTTAAAACTTTTGGTCCAACACAAAAAGTTCTCTCGGCTAGAGCTTTCGACCAGTCTTTCTCAGTAGACTGACCCAGTGAATCTTGTCAAGTGGCTTCTTTGAAGTGTGACGTCAACACTGGGTCAAAGAAGCCTCGTGAGAAGCTTCACTGGGTCAGTCTACTGAGGAAGACCAGAGTGACCGGTCGAAAGCTCTAGGTGAGAGAGGTTTTTGTGTTGGACCAAAAGTTTTGACTATAAACAACCCTTATTCTTCTTAATAAGTTTTGAGTCGAAATGGTGAAAAAGGTGATGCTCTTTTTGATTATTTAATAAGAAAACTCTCACATATGGAATTCGAAGGCCAGCTCTCAACAGCGACACAGTAAGAAGATTATAAAATGAATACACTAGACATAATCCTGACTACCACGTCATTACTTCACTCCCAGGGAATTTTTGGTGTGTGTTGCTTCTGACTACCTTGCTTGATTGAATGTTACAATTCCTCCCCCCCCCCAGCAATGGCGAGAAATGGCACAAGAACCGTACGGTGGTCAGCCGCCCGATGCTCCGCCCCCAGAACGTAGCGACGTACGTGCAGAAGATCGATGACGTGGCGTCGGACACTCTTCAGCGTATCCAATCCATCCGGGCTGGACCAGACGGCACGGAAGTGCTCGACCTTGAAAATGAGCTCTTCAAATGGGCCCTGGAGTGTAAGGTCATGTTTATGTTCTTTTGGTGCCTGGTTTGTGGGATATTGTATTTGCCAATGTGAAAGGTAAATAGATGTATTAGTCATGTCATTTGGTAGTATGTACCAGTGCCGTGTGTTAAGAGTGTTCGCCTTGCATTTGGTAGGTTGTGAATTTGATCTCTGGCCAAGTCATGGTATATACATGTACTACTTTCTCTGCTAAGCCATTAGCATTTTGTGAAAGTAGACCACCCCCCACCCCCCTGCTGTATTGATTGCACAATTGTGTGGTCCAAGGGCTACAGAAACAGAGATTGGTTCTGTAGACTGAACTATGAAATGGCAGCAGCTCAGGTATGTTCTAGAAGTTTGGGAGATAAAGAGTATTGCATCATCAAATTCTGGTACATGTATATCACATATATCACATAAAAACACCAAGATGGAGGCATTTTCTACCAACACAGAATTTATGATAATGTTCAGATCTACTTATTTTCCCTCCAAAGAATGTAGTTGTAATGCGTTTCATCCTGTTCATCCTTTGTCTGTTCTAATCATGATTTCAGCTATCTCAGCAGTCTTGTTCAACGAGCGAATGGGGCTCTTACAGGATAACATCCCCCGGGAGACAGAGGACTTCATCAATGCTATACACGATGTTTTCGACTCCATCCAAGATGCAATGTTTCCAGATGCACGATTCAACATGCTTCTAAACACTAAGGGTTGGCGAAAGAACAAGCAGGCTTGGGACACTGTCTTTCAGATAGGTGAGTGATCAGCTCTTTTGCAATTGTCAATTGCCAAAAAAAACCAGCAACTAGAGTTCCACGATCTCATACCTTTGCCAAATGACGAATTATACATTATTCCCCCAAATAAATTATGCAAATGAGGTCCTTATTTGAATAGGTTATGTTTGATGATATTCACTTTCATTTAACTTTTAAATGCCCCTAGTATGAAATTCCAGGCAGTTACCAATATTGATAACATTTTCTTATTATTTATGCAAATTAAATCTTCATTAACATAATCATTATCTGCCTAATGAATTCATTGAGTCTGTAAATTATCTCCTGATTGGCATAATCAGCATCTGATTATGTCAAGCCTCAAGCGCCACTTAAGCTACCTTCATACTAAAACTCCTAACGATCCGTCAACTGGTTCTTTAGTTATCCTCATTTCAATATTTTTCAACAAATGCCCCTGCAGTTCCAGAGCAAGCCGCTAGGGGGCCCAAACTCATAATTTGATTGAGTAACAATTTCCTTGTGATGTATCTCATTGCCTGGATGTCTAACCTTCATTGACGTACCTGTTGATGGCACATTGTGTAAAGTGTTTGTAATTTTCCCTTCTCTGTTGTTAGGAGAAAAAGTGATGGACCGCCAGCTTCAGAGAGCTGAAGAGCGTCTGGCCCGGGGTGAACCAGATGATGATGGACACCTTGACTTCCTGTCAATCATCAACAGCAGCGACAAACTCACAAAGGAAGAAATCTACGCCAACACTATCGAACTGATGGGAGCAGCCATTGACACTGTAAATACATGTCTAAGATCCAACATGAAGAAGTTCTCTCACCTAGAGCTTTCGACCAGTCACTCTGGTCTTCCTCAGTAAACTGACTGGTTGAAAGCTCTAGGTGAGAGAACTCCTTTATGTTGGATCAAAAGTTTTGACTTTAAACATGTAACTATCAACACATATGAACCTTCATGATTGTATGGTAAATACGTGTCATGTAGAATTTGAAATTCACATTTAGATCTGTTGCTCAAGCTATTGTACCATTATACAGTATCTTAGATGCTTACCTAAAGCGTCTGACCATTTTCTACATGAGTGAATGAGTGGATGATTGAGTAGGTCACAAATAACTTTGTACAGTACCGGTACATTGTGATTTTTACGTTTGCCGCGGCAAACGTAAACATACGAAAACAATGCTTCCATCAACCCTTCGTTGTGTGAACATTTTCGTTTGGGTGTTGCATTCAATGTTTATCTATTATGTTTGCACTTTTTATTGTGGGATGGACCTACCAGATCACATAAACACAATTCTTATATGACAAAGTTATCAAAAATTAGACTTGAATTGTCTAAAAAATAATTAATCTGTACTACTGTATGCCCAAAGTGATTCTCAGAAGATGATAAAAATTGACATAATGGCCTTGATGAATGAATCGCATAAATTATGTTAATGTAGATGACAAGTAAAACATTGGTGCTCGCGCAACGTCTGTAATTAGTGGACAAATATTCCAACAACGATGTTTTAATTGTGGTCCACTACATTGTTGCTAAGTTTCCACACTAAAGAAACTTTTAAAGTACCCTTTTGCCGAAATATACGCCCTTGGCTGTGAAGAGAGAGGATATCCGGCCCACCGCCATATTTACTAACCGGAAGATGTACTATTTCACTACATCGCTAGATGTCGCTGTTCATGTTGCTCTTGGAAGCCCCCGGATGTACTAGAGGGCATGTATGGGGGTGATAGTGATTACGGATTACGCAAAATTTTCGCCACCGATTACGAATTAAGTAAAATTCTCAGAGCTATTAAAACTTTATGCATTAAGGCTAATATAATATTACGAATTTCATTGATTTGGAGGGCGACTGCCAACGGATTACGAAGACTAAAATGGTCCGATTACGCCTCAGGAAAAAGGGCATGCAGGCTCCTACAACGAGCATTCCAGCTCTCAGGTACGTACCGTGCCTCAGTATTTACGCCATATAAATTAAAAAAAATATCAGCAATGTTATGAGTATTAGGCATAGAGTTACAGGAAAATAGTATAGCTAAAAGTACCATGGGCAAGGGTGATCAAATCTAATTGTGCTTTGACGCGCTGTTTAACAATATTTAGTAGTCAAACTGACTGCCCCCCTCCTCTTTGGATTTACAAATGCGTCTAACAATCTCTTTTCGGTATGATATGATCAAATTATGCAAGGCTAAGTTTCTTGCTTTAAAATTGAAATTAATTACCGGCAGATGCTTGCCAATCTTAAAGTTTGTTCTCTGGAGTGTTTCTACCGTATCGCCTTAATTTTTTGTATTGTTGCATAAATTATTATTTTCTTTCTTACAAATTTTCGCTGTCAGTGGGGGGGGGCGGTACAGGCTTTTCATTCGTCGCCAGTATTTTGTTGAAAAAACTTTGAGCTTTCAAGCTATTCGGTTCACAAGTAAATCTTTCCTGGTATCAAACCTATCTCAATTTCATCAAGAAATTTGAGTGTACTCAGAAACCTAAGAATTGTTCATCAATATGGCAACATTTAGAAGTTCTCTCAGTAGTATATGGGCAATTTTGAAGACTTTGATGTGTTCTTTTAGCAACGAGAACTCAATATTTATGTGCACAGTTGCAAATTTTATGTTGAAACAAATTATTTGTCATCTCTTTCAGATGTGTCTTTGGCATTTGGATACCACAAAGCAATCAACCTATGCCACCATTCACTCAATACCAGCCTGTGCCACCGTGCACTCAATACCAGCCTGTGCCACCGTGCACTCAATACTAATGTGCCATTGTGCAGAACTTGCAGATTGTATACTGGATGAGTCCCTGTCTCACGAGTGAATTATTAAAACCAGAAACTGTATCTTGCCCTGAAACCAAATATTCAATAAACAATCTGAACACATACATTTAGAATCTGTGTATACTTGTGTCACATTTCTTACATATAAGCCATTAATTGCCTTTGCCCACAATGTGTGAAGCTATACTATCAGGAAAAAAAAGGTAACAACATTTTCAGTGAAACTAGCAGAGGTGGCATGTGATTTTCTTGTGCAAAAGTACAATGGCGGCAAACGACAGCTTTTGTAAAAGCACTTGTTTTTTTACCAGCACCAGTTGTATGCAGCCCTACACCCAACTTTGTACTGTGTTAAGTATTGAATTATCTGTTCACCTGCATGTATGGCAGACTTCAACCACTCTCCTGTGGACCCTGTATCAGCTGTGCAGCCGACCTGACCTACAGGACAAGCTGCATCAGGAGGTCACAGAGGTCATAGGTCAGGACAAGGTCATCACCTGGGGTCACCTGAAGAACCTGCACCTCTTCAAGGCTGTCATCAAGGAGACACTGAGGTGAAATGCAAAATTTTGCAGCTGTACAAGAAATCATGTATCTGTCTGAAGACTCTGAACATGTACACGAGGCTGTTGATAGCAAGTCAGCAGAACGTACTGCACCTGCGCAAAACCCTAATGTATTGTACATACATGTGGCACTTTAATTGGCAGAACGTCTCATATGAGGTCGTATTTGCACATATAAGGTTAGCATTTCAACAGTAGTTTCCAAATGTTATGTCAGAAAAGATATCGTCTGCAACAGGCAAACATATATTCTGATGCAATGTTGACCCAAAGTCCAACGAAAACCATGAAAATCCAGGGTTCTGCGTAGGCGCAGGACGTTCTGCCGACGTGCTGCTGGAAATGAAATGTTTCTGAAAATGCAAAACACAGTCTTCATGAGGGGTTACAACAATCAATCATCTGCGGCCATCAGGAGATGATACATGGTGCCTGAGTTAAGACAATGCTTTATGCTAAATTTAGACAGGCAGTTTCTCAAAATTTGACAGTATAACCTTGCTATCAATTACAGGGATGGAATACCGGTAGGTTTCTCCTTGAAATACAGTCATGCTTTTTTTGCTTAAGCTTTTTCGAAGTTCGTTTAACACGCCTATAGTATTTGAGCAAATACATCATTCTGCAACACTCTCTGTGTTTCAAAGTTTTTCTAAGATTCCCACTATTTTTTACAGGTTGAATCCTGTTGGCTTTGTCATAACTCGTGTGGTTCAGGAGGACACTGTTCTGATGGGATATGAGATTCCCGCAAAGGTAGGACTAAGGTAGAGTTTCATTTTAATTGGAACAATACTACATGTACAATGTATATCCAAATATCCCTGTCTCAACCTGGATTAGGGTTGTTGGAACATGATTTGTCGAAAAAAAGGGTGACTGCTGAAATTAAAAACATTGGGGCATAACCCCTTTTTACTGCTCCTAGAGAGAGGGATTCATTAGGTAAATATAGAAGAATACAGAATACACTATGTACAAATGTATTCCATATCACCTGAGGTACCAGCCCGACATTTAAATGCAAAATATGAGAAAATTTTGTATCACTAAACAAAAAAATTGTAACAACATAGATTCCAATGTCCAAATCTGGCATTCAAATTTTCGAAAAACGGCACACTACAGCAAACTCACACGTGCACACACACAGAAAACACCAATGTAAAGTTCTGATTGTTTGTCCTCGCCATTCCAATAGACCACTGTGTTGATGAGTCTGTATGACATGGCACGAGATCCTCGACTCTTCAAAGACCCGGAGGAGTACCGACCCGAGCGCTGGCTCCGAGGTTCAGAAGACCGTGCTGACACCCATCCCTATGCCTTCCTGCCGTTTGGGTTTGGAACTCGCAGTTGTGTTGGCAAGTTGGGCAAACATTACGACTCACTTAATATACATGGATATGGTCTAGTATCAAGTCTTTACCAGACTGGTAAACGTTGCTGGAAAATGGTAGAAATTGGGAAATACTTGATCGACTTCATAATATACCATATGAGTTCACCCATACTGATTGCAATGTCTGACTTTTAAATTGCAAAGTCTGACTAAACCGGTCATTTGTGTGATGTCACTTTTTCCAGAAATTTAAATGTCATTTTTTTTTCAAATCCCATGTAGGACGTCGAGTGGCGGAAACAGAGTTGCAGGTACTCCTTGCAAAGGTGATTAGAACTTTTAGTTGAAAATATTTTAATCCAGCTCCATATCATTGTTCAAATCTCTTCTTTACATGACAGAAGCTTTTGGTAATAAGATTGATATCATCAAAGCTTCATGTCAATACCAGAAGTTTAGTCAAGTTGGAAGATCATGTACAATGTGTCTTTTCTTGTAGCCTGGGTACCAGCATTTTTAGCTTCATTACCCTGATGCTATTGCCAATGCATTATTGCCATAGAGGTTCAAGGTAGTATATACATGTACATGTATGTATAAGGACCACGAAGTCAGATTCCTAGATACAATTAATCATACTTTTTATTCATCATTTCTTTGACCAGATTGTTCAGCAGTTCACCTTGAAACAAAGGAATCCTCGAGTCATTCCTGCCGTGACGAAAGGACTCTTGATGCCATCTGAGAATATGGACATTTGCTTCATCGAGAGGAAGTGAGCTATTGATTCTATGGTGCCCATTCAGAACAACATGAATGTACAATGTAATGTATATACATTTGTAAGAATTATATTATATATGAACAAGCAGTCACGGCCACTAAACCACGTGATTGTTTAGATACTATTAGGTGACCTAAGTACTTTTAAATGGCAAACGTCTCTTAAGCGTTTGGGGACAGATGCATGTAACGAGTGATTGACATTTCTATAGATTTCTGTGATTCAATGAGGAGGAAGTTTGTGTTGAAGTGTTAAGGCAAACATAACTGGTTCTGTCTAGGTGACTAACTAACATAGTCACTGTATAAGACTAAAGCAAAAAAATTAAGACAACACACTGTAAAATGAATCCAGCCAGGAAAGGTCGTCTTGTTTAAAACACTTTTTAACATTTTTTAGATTATTCACCTGCTGTACATGAAGCAATTAGAGTTTGTAAGTGGTGCCAGGTGATTATGAGAGTCTATCATCCTTTTCCCATAAAACTGTTTGGAAAAGGGCCAATATGAGAGTCTATTCAATAGTGGCACCAATCAACATTGATAGGAAGTACAATTCTTATTCAGTTTGATAGATTAAACACTTGTCACCATGCCTTAAAATTGTCTAAGGCTATACTCCCAGTGTTCAATTTTGCCAACAAAGATCATCTAATCAAAAATATAGCTCACAGAATGGCAAAATCAAAGTAGCTGCCATGTAAGAAACCAGGCAGCATTTTAACATTCCTGCTTTCTAGATTTCTCGTGTATTCTGCTCCTTAAGTCTTTATAGCAATATAAAATTAGCCACACATACATGTGTGTGTCATTAAGAAGGATGGATCTTTGTGAGGATCTTTAAATCTCTTCTAACTTTACAAGTAGCCCATAGAGAGCGTGCACTCCCCTCTCCTTAGTTTTCCATTCCAATTTATCGTTGCTGAAGAGTGGGTCGATGGTTACGCCCTTGCTGGATAAACCGACAGTCTCGTGCATAACGCCGTAGCTGCCGGGACGTGTGCACACTTGGAAGGCGACACGGGCTCTGTACGCTTTACCGTCAAAGTTGTCTTTAAACCTGTGTGCAAACATAATTTATGTGATTTGTTCAAAATTAAGACCCAAGTAGAAAATGTACTTATTTTGGCAATCTCCAATGGAACCAGAAAACAGATAAACACAATTCTGCCTGAAACATTATCATAATTTTTTAAGTTAATGGTTGATATATTAATATTATTATAATTTGATAATTTAAGAAATAACCAGTATCGTACACTACAAATGTTTGGATGAGTCAAAATAAAGCCTTAGCAAGATTCAGCTGAACATTATTTTATTCAATGATTATTTTAGTCAATTATTTTATTCATTTCTCAAGTTGGAGGTTAAGTCCCTTTGTATGTAAGGCATTTTAATGGTGCTTACTTTGCTGGTTCGCCGGTATTTTCTTCTCCAGTATAAATGTTAAGTCCAGAATATTTGATGCTCGGTGAGAGAAACACCTGCACGCTGTCGAAGCCCCTTCCCTTCCCTTTTCCCAGCTTCTCACCTCCAAACGTCACGTCTCCTAGAAAATAAGAAAATGATGCGTTAAATACTGCAATACCGGATTCAAATGGACACCACCAGATTCCAAGATGTGTGTTAATGAATGACAACCTTTAGTGCACATTTTTGCCACACTGGGCTAAGTACAGGTCAAAAACAAACATCATGAACAGTTATATACAAAATAAAACTAACTATCATTAGATAAATTCAACTTTCAATGGAAGGTTTGTCTACTTGCATTAGGAACATGAACTTTTCTATGGTGCTCAAGTGTATGAAGTAGGGAAATAGTTTTGTACAATCCTATCAAGTTCATTTCTCTCTTTACTATACAATCTACATTCTATAACAAAGTGGCATTCGTCGTCTATTCTATTTAATTAACAATATATAATCTTTGTTCAAGAGGGATGCTGGTATGTCTTCCAGTTTCAATATGTAGTTTGTGGCAGCTGATCCTCATTCAAAGATCACCTTGTGGCTAATTATTTAACTCGATCAAAAGGGAAGTAGATAACCGTGATGTTTATTTACCTGGCATGAGTAGTTGTGAGCTGGTCTGCAGGATTTTCTTCACCGCACTTGGGCGAGTGCCGTGGTACGCGCGGTGCCAGTGGTTGAACACGTTGAGCTTCTTGTCTTTGAAGGCTGGATTGACACTGTGGAAAACAGTGCGCCAATAAGCTCTTGTAAGTATGCTCATTTACTTGATCTACAATCATTTCAAAGTAACTAGTGTATTGGTATAGAAGTACGTACAGACATCAGTACAGACAGATGTTAGTGTCCCTGTTTTGCGTTACGTTTCTATTAGAGCTCTCAAAAACTGACCAGACAATACAAGGACGGTTGATTCAATATTACTTTAAAAATTCTTATCAGTACACAACTGTAACCATGTGTAAGAACTACCTGCATACAGCATTTGAGATTATAAGAGATAAGTCTTTAAAATGATAGTTAAGTAGGTATCATTATAGTAAATTTGACATATCGTCAGATAATCTGGTTATACCATGCTTAATTTTTTGTATTTATTTGACTGTACATATGTTGTACTGATGAAGTGACTATTCAATCTGAAGTTATATCAAATTCTGTCATTCACCTAGTACATTTGTAACATAGGTGTACATTTCAGCATTCTACTTACTTGAGACCAAACCTGCTCCAGCCAACAGGCGCCGCGTACAAAGTCGGAGGATTGCCACACATCTTGGAATCTGGCGCGCCCCGGTCCCGGTGACACGTCTCACAGAAACACTTGTCGTGGTCGGGAGAGAAGTAAGTGTCTGGAAAAAGAGACAATTTTAAGATTTGTTAAAGAAGTGAAACAAGGCAGCAAAACGATGCATCCAAACAGCCTTTCACTGAGATAGAGGCATATCCCAATATGAAACAGTTTTTAAACTGTATAAAAACTAGAAAGCAAAGCATAATGTTTACCTTTGCATATTGTCTGTTCTGTTAATTCTTGCTCAAAGCATTCAAATATATGGTGACAGGAGTCTAAATCCCTCCTGCTATAAAATTGCAGCATGATGTAGCCCAACACTAGTTACCATGGTGACAGATGTCTGGTTCAGGTCATTGATCTTATTTGTTTGGAGAAGAGGAGGAAGAAGAAACAGAGCAAAAACAATATATTTTCCTTCTGTGAAGGTAACAAAAAGTTCTGTGCCCAGCTAAGAAGAAGATAAGGTGCAGAAACTGTTTTGGTGCTAAAGGCTTTGTCAAGGCATAATCTGTTTTAATCACTCCTTAACAATTTAAGGAATTGAACAGCAATATTCGACTCACCCTCGAGTCCCAAGGTTTTCTTGAACCGCTGACAAGCCAACCAATAGTCACAGATGGTTCCCTAAGAAAAGATCCATGAATTAGTATTTGTCTTTTGAAGCCACCATTTGTGAATGCCATCTGCCTGTTCATATACATCTGAACTGTTATCAAACTTTCATGGAGCATTGGCATTAGAGAGGTATTGCTGACACAAACGCTGCAAATATTAACATGAAGTAAATAACTGAGTGTCTGAACTATTTTTCTCAGTGCTGAAAACAGGGGTGCCAAAGTATACAGTGCAATTTTACTATTATACGGTGCAATTAACTGTATACTAATACGATTGCACTGTATTCCGTAAACTTGCACTGTATTCCGTAGTATTGCACTGTATACTCTGGTACCCCTGGAAAATCTATCTAATGTAGTATTTGGCGTGCTCCAATAGATTTCATTATCTCTGGTAGCTGTTTTTTTTTAATAGGACGCGTGAATGTACTTACGGTGGGTGCAGTTATTTCAGCGGTCGCAAGAGGCGTGGCGCCTTCTTCCCCTGGAGCGCATGGATGGTATCTTTCCCTTCGTCCGGGGAAAAACTTTACAGTGGATGTAGCGCCTTTTCCCTTGTCCACCAACGTCACGTCGAACTCTCTAATGCGTGCCCTGTTGCAGTAGAACTTGAAGTTGACTCCGTAGTAGGTGTTGATCTGCTCCACGTCTGGACGGATGCTGCCCTGGAATATGGCACAGAACGTCTCATCTTCCATCATGCTCATGGTGGGAGTTGGCGTCCCTTCCTATTGTTAAAGAACAACATGAAGTCGTAACATTTCAGTCAAGAGATGATTTTATACTTGGGGGATGACTCATCAGTACGGCATGCACAGCAAGAGCCAATAGGCATGCAGCTCATGCAGCTTTCCTCTATTCTTCTTGCTGATTGGCTGTTGGCATTTAATCGGGTTAACTGCATTTAACAGCTGCAGCAACCCATACCACATTGACAGCTGAACTGCATTCAAGTGTTTTAGGGTAGGTATGTCAAAAGTTCCTTCTCAAGCATTGGAATGCGGGGCATAAATGCTTTTTTATCTTAAAAATCAATCGTTTGCATTATGCAAATAAAGAAAGATAAAATCCTAACCAATCAATAATGTAGGGGATAGCTGTCCACCTGTTGTATTCGTAGTTATATGTCACTTCATACTATATTTATATCAATATAAAGCATTGTTTTCCCGTGTATTTCCCCTTCTTTCTCTGCCATGTCGTCAAATGTGGTGAAGCCCTGCTGTATTTGCTCCAAAGCAAATGTCGGCCTTTCTAGTTACGAATGTTTCTTGTCTTACCTGTCGCTCATATCCCTCCTTTGTCACCATGCGACAGATGCGATCTTCAACTGACTCCTCCAGAACACACTCCATCCGGGCGGTCATGACTCCCGCCTCCCGGGGCTCCTTCCACTTCTTGAAGATGACGGTCCTGACCCGCCTGGCCCGGGTGTTCTTGGCTACCAAGGCGACGATTTTGTCAGGATCGATGATCTTGTCGCAGCGAAGAACTGTGAAACTGATGAAGGTAGGAAAATGTATGTATGTCAATAATAACAATTATGCTTACGTTTAGATACGAATCAAATGTTGTCGACACACTCACATTCACGCGCTCATACATGTACACACACTGTCACACACACACACACACATACACATATATACACACACACACACACACACACACACACACACAGGCACACACACGCACGCAAAGAGAGGGAGACACACACACACACACAAATAAATAAATATTGATGGTGACCACTCACCCAGAACTCAGCCGGTCTGTCTTGAAAGCCACCTTTGACTCCTTCAGTACGACATCGTCTACTTTGTCGGTGACATCTTCCCAGTCCCCGTTCTCATTGCAACTCAGAACACGAACGTGGCTGTCTTCCTCTCCAGGTGACAGAGGCAGAACGATGGTGGCCGGGCTGTTGAGAAGCAGGTTGCTGCCTTTGAAGAACTTGACGATGTGGCTCATTCTGTCACTGTCTTCCATTCCAGCACAGGTGAGGGCTTCCTTATCAACCGGAATTACCTTTGTCGTTGATGAAAATGAATGATGTTAAACATGTTAAAATAAGTTATCAAGCTTATCTTGGTTTTCCATCATAGATAATCTTCATTTTTTGTTACCTTTGAAGTTTTCTCTTGGTTGTCAGTGACTAAAAGTTACGCCATTATGGAAGCTACAGACGTGTCAGGCCAAATCACAATGAGCCTCGTTTTCGTGAAAGATCACGTACGTTCGCGTAGCGCTGTATACTCTCGCGGGACCACTTTTCAAAATGGCCGCGGAGATTGGAATTACGTCTTTTCTAACTTTACAGATTACCATACATATTTAACTAGCCACGGGGACAATACAATCAGCTAGGGCCTCTTACCTTGAAGGATATCTCTTCCTCAGTGGGGACAGAGTCCCGTGGAAGGAGCACCTTAATCTCTGTCTGTTTCGATGACTTCAGTTCTGATGCTTCCCCCTTCCTCACTCTGTGGCAGTGTTCGTACGGCCGCGCCACGACGGCGAACGAAGAGAAGTGTGTTACCTCCACTGTCACGTAGGTCTGGCCCTGAATTCAAAGAAAATGCCAAGAATATTCAACTGTCTTATTGAACCAGGGTTCTCAATGTCTCGATCAATTTTTTAAACAATCGTGCGTATCTGTGAGATACCACCTCCACAAAAAATTGTAGTTAGACACTTACTTTCTCTTGGTGGCTTAGCGTTCTCAGAGTCTCCCACGTCATCCCTTCATCCTCTGAGGTCATCACAACGTACTCCCTCTCCTTGTCGAACTTGGGTAAGGAGTGTGGAATCTTCAGCTTTACGGGCCTGGAGAAAGTCATCCCCGCCGGTCTCATCTCAATGATGTCGCTGACTAGGAGCTCGTGATCCTCTAGCTTAAGGGTCCCTTCGTACCCGTGGGGGTTCAGCACTGCTGAGATGACGGACGTATTTTCGGCAGTAGCTCTTGGAGGGATGCTCAAGTTGCAGCCGGCTGGAAGGTCCAAAGACTGCACGGTGGCTGAGACCGCTGAGATGTCATAGCTGCAGATGACAAACAGATTATTTAGCTCTTCAAGCAGTTCATTTTACTCTCAAGTGCACTAAATTATTGGGAGAACTTAACTTGATTTCTTGTTATGGCAGATTTCTGAACTGAAGGTGACAAATTTAGACACCAACCTAAACGGTTTGTCGTATTCCGCTGGCACAGTTTGGCCCAGGCGCCACTCTTCGTCCACTTCTAATGCCACTGACTTTGCCGTTGCCTTGGTGATCTCCAGCAGGAGATTCTCCATCACTACCCTTGCCGCGGCATCGATGATAGCACCTGTAGCCTCTTCTTTTGTCATCAGTTCGCTCATTTCTTCCAAAATCTCGTCAACGACGAGCATCATATCTTCTTCTTCCTTTACTGTTTCCTTGGTGACTTCCTTCAGAAGAGCTTGGATGACGTCTTCAAATATGCCTGGGAAGATGTCTTCCACGCATTGCTCTTCACCAATCGCAACGTCTGTCATGTTCAACATGAGGTCATCACTTAGGCCCTCTTCAACGATAGTGACGATGTCATCTGACAGATTGTCAATGATTGTGTCGTCGACAATTTCTGCGGCGATGTTGACTGTGACGCTGTTCAGGCCGTCTTCTGTCAATAGCTCACCGAGTACGGAGACCACGCCTTCCTTGACAATCTTCGGCTCTGGAATCTCCATAGTCGGTACGTTGTCCAGGACTAGTCCTGTGTTCGTCCCTGTCTCTTTGTCTTTCAGCTTCCGCAGGTGGTGGAGCGTGAGAGGCAAACTTGACAGGCGGCGATTGCCCTCTAAATCCAGGGTCTCCAGATTGAGAAGGCGCCCGAAGCTGTCGGGAAGCGTGCGCAGTTTGTTACCGGCGAGGTGGATTTCTTTCAATGTGGGTATCTGTCCGATCGAACCCGGAAGCGTCTCGATACCGCAGTAACTGAAGTTAAGGCCCTCTATGGCTTCAAGGTTTTGAAGTCCTTCCGGTACCAAACTTAAGGAACAGTTGTCCTCCAAGTCCAAGATCTTCAACTTTGAAGGGACGTTCAACACCAGGTCGCCCTGATGATTGTTCAACTTATTTCGCTTCATCTCTAAGCGGTCGAGACGTCCAAGTGACTTGATGGCTTGCGGGATGCTTTCAAAGGCGTTGTCGTTAAGCGTGAGGACCTTCATTCTTTTCAGCCCTGAAACCTCAGAGGGGAGGGTCGTCAGCACATTCTTTGACGCATCAAGGGTTTCAATTGTGGCCAAAAGAGTGAGGTTCTTTGGAAGCGATTTCAGCTCACAGCCGGAAAGAGCTAGATACTTTAAGTACCCAAGTTGTTTCATTGTTGCCGGAAGTGCAGCAATGTGTGGATTTCGGGAAAAGTCTATGTTCCTCAGATACGTGCATCTCGAAATATTTCCGCTGACTTCTTTTAGATCACATCCTGCCGCTCTCATCTCCTTCAGATTAGAAAGACTTGCGATGTTAACGGGTATCGACTCCAAGGGGTTGTCTGACACATCCAGGATTTCAACTTCTTTGATACTGAAGACGTCCGGAGGTATTTCTTCGAGCCTCTTGTTCGAGAGATCCAGTTCCTTGGAGGAATCGGTGTCCTTCATTCGAGACCTTAGATACGACTCTGTCCATCCAGCTTCTTCCTCCACATCTTCTTCATGATACGCGCTCTCCTTTCTGGATGGTTTTCTCGTTGGGGCCTTGCTCGTTGTTGATAGCTTTCTCGGTGAATCTTCCTTGCTTGTCATTGATGCCTTTCTTGGTGAATCCGCCTTGCTTGTTGTTGATATTTTTCTCGGTGAATCTGTCTTGCTCGTTGTTGATAGCTTTCTCTGTGAATCTGCCTTTGTTGTTGATAGCTTTCTTGTTGGATCGGCATTGCTTGTTGATACCTTTCTCGGTGAATCGGCCTTGCTCGTTGTCGATGGCTTCCGACTTTTGCTCGATTCTGGCGCCTTCCTTGAGCTGGAGGTTTTTCGCGTGCGATCCATTGTGGATCAGTTGATACCTGGTAACTTTAGCGTTGTCTTGTATTTTTCAATATGCCCTACAGATACGACACAATAGTTTTAACAAATGCACAACAGTATCATCCGATCATTTATCCTGGCTTTACAGATATCGGAAATGGACAAAAAGCACTGATAACTGCAATCCATACCTCGGCCACACACGAAAATAGCACATGAAACAAAAGCCGCTAAAATTAAATGTATTCATTACAATTTACGACCTCTAATGCGAAGGGTATACGACAAAGTACTATGCATGAAGACTGTCTGATTTTGTTCTTTGACCTACGTGTGGACCATCCAGCCTATGTCATGAGAGCCAGGAGATATATATTACAAGCAAGTAAAAAATTTAACACAATCGCAAACACATGGACACACAAACACACACACACACACACACGCACGCATGTTAGAATAACATACAAACATCAAATCTCGTATCCCAATTTCAGTGCAACACACAGAACCCACCTGCAACAATCATGGCCGTAAGTAACTTCACGCCAGTAGCGAAAGTGATCCCAATCTTTTATAGACTAATTATTGAGACCAATATGACATATGGGCAAAAATGCTACAAAAAGCATGTCATGTTGCAAAGCAAGCTTTGTTTAACTAATTACCCCTTATCCTTGTGGGCACTCGGCTGCTGTCAGTCTTGGGATCTATTAGCAGTTACCATTAAGAAATAGACGAACACTCAGTCTGGTCACAGTCTGAAAACAAACGCGCTATAGTTACTACAAACCTAGTAGACACAGATCATTTTTACGTTCAAGGAGCAGAACAGTAACTTCTGACACAGTTCAAGGGCGGCGTATTTCACAATGTATGTCTCATTAGAACTGCCATATTTTGTGAATTGGAAATTTGCCAGCAAATGCAGAGCAGTTGCCCATGTTGTTGTTCAGTTGCTGTGGAGAAAAGTGCACGTAGTGGCACCAGTGGCTAATAAAAGCTGAGGCAGCTTCTTTTGAAATGTTTATCTTTGCTTCAGGAGTGGTCGTTAACCAATTTAAGGATTTATGAAGCCTTAAATCAAGTTGACAGCTTCTTTGGATATGTTTATCCTTGCTTTCAAGAGGAGGTCGCTCTTCTGAACCATTGACACATTGACCCAGAGTACAATCAAAGTAATAGATCTCCATTAAAGATGTTACACATTCCTAAGGTGTGCCATTTAAGCGCCGACATAGCAGTGCATAGTCATCCTATTCGTCTGTACATTATTTGTGGAGGAACTTTCACATAGATTGTGTCTCAAGATACTTAGAGAAGTACTTGTAACTATGCCTTGCACTAGTGTTGCGTTGTCAAAAAGAGATTTATTTGGTGTGTTTAAACCATTGAATTTTCCTCCAAACTTACGACAAATAAGTCATTGTAATATTTGATTGAGGATATATACAACTGGTGTAACCTTCATGCCCCAACGGTGCAAACAAACAAACAAACAAACACGACTCTTGGAACATGGAAACGACACACACCAGTTATGTAATCTATCACTACGTGCGGCTTATTGCTTCCTTTTCTCTTTGTACGGTCATAAAACCATCTTTCAAAGGTGGTTGACAGTAGTTACAAGGGTAATGAGCTTACATGGTAAGCCCTGGCCCTGGTGTACGGTAACCCATTGCTCGTTCACAAATGAAAGATAAGGTAGGTAAAAGTAAATATAGTTGTGTCTGCAGCTGCAAGAAAGTTACCTAAACGTGCAGGAACAGAAGGCATTTTACCAAATGGCAAATCTTTATCACAGATGGCATGTGTAGTGGGATCCTTATAAACGTGCTCGAGGTGCGGCTTTCCTCAGACACGGACCATCTCATCCAAAAGGACATCCCTTACCGAAGCTAGGTACTCCTTTTCACTCGAGTCTAGTTAGAAAATATGTGTAAAATGCCTTTCTCAAGGGCACAACATTGGGAACAATTAGAGGTTCGGAAATCAACATCTTTAGAACCTAACCACAAGACCACATTGCACACCTTAAATCTTTCATGGGCAAACTGTCGTGTGTTTATCACGATCACACATACGCAAATACACTGCAAAACATGACTACAAACATCACAACATTGGGCTTTTCCTACCTTATGTTGTCATTAGTTCAAAGCCGTCAATCTTGCGGGATACATAAAGTTTAAATCTCTGCCCCGGATAGTCAAGGGACGTGCTAACCACGGACAACTGTCTACGGCACTTTCGAGTAGCATTCAGGCACACGCGTACAGTGGCTGATCAAGTAGACAGCGTCTGAGTGATGTTTACTCTAGCAAGGGCACAAGTGGTCTTTGTCGTGTTTCCCCGATAAAATCTTTCGCGGCTTGAAAGGTGTACAATGGCTGTTTATATGTCCACTGTGTAATTCATGTGCAAGAACGTATACGTTGTTAATTGAATATCCCATCTGGTATACATGAGCTTGAAAGAAATATTGCCTGAGTTAGTTTTGTTTACAGTACATTGATTTGGGCAGATATATGGTTAGTAGGAAATTCGTGATGCATCTCGCATTAAATGACATTATACCAATACGTGCATTTCACAACGATCCATAGTCTTGTTCATGCACTTGTGCACCCTACGAAGAATAAGACTCGCATACGTTCAAGGTACATTTGTATTACAGGTGTGATGCCAGGTAGGGCGCTCTGTAGGTGTTTTAAAGCGATATTATGTAAGATTTTTGCGCCTGAACTGTAAATATAAATAATTGAAATTTTCTGATGTAGATTGTCATTTTCAATAACGTTTAACATATTAGCGTTTCTATTTCGCTTTTCTGTCGACATTCTCCTGTCGAGAATACGTTGCGACAGGCCCGCTGTGTTTTTTGGAGGCTCCTAAAAAGAATGGGAACAAACGGATGATATCAAACATGGCCGCGATCCGTGGAGTTGGCAGTTTTCCAACACGTTTTTGCGGCGTAACGACGTTGATCGTTTACTCCCCAAATGTCATTCTGAACCCAGGTAGGCTTATAGCGCAAGAAAATGTGTAAATAAAAGATGTTTAAAACAGTGAAAATCTTGCATAATATCGCTTTTAAGGTGCAAAGAGCTGCTAGCCAGGTACGGCGCTCTGTTGTCAGTGTTTTGATGAGACCCTCTCACTCTGTTGACAGGTTATCACGTTTCCATGACTGTTGAGAGCAGGGTTGCTGACCTCACGTGAAAGCGACCGAACACAGGTATGTCTTCTTTTGTTCTTCTAATCTGGAGTATATTTACCAAGTTAATCCGGCCAACGTGACGGAATGGGAGCCTTGATATTCGCGTCAAAAGGTACCTTTAGAATAACAACTAATATCAACCAGCTTTGTGTGGATATTAATAACATTCAATTTAGATGAATTAATTCAGCTAATAGAGTATACGGTATAAAGACTCTCAAGTATCACGACAGTAACAACATATGTGACCTTTGCTGAAAAAAAGCTTTCTGATACGTGGTATTATTTTCATACAAAATTAGGACAATTAACGAAAATGTTAAGACAGTTTTGGAAACATGTCCTTGTTTAGAATATCGCTTCGGGGGAGACGACAAACGCTTATCAACAATATCAACGATTTAGTAATATACACAATTTATAGTATTACATGTAACGTTACATTAAGATGTGCCAATTACTCACTCAAGCAACTGTATATGATTTTGGAAACGGTCAGACGTTCCAGGTAGCAATATGTGCAATGTAGCAATGTGTGCACATTTACCCTAGTAAATGTACGAATCGTATACTAACCTTGTCGTTGAAAGTACGACGATCCCTTGCCCTTTCATGATTCAGTAGTAGCTGCACGCATGGTACAGTTACGAGCGAGATATCATGAGCCGAATATAACCGTGCCCAAGATAAGCGCCTTCTAGTGTTTACATTTCTCGGCGAATTTGACTCAGCGGGAGAGCGAAAAACAGCCTTAATTTGTAGTTGCAGGCTGCGGTCCGCTGGTTTTCAATAGAGGCGAGTTCTAGGATTACATTGACAACAGAGTTCTGTCTACAAGCTTCTCGGAGAATTCTCGGATGTAGTTTCGTAGCTACATGGCATTCATACTACATTCATGCTACATATATTCGTGGCACCTCGTCTCAGTACTATTCTAACACCTTGATCATGGTAACGCTCAAACTTTTAAATAAGAACAACAGTTTTAACACTCTTCAAGTCACCTTACCTTAAAATGATGATTCTGGGGAGGACACCTTAAACCCTGACAGAGATTGCGATTTTTTACACATTGTCCAAGACAAAGGGGGTACCCTTATTTTAAAAGTATGCACTTTAAGTTAATAAGTAAAAGATAAAGACACAAATACAATATGACATATGCTGTGTATCTTTATTTTTCAGAAATCAATACCATATACATCACAATCCGTTTATACAGGAAACTAGTAATTATGCAACTCAGTTTGACGTAGAAAACTCTATGAGGTACTCTGGATACGCATAAGCATCGCGAAAAACGACGAACATTGTTGGGTTCGCAGTATTGTCGACAACGGAATCATAACGTGAATGGCTACCAGAATTAGGCTTGATGGGAGGTTCCTTCATGTTCTTGTCTCCCTTTGTATACTCCCCTACAAGTACACGTGCTCTGTACATGAATCTGTTGCTGTTCCCATCCGGGACTGCATATCTGCCCTGGGCTGAGTAACTCGCAGAGACTGCAAAGTACACCCCTTCTCCAAAGAACGTTGCTACAGAAAAATAAACAATAACATGTTCGGTCATGGCTTTTTAAAAAAATCTATTTTGTCTCAAGTAATTCGGAACAAAGAGAATAAGTAGTGAATTGTATTCATAAAAAAATTATCAAAAGGTTTTCATATCAAAAGTGACTGTGTGCTCTTACTTAGTAATTTACAGACTGAAAAATATTGACATATTAGCATACAGGTGAACTTACCGTTCTTGCCACAATATGATCGATTAAAGCCATTCTCGTTTATATTGACTATGGCACCAGCAGCTGTCCCATGCCACAAAGTCCTCTCATTGATTCTATGGAGAAGATAAAAAAGTTATTATTGAAAAATTCACTCAAAGTTTGATTTCCTAGAAGTACGTAGTGCATTTTATGAATTTTTCTGTAGGAATTGAGACAGTGTGCTCCACCGTGCTTGTTTGTTGCCCCTTCTTAATCTTTTGTCTACTTCTTGTGACTTTATCATTACTATTAATCCGTTATTCATATTTCAAATATCTCTTCCGACTGGCATCTTCTCCCATGGCGTCAAAAAAAAAGATGACATGGGGCTGGTTTTCTTAGTCCTTCATATCAATTGAGTGATCGTTTCTTTGTGCATCGGTTTGCTTTATCTTTGACGACCAGTAGTTGGTTTGTTACACAAATTGTTGTGGTTTAAATTTGTTGTCGAACAACTCTCCTTTAGCTGCCCACCCGTGGGTGACAGCTATTCTTCCAGGAGATGGTAGAGTACATAAAAACATTACAATACATTAAAATACAATTACTTAAAGTTTCACAAATACATGCCAGTCACTCAGAAGTTGGACTTACTTGTTCGGCAGTCCTTTATCCATATTTCTCTTCGCCACCGAGTACTGGTCATACAAGGCTGTGTTCTGTACTCGGGAGATGTTGTGCACCTTCCAAGTGGGACCATCCTGTGTGTAGATGCTCTGCAGGAAGCCCGTCTCTACCTCCCTGTACTCCGGGGTCTGTGGATCAACCTTCGGGACGAAACAGCGGGACTGGTCGGGCGGATGTTCCTCCCAGGTGTCTGGAAACGCCCTTTGGTTCTGGCCCCACCAATTATGCATTTGACCTGAAAAATCCAAACAAAATATTTTCTTTCACAAGTGACAATAAGAGCAGGTATAAAAAAAATTAACAGGTTTAATAATTATGTCTACCGAAGGCTTCGTTTCGTTTTCTTTTTCTTCTTCCATTCCAAACACTGACCTCTGACCTGGTCAATGACCAGACTGTCTCTCACCATGGTAACTGGTGTTGGGTTACATAATGTTGCAATTTTATATTAGAAGGGATTTAGACTCCTGTCACCATATATGTGAATATGTTTGAGTAAGAATTAACAGAGCAGACCGTATGCGAAGGTAAACATTATGCATTTGCTTTGTTACCTTTCTAGTTCATTATCATATACTGAATTTAACCTTTAGTATGTACAAAGCTAAAGGCATTACATAAATGAAATGAATCCCATGGTAATACAAAACTACACAGAAGCTTACTGGGGGACAACTCCAGATAGATTCAACATGTAACAGTGTATGGTGTGATGCAATTGATACATGTTTGCTAAGCAATAAATGAAAATTATTGAAGAAATTTAAAGAGTTTTGGGTGAAAACTTTACCTGGAGTGATATTTTGTTGTCCTATGGGTGGTAACGGAATTGCAGTAACAGATGTGGGTTTGGGTGTTGCTGTTGCTACAATCGGCTGCAGATGATCTGTTCAAAGTGACAAATCAATATAATAAAGTCATTAGTATTTAACCTTATTAACGTAAAATCAATCGGATTTAGGTGTACGTGTGTTAATTACTAGTAATCATTTTGTACTTGGTCAGTTGATATTGTAACTCAATCACACTACATTTTAGATTGAAATGTTAATCACCCTTGTATAAGTGAGTAAGCGTATTCTTACCAAAAGTATATAATAAAGTGATGTTGCCAAGGCTACAAATATCAAGTGCGAAATATTGACATTAGCTTTATGCGTGAAACATCAAGACATGGTAAACTTACGAGGGAGTGGCCCAGTGTTGACAGGTCCTGGTGTAGCTGACACAGTCGCTGTTTGTTGACGTGGAGTAGGCGTCTAAAATGACACGTAAAAAAACGAGAAAAATACGTACAATATAATAACAATAATGGTCCTCTTTATCAAATGAATTTACATTCAATTTACTTTTTAATATTTAAACGTTGTCCTATCTTAACTGTTTTTTATTGAATTAGTACAACGAAACAATTAGTAAAGACAAAAGTATAAAAGGTACGTTGCATGGATATTACGCTAAAATGTTAATACTAGAAAGGTAACATTTGCAAAGCAAATGCATAATGTTTACTTTCGCATATGGTCTGTTAAATTTTACGCATTCACATTCACGTATATGGTGACAGGAGTCTAAATCTCTCCTGCTATGAAATTGCAACATTATGTAACCCAACACCAGTTACCATGGTGACAGACGTCAACAAATTAGGTCATTGGCCAGGTCAGAGGTCACTTTGGAGAGGAAGAGGAGGAAACTGAGCAAAAAACAATATGTTTTCCTTCAGTAAACATAATGATTACCTAAAGGATACCACTATAAACAGCGTCCAGATTAAATTTGGACTTTCCAGAGCACTTTGGACAAATGCTTCTAGCTGTCTTCAGCTTATACTTACAATGCTAATATTTTGTAAACAACTTCCCTGTCACCGTACGGATCATAATGACCCCCAGCGGGGGTCGTCACGCATCGTTAAAAATCTAAAAATCTTAAGATTTTTCTTTAAAATCTCAAGATGTTTCGGAAAATCTCAAGATTTTTCAAAACCATCCCAAGATTTTTCTTAAAAATCTCAAGATTGTTTCAGATAATCTCAAAGCACCTAAAGATTTTTAAAAGAATCTCAAGATTTTTATAAACAATCTCAAGATTATTTCAAACAATCTGGAGATTTTTTTCAAAGTCATCTTAAAATTAATGTCTAAACTTCATGTAAGATTCATATTAATCAAAGTCAGAATATTCCGGAAGGTTTTATTGCTGTGTAGGTTCTGAGTCTTGAGAGTTTAGGCGAGTTGATGAGGATAGTTTTTTAAAATTTTCATGGAGCTTGTCAATGGTAGATTAAAATTTTTCAGTGTCTTCTGAGTCCTCTTTGTGACTCGGGTGGATTAGCGATACAACTATGGTATCAAATGTGGCATAGCTGCATAGTTGTTCTTAACATATGTCTGCGCAATCTGATGGTTGAGTATTCTTGCATAACAGTCAAGTGGTAAATTCTTGCATCACATAAAAATTTACAGGACTGTCATACATGTACATCAGAACTATTAGGATTTGAATAACAGAATAATAGAGTAACATGGCACCATTCTAACTTACGCATAATGTGTAGGTCACAGAAATGCATGGCATGTATGTTTTATGTAATATGTTTTATCTTATATTTGGAAAATGAAAGCGTTGCATCAGGGGAAACATTCAAGAAATGGACATCTTTAGGTGATCTGAACCGATTTCAAAAAAGTAATCTTGAAATTATTGTTCAAACGTCATCTTCTTAAGATTCGTGTAAATTCTGATTTAGGCCAGTTGTGGTAGTTTTGGGCTTGTACTGGCAGGGTGCACAATGAAGAAGCTTCATTTACACACAACATATGGCTTTTCAGTCATTCAGTTCTTACGGGCTTTAACAGAGCCAGCTGTCATGTTTAACATGTAGGTTTAGTTCAAAATGTAACTTTTACATCACATACACCTGTTTGCATTATACAACAGATTGACAGTTAACAGAAAATTAAACTAAAAGTCGAAAAATCTTAAGATATTTCTTAGAAATCTTAAGATATTTCTTAGAAATCCCAAGATTTTCTGGAAAATCCCAAGATTTTCTGGAAAATCTCAAGATTTTCTGGAAAAGCTCAAGATCTTTTTTAACAATCCCAAGATTTTTTTTTTGGAAAAATCTAAAAGAAAATTAACATTCTAAAACAGTTCAGCGAGTTTTCCATGTAATTGAAATATGGTGTTGCAATTTGGGGGAAATGTTTTCTTGACCCAAATTTAAATGTTCAATACTTTTTTCAACAATAGGATCACCATTATATACACAGTGTAGAACTTTTCTAAGACTGGTGGGTCACAAAACTACATCCTACATTCGTGCAGTATGTATGTTAGGCCCATCATGAAAAGATTACTGCAACAGGAGAGCTTTTAATATGATCCACACTTCCCAAGTCTGAGTTGTGCAAGTAAAACTTTCAAGGTGAAGGTAATTTTCAACCCCCGGAAGTCGGGGAACAACAGACGCCGGTAAACTGGATAGTGTGTACCTGCACCAGCAGTGCATGGTAATGCAGAAAAAGTTTTTTAAGCCCTGCAAGTACTCCAGATCTCCCACCTTTTCAGAATACTAAGTCTTCAATCATTTTGATAGACATACAATGTACATATAATTAGCTTCAGACACTGTGAAAAGAAACCTTTCAGTTTCTTGGCCCAGTTTCTTTCCTTCTGACATTCTTTAACCTTAGCTACAGACAAATTATATAGATAACATACCTCCCTGTGTGGATTCCTATGTTTTTACAGTGTCCAGAAAAAGCTGATAGAGATAATTGTTAATTGGTTTCGAACTACCTGGGAGGAGAACTTAATTGTCCCCCCCTCCCCTTGATTGCAGGATGGCTTCCCAGGGGCATGTGGCACATGTGGTCCTACAAAATCTTCAATTTTGATGTAACGTTATTTGTAGATAAATTTCTTTCTTTGTTTTTTTTCTTCTTATTTGACTACAAGTACATGTACTGTATGGCCAGTTTTGCCTTTTGGTCACAAAATTGTTTCCTAGGCCTCTGTCCCCGGCACTGTTCACATTAGCCGGTCGTTTCACGCCTGATTAATTACATCCCCTTGCAGCGGGGACGGGCACGGCCACTGATCTGCCAGGCTAGCTGCTCTGGGAGCCTGGCCGGGTGTTCACCCTGGATTAATTAAAAAGTCATTAACGCCGATCCCTGGGATCGGCAGCCCAGGCAAAACAAACACAGCTCCATATCATTTTAGAGGTTAGACCAGTGGGCAAGGGGTACTACTGGTATAAGATTCCAACAATCAATGTGATTATGAACAAAGTTTGAACTGTAATGTCCAACATAAGGAAATGGACCAAATTTTGTCAAGAAATAACACCTACCAACACCGCTGTGTTGGAAGATCGCTGTGACGGTTATCCCAAGGTTGAAACTAGAATACCAGAAGGTTTCAAGACTACAAGAAGAGATCCGCTGTCAGAAGTAGAACGTAGTTAAGAGTTAAGTCACCATCATCATCATGATTAGTGAAGTAAAATTCTACTTCGCTAGTTTCAGCATACACATTCGACCCCCTACCCCCTCTCCTAATTACTTCCATTCCTTCTCTCCTCTTCCCATGTGAGGTAGCGACTTGTGTACATACATGTAGGGCCCATGACAGGAGCTTGTGATGAGCTACTCTCATGTAGGCATGTAGGACATTTCTACTCTCATGTGGGATATTTCTTAATTTGGACCAGCTCATTTATGTCTATCTCGTCTTCAACCCACTATCATAATGGGTTTTGTGTGGGTGGTCCAATGTCCATTTGAGGTCATTTTAGGGTCAGAAACCATCTAAACATGTGCGTACTGTACAGCAGTACCAGAGTACAGCCATTTCTTGTAGCAATGTTTGACACCATGTCTATGACCAAAGGTTTGGTAACCAGGCTACATGTACATGACATTACTCTCTGGAGGATTACTCCAGCTTGTCCATTATAAACAACCCCCTCCTGAGATTGTTGAGATTGATACACCAGATATCCTCAGAGCCAGAGACATGGAAGTCCTAGCCTGGATGCCAGACCCAAAGCACACTGGACACAAAATATGCTCACTGAGATATTTTGTGTCCAGTGTGCTTTGGATCTGGCATCCAGGCTATGGAAGTCCCAGTAAACAGGGAATCGGCACTCAGGCTAATGCTAGCCTACAAACAGAGCACAACAACCCACTGTACAAAAAAAAAATGTCAAATGACAACCTTTTAAAGAATTCTTTGCTGCTTTCTGCTTGCATCCTTACGATTTAATAGAACTATATACGGTGTCATTGGAACTTTCTATGATTTCTTGGCAGAGAATCATTAAAAAAACCTGTGATGACCATTGATTTTCTTTCTAAACCAGACATCAGTGTCCTCTCTACTACCTGGCCAGCCCAGGGAAGGCAACCTGAAAGTCTCAAGGGCTCAGGTCTGAAAGCCCTGGCTGGAGGTCTGGGGAGTATACCAACTTCAAGAAAGGGGGAGGCTAGGAATAGTAGATGTAGTATACTATGGTCACCTAAAGAACACCTTCAAACGCCTTCCAGATTTTCTAATATCACTGTCCTCTGGGACTAAAAATTTCTAAAGCAAGTGTAAAAAGATTCAGTTTCAGCTTTTTGTATGGGTAATTTATGGCAAGGATGCCCCTAGCTTACTTCAGCTGTTCCCTGCACAGATGGCAGCTTGGCTCATCATGACAGCCTTCTTCCAATGAGTTTGGTCCCTACCACAGACTCTACCACATGGTGTGCGAATGGATTAGCTGGTGTTCACAGTCAGTAGATCTAGGCTGCCAGGGTTTCTCTCACTGGCTTGCTTGGAGCATGGAGTTAAAATCAAGCAGATATGGGGAGGGTCTGGTGCAGTGTTTTTTTCGCAATTTTTTTACATCTTCTAAAACAATCCACTGCGGAGGTGTGCTAACCGAGGATGGCACAATAGCACCAGGCTAACACCCAACAGCACAGATACAAAACAACCAAAGAATCCAAGCTGACATCCCCTGATGACCACTTCTCAAACTGGCAAAGCTTATCTTTGGAGTACGACCGATCTCCTCTCTCAATGTCCTGGTGGCTAATTAATCACAGATGCATTGCTGCCGGGACAATCTCACTATAAAGTCGTTCAAAGTACACCCTCTCCTCTCTCCTGTGTTTATTTTAGCAGTTTATCGGATGGATGGCAAAGATACAAAACACAAAGACGATATAAGGTAAATAATTTAGGATATGGGATTGTAGGGATGAAACTGATTGAAAAGATTCTCAACTCAGTTATAAAACAGTACTCCCATAGTGCATATAGTACTGGCTCTGGTCTCAATTAACAGATAGTCAATCTAGGAGTTAGAATTGATATGCCAGCTCTTTAATTCAAAGCTTTGACAAGTAAATTGATTGGTTCCCAGAAAAGGTTGTCCCCCAAAAATGATACAACCCAATTTATACAGAGTTTGAATGTACCAAGGACATTATATCAAATGTACACATAATGAGGGTCTGCATGAGGGGGTCCTGGCAACGGTTAACGGTAAATTTAGCAGGACCGATAACGCTTAACGGTAAATTCAGGACGGCCGGCAACGCTTAACGGTAAATTGACAGGCTTTTTTTTCGAGCTGGATTTGGTATCTCGCTTTGTGGAAAAGTTGATCACTGACAAAATTACGTATACCTTTATTAATACATGTAATGAAGCTTGCATTAAAGATATGTGTTCCCTGTGTTCCCCACCTGCCCTGGTCCCCGAGTGCGCAGAAGCGCGAGTCGAGCGCCAAAGGCGCGAGCAATGTAGGGGGGTCCGGGGGAATTCTCCCCCGGGAAATTTTGTATTTTTAAACCTTCAATGACGCATTTTCCTGCACTTTGATAGGCAAAATTAGGCGTAACGAAGAATTATTTATTAACGCTTAACGCTGAATTCAGGATGACAAATAACGTTTTACGTTGAATTAAAACAACCCATAACGCTTCACGAGGAATATACTGACAACGCTTAACGTTGAATTAGAGCGGACCGGCAACGATTAACGGTAAATTAAACTAGCCCATAACAGTTAACGAAAAAGGGCATGCAGACCCTCCATAATCTTTTATCTTAAACATTTGAAAACAAACTTAAATTCAAAACTTACAATGTATCATCAACTTACAATGTATCATGCACTACTTTAGGCTTTAAGACCTTAAAATAGTGTATACATGACAAAGTACAGTGCCAAGGCCAGCAGACAGAATTCTACCCAGACCCAAACTGCAGGAGCTGGTAATAGGGAGGAAGCTCTAGAGAGTCAGGGGTGTTATCACAAGGCAGGGGGTCCTGGAACTAATTAAGTCACTCTGGCTTATTCTCTGAGTAAAGTTCAGAAGGCCCCTTGCTTGTACACTAGGCATGTTTATGTATCCTCCTTGGTACATGTGTATATTATGAATGAATTTTGGTTAAGTCATTGCCATGATTATAACTGTTAAGCCTGCATTCTCAAAACATTAAAAGTAGATCAAAGTCTGTAGGGAGCTTTAATAGCTTCTAGCTGACCTAAAGGCAGGGACATTTGTGACATCAGACTCCCTTATGTCAATAGAAATTTCAGCAGGGGTCCTCCTTGTATGAGTAGACAGGATACAGAACTCAATGCACATGCTTGTGCAAGACTTTTAGTGCTGCATTGGCCTATACTATAGTCAAAGACCAGCTCTTGCTATCTTGGAGATGCATTGTAAAGGATATTGGCTCATGGCATTGAACATGCATGTAGACGACAGGTGGAAATCATTCAGTAGAGACAAGCTTTAATTTTAAAGTAGTATCTAAATGTATTGAACAAGATATTTTATCAAAAAGTTGTCTCAGCAGATTATAAAATATTTGCTGTGAAGTCTCCACAAACATTTGCTTCTACCTTCTATTGTTTCAACTATTATTAGCTGGATTCTGTATTGTGGTGCATCTGCTGGGGGATCTGATAGGGGAACATCTGGTCCAAAATGCCACATATGATTTAGATGAAAAGTGTTACCGAAAACATTTTTCCTAATTTTGGTAGAAAGAATCATTTCAAACCAGTAACCAGTGTCAATCTTAATCAGCAAAGACCTAAAAAATGAAGCCTTGTAATGACAGGGGCGGGGTACTGGAAATGGCTTCTCCCCTTAACCCATCAAAACCCATTAGCAAGCCCATTATCTCACCAAGCTCACCCCCCTGCAGAAAAATGGACTCACAGTCAGAGGAGCCTACCTGAATGGTTGTAGGCTGGGAAAGCATAATGCATTATAGACTTTTGGTAACAATGCATTACCCGGGTTAACAATGCACACACAATACCCGATACTAGCTAGCTACACCTAGATGCAAAGTGACGTTTAAAAATCTTGAAATTGTTTGAAAGAATCTTGAGATTGTTTGTAAACATCTTGAGATTCTTTTGAAAATCTTGAGATGTTTTGAGATTGTCTGAAGCAATCTTCAAAAAATCAATACTTACACACTTTTTCCTAACATAACCAATATACCCTGCTTTGTACACATCAACAGAAAGTACGGCAGGACATGCTTCGGGTTCTTTGCCCAACTCAAAGAGTTTTCATGGCGGCGGACCTACATTCTGTATGGGGCCTGTGTGTCTTTAAGTTGTACAGCACAGTCTAGAGGCACAGCGGATAGTGTGAAAGGGTGGATCGGGCTATCACTCACCCTCCATGCCCCCAGCTTCACAAGTCAAGTCTGGTTCCCAGGGAAAACTCACTCAATCTCATGCCACATTCCTGGTCCTCTCCAACTTGCTGCTGTATCAGTCTTCTTCCCATCAAAGTTTCTCAGTGAAAAACCAGCACGTACTGCTTCAATAGTACCCCGAATGGAATTGCTAACCAACAAAATTGGCAAGTCTTCCACTTAAAATATAGAAATCTGCATATAACCCCTAACTTATTTTATTACATGTAGACTAGTTTTCCTGACATCGGGGGACCTGTAAGAAACAGGAGGAGCCAGTAGAAACCAATAAACCCCTGGTCCTGGGCCGTACAGACTGACAATGTGGCTTTTGTTTGCTGCTACATGGACATGCAGATACATGTAGCGATTGAGATACATGTAGCGATTGATATATAATGTCATCAAGAAATCCTGCTGTAATCGTACTGTAATCTAAGAATTTGCAGAGAGGACGAAAGAGACACTGCAGCTAACAAAGACTTGGTCACCAGGTTACAGTGTAATCCATCAATATAACAGAATATCCAGAAGTCATAATTCTTGCAAGATGTAATGTCAATGGTTTATTCACCATGCAAACTTTCACTATGCAAAAATAATTGGGAGAAGTCTACTTGTAGGATTAACACACTACTGATGCAAAAAAAAAAGGAGAGAAGAAACCGTCAAACTGTGAATGGGGTTAATCTATCATTGACAAGCTTCAGAAAAATAAAAAAACAGGACTTACACAGCAATAAAACCTCCGGAAAATCCTGATATTGATTATTATCAATCTTACATAACGTTTAAACAGCAATTTCAATATGACTATTAAAAAAACTTGAGATTGTTTCAAAGAATCTTAAGATTGTTTGTAAAAATCTAAAGATTCTTTTAAAAAATCTTTAGATGTTTTGAGATTGTCAGAAACAATCTTGAGATCTTTCCAAAAAATCCTGGGATTGTTTTGGAAAATCTTGAGATTGTTTTAAAAAATCTTGAGATTTTCCAAAACATCTTGAGATTTTAAAGAAAAATCTTAAGATTTTTCGATTTTTATCGATGCGTGACGACCCCCGCTGGGGGTCAATATGATCCGTACGGTGACAGGGAAGTTGTTCACAAAATATTAGCATTGTAAGTATAAGCTGAAGACAGCTAGAAGCATTTGTCCAAAGTGCTCTGGAAAGTCCAAATTTAATCTGGACGCTGTTTATAGTTCTGACAATCACAATAAGTAAGCTCTAACATACCGAGCAACAGTGGCTGCATAGTCTGATGAAGACACCGGTGATACTCAATAGATCAGCTAACAGTAGAGGCCAGAAAGGTTTTAGGTACTGGTCAATGTCAGGTGCAGGCTGTAGGTGCTGGTCGTAGTAGAACGTCAGTATGACGGCGGTACAGCAAACCCCGTACAGGTGGAGCAGGTCAGGGGTCAGATGTAACGCCGCTGACTTGGCCTCTCCCCCTGGCATTTTAAATAAACAGACCGTTAAAGCGATATTATGTAAGATTTTTCACGCCAAAATTGTAAGTATGAATAACTGAAATTTTCCAGATTGTCATTTTCAATAACTTTCAACATATTAGCGTCGCCATTTCGCTTTTTCGGCGACTCAGCGTAGCGCGAGAATAAGTTACGCTAGGCCCGCTTTTTGTAGGAGGCTCCTAAAAAAAAGAATGTAAACAAAGAACATGGCCGCGACCCGCACTAGCGCCGAAGACTTGGCAGTTTTCCAACACGTTTTTGCGGCGCAACGGCGTTGATCTTTTACTCCCCAAATATCAATATGAGGTAAGCTTATAGCGCAAGAAAATGTTTAAAACAACAATGTTACAAGTATTGAAAATCTTACATAAATAAATGAGAACAGAGCAACACATCTTAAACTGAAGGTGACATAAGGTCGTGGCAAGTATCGTTGTTTAGGCTTAATCGCACTTTGTTCGCGGTTCTAAACATTCTACTGGATAGGGACTGTGTATCAAATACGCAGATACTGCCCGTTTCTATCACCCTAATGAATATGAACCCCCCGTTGTAATTCTATAAACCACGCTATAAACACCGTATATGGCATATATACGAATTACAAGGTACCAGTTAAAATATACAAGTTATAAGGAAGTAATGTGACACTAAATCAACATTACATCAAGTAGCTTTAAATTCAACAGGCCTTTTGATTTTTAACTTCCTTGATAATTATGATATACACACTGTCTTGCTATAGAAAACTGTTGAATGTTTCGGGATGAAGAGCATAGCAGACAGTGCATTGTATTTGGGAAATACAAACGAAGTAAGTCTTACCTTTCTTGATACTGCTGAAGAAGTAGCAATGGGTGGCGACAAGTGAGCAGAACAGCAGTAGCCACAGGGGCGCGAGTGCATGCGACAGTGTGCAGGGTGCAAGGTACTCCATGTAGGTAATGTATGGGAGGCTTCGTGGCCACACGTAATACGTGATCCCCACCATACTTAGAACCCACACGGCAAGAAGAACAAGTATTCCCCAGAAAGACCAAAAGCAGGAGCATGAACACGCGCATCCACAGTCCCCATACTCGTCTTGGCAGATTTTAAACATGTAAAAAACTAAAGCAAACAGGGGCATAATATAAAACAGGATTCCATGGGGAAGAAATAGAGCAAAAAGGGGAACACTTGTGGGATCGTCATAATGTGATGCCACCAAAAACTTTACTGTGAATCCAATCGGAAAACCGGTCATGGCAATGTAGAAAGCTACGTAATATTTAATTGGCTTTAGGAATTCCCTTTTTCTTTGCCATACCATGAAAGCAATGAAAAAGCTGAAGTCAAGAACAACAAGGGGGATGATGGCAACTTTGGCAGGGATGTTGAGGTTAAACGACGGAATGGGAAAGAAACAGATAGCAGCGAAGAAAGTTGCACAGAGTCTGAGAATATCAAAGGAAATTCTTCTCTTCTCCCACCAAACAGGGTTATCTGAAATTACAAAAAAAGGCTCAGTTTTGTTGTGTACAGGTCATATTGCAAAATATCCCTTCATTTTTCTGAAATTTGTATATCAGTTACTGTATGTTTGTATGGGGGCAGGTTTTTCGAGCTGGGCATAATCTATGAACCTACTAAAATCTTGACTATGAAAACTTACCAAGGCTATGAAGTGCCGAGTTAGCAACACTTGACTGGGGGGCAACCTGGTTTTTACTGATGAGGAAAGAAAATTAGCATTATTGGAAGTCTGCAGGATGGTGTGAATATTCATGATGGTTCTGTTCATCTAAACGATTGCAAATCAACAGACCATGGCCAGTTTTTAGGCTGAAATTAATTAATCTGCCTAGCTGTATGATAATGCAATTTTATTGCAAATACCTTCCCGATGGCTAATTGCAAATACGAAAAAGGAGATACAATGATATGAGAGATTATGTGCAAAGTTATACTACATTCTACAACATACATGGTTTTATTGGGTTTGACTTTTTCTTTTGAGACAGGTGGAGACGAATTTACCCACTTCTTCTAAGATATGTGGATTCCTTGATTTTAGTAGTAAAATTGTTTTCTCTTGGTAAGGAATAGTGGGAAAGTAAGGGTGCATTTTGGACACGGTGGTAAATAATTGGTGTTTGATATGATTAGAGATGAAATGATTTTCGTCTTCCACCACCAAGCACTGCGTTTGAGAAACAATATTTGTAAATCCTCTCCGACACAGGTAGTTTCATTTTCGATTTCAGTCAATGAGGCCTACTCCCTCGGTGAAATAACGCCTGGCCAGTGACCTATTGTTTTTTTCAGAGATAGTATGTTACCGTTAACAACTCAAGCTCATGGTGGGTCATTAACCATTAATTGACAATTTAGCACACGTATATAGCACTTTATCATATAGCCGGACGGCGTGGACCAATCAGAGGCCCGGATACCCGTGCTGTTATTTCCCGATAACAGCACATGTGGTGTTATGGCGGAATAACAGCACATGTCGTGTTATGGCTGATACCATTATGTTATAGGGTATAGGGGCATGCGACTCTTTCTGTAAACCTTTGTAGCATTTTTCTGTCCAATAAACTTTTTTGTTTAGCTTCATTTAAACTACAATTTGCATTAAATGAAATTATCCATATTTGTTTTAAAGCGTATAATATATTCGAATGTATTTTTATGTATGTATATATATTAAAGCTGTTGTATTTCAAACAGGAATTGTGTTGATTGACAGTTTGGATAGGCTATATGATAATAATTTTAATGCACTGCCTTTTCCTCGTTGTATATGGTGTCATAACTGCATGGGCAGCTGCCATAACCACCTCATAAACCACCTCGTTCGCTTCGCTCACACGGTGGTTTATTCGGTGGTTATGGCAGCTGCTCATGCAGTTATGACACCATATACAACTCGGGGCAGTGCATTAACCCTTTATTATCTACCAGCAAAAGCAGCATCCGTAGTTGCAGGCGAGGTAGAGTAGAACGGAGATCACCCACACTAAGATGGCGACGACACTGCCAATAACTGTGAATAAAGACAACAAACGCATAAAAAAATGTGCGTTCGAAAAGAAAATCCCTCTTTTAGTTCTGCTATCTTCCAAAGTCATGTTGAAAGTTTAAATTTTACAAAGTAAAATTTTACAAAGTATACAAAGTAAAGTTTCGTCAGAAACTGTGTTTGAATTATGTCATAACTTCCGTGACAACTACACACGAAACGGTACTACTAAAGACTGTAGTCGATAGAGTCAAAAGTCCAAACTTTTTAATCTATTGGCTTTTTGCACACCCTGACGTTCATTTGCTCATTTTCTATCAAATATTACGATCCACATTACAAATGTTTTAGGTTTAGAATTCCTCCCTAAAATCTATCAACCATTCATGTACTTGCGGCTAATGTTGGGTCGTATCCGAAGTCCAAATAGAAGGTGTCGCTTTGGTTTTCCCTCGATGAGCAGCAAAAGGCAGAGACGTTCCTTCCGCCGACGTCCCAGACATACGGACAGGCTAGCGAGGTACTAGTATTCGCGAGGGAGCCATTCGAGAAATCCATGGCTGTTCATGGATCATGTAACGTTGAAATCAGTCCTTCGGGCTACCTGCGTTGGTTATGTCGTCTGTTTTGGCAGGTGCAAAGACAGTGAGTCACACCCAAACTATTCAAGGGCGTGAAAGGGTTTTGCGAAACGCATAACAGAGCAAAATGGCTTTATCATCACCGTCTCTTTGAGACACTTCCCATGGAATTTAATAAGTCGCTGGGACTCGTTAGATGAATCACCGCGTGTCCTCGGCTATTTCAACACTTGTACAAAATCAGATTACTAAGTATCAATACGTCGCCATACACGCTCTCACGGTTTCGTTCATTTGCATACTGTACAACATGACCTGTGCAAACAAAACATCTGTCACCCTGGAGAGTCAACAAGCGTCACTCGCCTGTGATCAAATCGTCCGTGGACCCAGGCAACAACGCTTAGTTACCACACAAAGCCAAAGGCCCTTTGTTTAAAATGTATTGAAATGGACTTGTTTGGTACAGTAATACCTAAATATTATAGTCTTTTGTCAATGAAGGTCATTGCGTCTGGTTAAAATGTTGCAGAAGACAAGATAAATGTATAAATTTGCTTAATTTTCACAGTTTTTTTCAGTAATGTTTACATAGTAAACATTACCTGAGTTTACAACCTTTGGTAAACTCAACTTTTCGTGCAGTGTTGGCAATGTGCTGTGTAATGCCAGCTGTGAAAACAGCATATCTTGAATTCCTACTTTGTATTCCCCTCAGATAGGGTGTGTTATGTGTGGTGTGTTGTGTATGCAAAATTCCTTTTTTTTGTCCTGATCAACAATTTGATACATCACACTCCAGTTTAGAAAAAAATTAGTAGCAAATTAAACAACCCTTCCTTCAGAGTGAGACAAGAGGTATTGTTTTTAATCTTCCTAGATCCTACGAACCTGTTTCGTTTCATGTACAAGAAGAGAAGAGACTAAATTGCAATTACAACCATTTACACATTACTATAGTGAGAAGCATATTTTGCTGACTAAGTTTGCAGAGGCCTTGTGATAGAAGTCGACACTAATGATGAAAATGGTGTACAACATAAAATCAATTCAACTTTATTGCTCAACATGTTCAACTGTAACTCACTAACTGGTGCAATGAAAAAGACGAAACAACAAGGGTAGATACATGAACTATACTAAAATATAATTCTAACATAGCTAGCCCATAATGATAATAAAGCTATATAGAACACGTTAATCGTTAACAAAGAATATCCTGACTTCGCATCTGAGTGGTAGCTATTTGCACACTTTATTTGCGCTCCTAATAACAAGTTCGTGCTAGCATGTGCTCAGATCTAGAATTTAGCTGATTTTTTGTCTTGGTTTTCTCCATCTCCATACATAGAAAGGGAATACAGCAATTTGTCTGGTCTACATGGTCTGTTGTTTCAGGTATTTCTATCAATTTGTATCGTATTATACATTGGTGCTGGTCGGTTTGTAGTTTACTGTTTTTTTTGTTCAAAGATCAATAATCTTACATATTACATCTTTCGCCGAAGGTTTTTCTTCGTGTGTCATCTGGGATATCTGGAATATAACAGAGACAAATAAGGTTATTAAAGAAAGGAACGTATGTATTATGCTGACTCCTCTCAACATTGTATGAATAGAAACATTTCACTTAACCTTCCTAAAAGTCACCAAGGAGCAATATTTGTCTACTCATTTTACTTTTGTCCTCGTAGCAATGGTGTAAGATCATAGGAGGATGCCAATCAATTTTCAAACCTTTGTCATGAAGATTTGATTGATTTCAATGTGGAGGACAAGATGAGGAGGTTAAAGTTGGAAACAATAAAGGACCAGTAGACATACCTTTCGGAATGTGAATTTCATCTGATGCCTTTCGCCGCAAGCTCTTCCGTCACCCTTTTAAGATAGTCTGGGTCCGGGTATCCATAGCTGCAGCAGACAGTATGTTTACAATCGTTATAGCGAAACAACCAGCTACATGTTTGTCAAAGTTGTGGTTGATCAATTTGTGACCATACCCAGACATCAGGAATTGGCAGTGCTTTAAAGAAGCCCTTGATTAAAGGTGACTATCATTCTACGTAGTGTCACACTTCAAAGAAGCCACGTGACAAGCCTCACCGGGTCAGTCTACTGAAGAAGACCAGAGTGACTGGTCGAAAGCTCTAGGTGAGAGAATTTTTTTGTGTTGGAGCAAAAGTTTTAACTTTAAACATCATCCTACGTACTTTGATGCCCCTCCTTTTCGGCTTGTCTTGTGGTGAATGTCGTTCCAGATCACAACGTCCGTTTCGCCGGTTGTCGCCGATGTCCCTACGGTGAAGACAAGCCGATTGTCAAAGGCCTTCTTCAGCAACCGGAGAACCTCTCGCCCTTCGCTGTTGTCTGGTAGGAAAGCCATCCTCTTTGTTCCCTTGTATGGCATACCTGGATTCGGGTGGTTCTCCTACAAAAACAGTTATTTACCCGTTATCTTGAGATAAAACATTTTTATCAGCAGAATCATCAATGTTGATGTACCCAGTGTTAGTAATAAAATTATATTTCTTTGTTGACAACTGGTTTACATGATAAGTTTATCAGTATAGAGAATTATAATTATGGTGAAATGTTGGTATCAATTTGCCTCACCTGCTGATAACCATCCGGTATACTATAGAGAATCTCTATGGTTCCACAGTTGTAGCCTGGAAGTGGTTGGGGACTGTTTCTGTTGTCCATAGTTGCTTCGGCCGGCTGGGTGCCTTTCAGTGCTCCGTGTTGATGGCCACAGGTAGGACACACAGGTTTGACCTGAAAAGCTTCCTCGATACAATCATAACAGAATACATTGTTACAGCAACGGAGTCTTCTTGGTCGTACAACGTTGGTCAAACAGATGGGGCAGTCGTCGTCAGTGGTGGCTTGAGACCGATGCGGTGGCTCCGTGGGGTTTGGTGGAAGACTGCCACTGAAGGCTCGCACAAAGACGCGGTTGATTTGGCCATCGATGTTGACGAACCTGATGTCACGAAGGGTGTTGTTTCCAGGTGATGAGTGGACGAACTTCAGTGTTGCCAACACGAGTTGCTCAGCGCAAACTTCGACTGGTACCCCGTAAATTCCTGAAAATATATTAATATTATATATTAATGATACTTGAACGTAATATTTACCGTATCTTTAAAAGACAAATAACTACTATGGGGTCGTTCTTAATCTAGAAATCTAGTCACATACCTGTACATGTATATTTGAACTTGACCTTGGTCCTCACAAAGGTAACCTGCCTGCCAAAAATCATCGAACTATGCCTTCAAGAGTTATGCCGCTAAATCCATAGTCACCCACACTAAAGCAGACTGATTTTATAACCTTCTGACGAAGGCAATAAGTTCTTGTCCTCCATATTAATCTAAACATACAGTCGCCGTAGAATTTGTGACGTACCTGCACTTATAGCTGGAATGGCGATTGACGTAGCTTTTAGTCTGCTGGTCGCGTAGTACAGAACATTGTGCAATGCTTCATACAGTTGTGCCTTCACGGTGTCTTTGTCTCCGTGGCTGTGCCATTTCGGTCCCACTGTGTGAATGACGTATTTACACGGCATCTTACCCGCCCCTGTGTGCATAGCTTGCCCGATGGTTAGGGTACCGCTTTTCTTCACATATTCGTCGGATTCCTCTTGTATCTTCCTACCCCCAGCCCTGCTGATAGCAAGGGCCACACCGCCCGCATGGTCTAGTCGTTTGTTCGCAGCGTTGACCACGGCATCTACCCTTTCCTGCGTGAGGTCGCCTTCTTGAACGCTTATCGTAATATCGCCGACTGTTGCTTCGAAGTGTCTGTCGCTACGTGTTCGAACACTGGCATAATTTTGAGTATCCATCGTCTGCATGTGATGAGTCATACGGGACTGTGGGGCTGTGTTGTCGTCTCTGTCAGGTGCATTTTCTTTCTTGGTGGAATTTTCAATGAAGGTTTGAATAGCACTTTCTACGTCGGTTTCAGATCCGTAGAAAACTACATTAAAATCGTCACTGAGACAGTTTTTGACGAGGACACGGCCGTCGGCGTTGGCAAGGGTGAGCGCCCTGTGCAGACTCCGTATCGTGCACTCCGGAAGGACTTCCAGTACATTTATGGTGTTATGCCTCGACAATGTGGCCGAGATTCTGCGATACAGTTCCATGAACTGCTCAGAAGCACGCTCCACGTTACCTTTGCCGGGTTTATGTGTCCGAAAGGTGACTTTGCACGGCTGTGACTCAGTATCTTGCTCGATGACGACACTGTTCTTGCGAGGAATGTCCTCAAACTCCATTTTGTGAACCTTCTTGATGAATTCTAGTTTTACAGCGTCTATTGTAATGGCCATTTCGTCAACTGATTCGTTCGTCCCTTGTTCGTTTGTACTTATTTCATGGGCCCTTGTCGACTTGTTTGTCACTTCAGCTACCTGTAACTGATGACTGATGCTACCTTCTTCGTCACTGTCATAGTTGTGCATGCCTGGTAACGGTGCTGCTTTAGTCGGTTCACCCTCCCAGGAGGAATCTTGCATTTTTTTCAAGGTTTCTGTAGGATACAGACCTTTTTCGTTTGCCTCCGATGTGCTTTTCCCACCCTGAAAATCGTACATACATTACATACATACAGGAAGCCCGATCGAATATGGTATTATTAGTTGTAAATTACACAAAAATATTGAAATGTTAAATGCTAACACACCATATTTTCTTTGGGTAGTGTATGTAGTAGTAGAATTTGATTACAGGTATTTTAAAGAAATAGCATGAATATAACATTTATAGCTATTTATACTATCTATTTTATATTTATAGCCATAAGTACAACATATACTACAATCACGTCTTTGTCAAATAGAATGTCAACAGAAATTCTTATCAATACACTCTGAGTAACACAGCGAGAGGGTTGCTGTTCTTGATCAGTACTTAATTTTGTTTAAATGTTTGCTACTAGGGTGATAATTTTACTCTAAATGTGTGCTTTATCAACATTTTTACCTGTCCGATGTCTTGATCTCTGACGATCACTGTGTTGTCCACTTTCTTCATAGGTGCGTTGACCAAAGTAACTTTGAGGGTCTTCTTCTTAACTCTGTGCTCCTCTTTAGCAACTTTTTCAGCCACTGCATTTAACGACAGCATATAATGAGTGGTGTGACATATCACTAATGTATATGCATGTATTTCAGTTATTAAACTACCTCTATATCTAAACATAAGAACTCATACCTTGTGTTATGTTAATGTACAATTTGGTATTCCTAGTAGATTTTACAGATATATTGACAGCATCAAAATGTCCTATTCCGTAAACATGTAAAATGTTCTCACCTTGCCTAGACTTGAATTCCACAATTTTGTCTCCCCAATCGTCACTAGTGTCAGTAGTGACCTGCCTGAAGTCTGATGAGTACCTCCTGCTGAAATACTTTTCTATCTCAGAAATGTCACCGTCAAAGTTAGTAATATACACGCAGTTGTGTCTATTGTGTCCTCCGGTTGTTCCTTCATAAGGCAGTATTGGTTCTTGTACAGTCACTCTTGCCCCTTGTAGGCTCATGTCGCCAGGTCCCGTCACATAAGCTTGTTGAGAAGCTTTCGTAGACATGTAGCCATGATTGAGTTTGTGTGTCTCATTGCCTGAAGACACAGCGTTAGGGTTGCCTTCCATGTTCTTCTCCTTATCCCGCTGTTTTGAAACGATGGCTCCCATGGGCTATATTTACATACTATACCACGAATGTGAAACCACCCTAAGATACATGTAATTACAACCAAAGTTAATAGTTGTAATTACCAACAAAATACCTGACGTACTCGAGAAGTGTAGCGTTGCACATGGGAATTATTGTCTTGTGGTGAATGTCGTTCCGTTAGGGAGTTACATGCCGCGTGAAGTCTGAAGGCCCGGGGTAAACAAAGGCAGATTAGCTGGCCCCTGACGTTCCAGCTCTGTGGAAGAGCGTAGCTGGCAGACTTGTGTCAACATCAACATGTTTACACGTACAGATGCCTACGTGCCGGTACCATAAGGTGACTAGTAAGTGCCACAAGGGTCAATCTATTTTCCATTATTAACGGTGTACGTGCAGTGCAGTCGTCAGCTTAATGACACTTCAAAGCCTTTAGTTGTTGGTTTATACATAACCAATTAGTCGGCTTTCTTTACAGGTTGATAGGACCTAGACAGAGGTCGTGTTGTTATCATACCTCGTCACGCAGCAGGGGACCAAACATGGCGTCGTCCTTGACAACCAGGGCAGCAAGGTCATAGTATCGTACCGAGAACAACAATGACGGTTCTCAGAGACATGTCACCTCACCTGATGTACATGTACGCTTGAGCTGCTTTCTTGTTTTTAACGCAGAGGTCTGTAGTCTACCACAATGGGGGCCGGAGCCAGCAAGAAGACCAAAAGGGGAGCCAAGGACGACTCACCCGCAACATTTACAGGTAAGCCATATTTCGACTGTCAGCTATATATAACGTAGACGGTTTAATTCTACTGTGCGACTCGGCGAAAACTGATCGACTGTTTCTTTCTTAATTTTAGCCCTATAGAAAATCACACTATGAATAGGACTATCTGCCACTTTGTGACTTTCAGCCTGCTGTGTTTTGTATAGATCGGTTGATCCACATGCGTGTGAATACGCATAGACTCAGTTGTGTCATAGGAGGAAGTAAAATATCGTACCTCAAGAATCCGTCAAGAGTACAACAAACTACAAACAGATTTGCCGCTGTAATGTATTTCGTGCGAAAGCAGCTTAGCAACGTAAATGCTGTAAAGTTTACAGTAGATATGATTGTAAAATAATTATAAGCTCCTCCTTTTTCGTGGATATATTCAATAGTAACGGCGACGATAAATCTCAATCTGGAAGAAAAGAAAGCTCATTGTTTTTTGATTGCTCAATTCATGTTCAAAATAGCATTTTTGTGTCCCTAATATATAGAGATCATAAATAACTAGCCGTAGTACTAGAAACAACCAGATGCTAGACTGTCCGAGGGCCCGAAACATACCGTTCATGTGTCAACTGCTTAGTAACTATGGACTGAAACCCTGACTGCTGTCTTGTTAGTACAGTGTTTTGTATCAAATGTCAACAATGATAGTCCTAGAAAATTATATTGTCTGAAACCTGTCTATTTATTAGTCTTTTAACCCTGCGCCTGTATAATTTATTTTAGAATGTATACCTGTTTTTTTTATATATATAAATGCTGTGGAAAATTGTAAATTCAGTTTTTAACTGCGAAGAACCAATAAAACCATATTGAATCTCTTATATAAAGTACCGAGTGCACCACCTCCCCCGCCAGCGTTCAATCCAGAATGTCCACCACAAGGATTACCACCTCAACAGCCACCCCCACATGCACCTCTGTACCCGTCTGTCCCGACTGGGAACCCAGTGCTACAGCCAAATCTGCCACCCGGCCCGCACGGTCATGTATACGCAGGTGAGTAGTCAGGGCTCGTGTTAGTCAGGCTCGAAATTCATTTTAGGGAAAAGGTGCACTGGTGCACCCAACCTAAAAAGTTGGAAGCACAAAAAAAGGTTCTGGGTGTACCATATCAAATAGAATAAGTGGAATGTCAGAAAAAAACTTTTTTTATTTGCTATTATAGAAACAAAGAAAATTACTACAGCAAGGATTTTATTTTTCCTGACACTTGGATATTTAATATACTGTATTCTACTATACACAAAAAAATGTACATTTAACATCTTTACATGTATAAACCTACCAAAATATTTGGGTGCACTGGTGCACCCACAGAAAAAATTGGGTGCACAGCTCCAAATTTGGGTGCACTAAGGTGCACTTGCACCCAGTATTTCGAGCCCTCAGTAGTATAGTATTATATACTACTCAGGTGTGTATACTTTGTTTAAACATGTATGATTTTGTGTACAGCAAAGTCAGACACCTTAAAAGTAGACTGTGGAAGTGCGCACTTTGTACATCTTATGCCATATACTGTGCTACAAGCACACCGCCTCGGGAATGTCGAAATGTCGAAATGTTACCTCTTGCATGTATTTTTTTCAAAGGTCAACTAAAGCTTTGCGATTTGCAAACACCTGCAATGACACGTATTCCTCAATGAATAAGGCTGACATATTTCACTTTTGGCGTTTCAGTGCCTCCACACGTTCCTGTGATGCCACATCCAGGTCCTCCTGCAGCACCAAGTCCTGATGGTGGAAACGAATATTTTATGGGTACGATTCCAACCCTAAATATTCATACCCAATAGACAGAAATAAGAAGTAGTTACACGGTGTCGATAGTCCGATAAGGTCGTAGAAAATATGCATGTTTTTTAATATATATAGTTTTTTTCTGAAACTTACCTTTGTCATTTTCACATGGGTATGTATGTATCATTATGTTTACCAAAGGAAAACATATTGTTTTTGCTCTGTTTCCTCTTGTTCTTCTTCTCCAAAGAAATAAGGTATTGTGTTAGGTTACATCATGTTGCAAGTTTATAGCAGGAAAGATTTAGACTCCTGGCACTATATATACACACACACATACACACACACACACACACACACACACACACACACACACACACACACACACACACATATATATATATATATATATGAGTGTGTTTGGGTAAGAATTAACAGAGCAGACCATATGGGAAGGTTATGTGTTTGCTTTGTAAATATTACATTTCTAGTCTTAGATATACATTTCCATATCTAAAAGTGTATTATATCTAAATGCAAATTTTCCTCAATTTACAGGCTTCAGGAAAAATGACGATAGGACCACATTTTATTTTTACTTTTTTTTATCTGTTACGTTTGTTAAATTTTTTGCTCATGAGACGGAACAGAAAGCCTTTGTAAGCTTCTTATGTCTCAAACTAACATGGCATATCTGTTACTTATTTAAAGAAACACCATCAATCGAGGTGCTTCGCACTGGGGAGCCTCAAGTCAATACTGACACACTGAGGAAGTACTTTTCCCATAAGAAGTCCCACGGAGGCAAAATCTCGTCCATAACCGAGGATGACGACTGCTTTGTAATAAAATTTGAGGACATGGACGGTAAGCAAAGAAATTTTAAATGTATACTTAGCCAGGTCAGTAAATAGTTTAATCAGGTTGGCAAATCAATTGTGTTCTGGTACACAACCATGTATTTTGTTTGCCAAAGATTTCGACAGCTACCCTGCTGCATTTATCAGGGTGATGTAAAATGTGTACGTTTGTTTGTCCATTTTTAAAAGTAGGTACTAGATTTAAGGTCAAAATGAACATATGTATCGATTTTTTTGTATTCCAATACCTGTTACTTAAAATAAAAAACTTTAACCTCAGTCTGTAAAACTTTGTCTCCCAACAAAGTTCGCATGCTTACAAAGAAATTGTACTGGCGGATGTGTTCGATTATGACAGGTTTAAACGGATTATTTTAAACAGTTGCCATAATTTCTCATATTTTCATAATTTAGAAAATCACCAAAAGACTATGTTTCTACTAAGACCACAAAACCTACTCATTATGCAGAACGTGCGTCAATTCATTACCCACTGCCTTCAGAGTTTTTTTCAGACAGTAGTTTTCTGTTTCCTATTTTTGTACTGTACCACCTCGGGCATGATTTTGTAAATGCAAACTGACGATGTATGTTTTATTGATTTACAGTTGCCCAGGATGTGTTGTCTCACACTCATGTGCTGGAAGGAACACAGCTGCATGTTTGCTATCGCAGTAAGTGCCGTTTAACGTGTAAATACCTTTACAACTCAACTACCGCAATTCCCTTTTAAGACTGTGTAGCCGTTAGCGTTTTTAACAAATTATGTACATTTATGAATGCAATTCAGCCTCCAGCTGCAATGTTCATGATTGATTGATCAATTAACCATTGTTGATTGATTGAACTAAACTATCAATGTCAGGCCAAACGTAATGCCTAAAGTCAATACGTCACATTGTGATGGCTAGTTATTTGTGATCAAAAAGCAATTCAAGCTTTTCTATGGAAGGCTTACTTGGCATTACTAAGTTTCTCCTGCTGTACGCTAACTGGCGAGACGCTGTCAAGCGTTCTATTGTACAAAAGATTAATAATAAACCGTTTATAACACAAAGTACCCTTGATATTGCTGTGATAGAAAAAAAGGTCAAACGTACTAGAAGTCCGCCTCCAAAACTGAATCTGCTTCCTTAGGATTATACAGGTTACATAATATGTGTGATTTCATTTTCATGGTTGTCTTTTATTTTGTGAGACCACTCCGTACATGTTGTAGTATATACCTTTCAAAATACAAGAAGTCTCAGAAACTCAGGGCTTATCCTGTGAGGATGGCATGTGATATTACGACGTAACTCACGTAGTAAAACTAACTTCATGTAGTCTTTGGCAGGTGTGCGTATTGGGCGAAGGGTAGGTCGTATAAGAAATTTGGAAATGGCTCCTCATATTTATGACTGGTTATTTTCATCACCTCCACAGAAAGCCCAACAATTGAGGTTATCACAGATGGAACTATTGACCAGGATCGTCTCAAAATGTATTTCAAAAACACACATGTTTCCGGTGGAGGGCCCATTGACGGCGAAATCAAGACAAACGACCATGGAGTGTGCTACATCACATTTCAAAACAAACGAGGTAAGCGGCTTCTTTGCATTTCGAGATTCAAGTTTCATTCATTCAAGATGCCTTTACTGAACTCTAGCAATAGCAGTGGACAACTTTCGAAGTCACTGAATTGCAGTTAATTTACAGTTTTTCACATGATTTGGATTCGTTCAGTTGAAAAAACTTGAAATAATTACAAAGAAATGTACTACTGTTCGTAAAACTACATCGTTCAGTTACAGCATTTAAAGACTGTTGATAAAATACGCACACACAATAACTGATTCAGTTCATCATGGTTTACAATAGATAAATAAATTCTGTACATGTAAACAAGTTAACTATTTCCACAGGATTGTGGATCAAATCCCATGAATCGGACGTAATGTGGTTCCATATGGTTTTCTGTTATTCAGTCTGTGTCACTGGTCATTCTGAATCTTGTCTGTTGATGTCTTTATTTCTTTGTGAGCCTGTACGACATAATTTTCTAATGGCAAAATATATTCCCCTTTCAGCGGCCATCGATGTAGTCCAGAAATCCCATTCAATTGATGGACAGCAGGTGGTTGTCTCGGAGAAGCTAAGCCTCATTGACCGCAGAAGTCTTCTGATAAAGGTACAATTTATATCTTCAGGCATTATGACCATCCAGATGCTAAATCCTTACAAAATACAATTCTCGCTCTCACAGATTCTGCTGCCAATTCAATGTCTTCAATGCTTGTTGACCGAATTTAAGTCATAGATATTATGATATTTACACAGGACATCCCCCCTGACTGTAGCAGTGGCCATCTCAGAGACTACTTGGAAGGCCTTGACAGCGCACAAGGCAGGCTGCATATAGCCGGGCTATATCGGGGCAACGACGACTCCGTTGCTGTACTGTCTCTACGCCATGACATAGGTACGTTTGCACAGCATCAGCTTCAAAGTTGTTTAGTAATGTTTTATCTTCATGAAATATATTGATTGAACGCGGTAAGATGATAAAAGGTTAATGCCCGGCCCCGAGGTGTATATGGTGAAATAATCTCTGGTCAGGTGTGATAACCACCGAATAAACCACCGAGTGAGCATACCGAACGAGATTGTTTATGAGATGGCTATTGCACCTAACCAGGGATTATCTCACCATATACACCGAGGATAAGGCGGGGCATTAACGTTATTATCATATAGCCTATCCAAATGACAATTATTTGACACAAATTTCTTTATAAATTCCTCAATTTCCAAACTGTCCCCCCCACACACACACCCAAAAAAACCTCACACATTTTATGTTACGTAAAACCAGATGGCGTAGACAGAAAAACAGATCATCTGCAGTGACCAAGTGACATTAGAACAATACCACTTTTAGTGGGGGGGTCAAAATTCTGTTTATTCTTTTTCTGTTTAAACTTCATTTATATCTTTTTATTGTGTTGTATTTTCAAGTAAACTATTGAAAATAAACTACAATACGTATATAATAGATAAATACTAAAAGTCTAATTATAAACACTACTCTTGATATCCTGTCCCCTGTATAATGGTACAGTTCAAAAGTTTCAGGCTGGCACATTTCAGGTTGCGGCCTGATAACCCATGGGAAATGGAGCCTTCTGATTGGTCGATGTCTTCTGGCTACATGATGATAATATTTTGTGCCCTGTTTTTACATAATAGATGGGAAAACGAGGAATCTAATAGCGAAAGAAGCTAAACGGGAGCCCCTCAAAAGACAGCACGTCTCAGTCAGCCCCATGGTGGTGACCAGGAGTGTGCAGCTGTCTGGTATCAACCAGAAATTCACGCGAGATCTTCTCCTCAACTACTTTGAGAACACCGAGAGAAGCGGCGGAGGCAAGGTGCTGGACATCGCCATGGACAAGGAAAGAGGAATGGCTACCATCTGGTTCAAAGATCCGACAGGTATGTGCTCTCAAACTGATATTTATATAAGTATTCAAATAAAGTATTAATAATAATAATAATGCTTTTTCAGCAATCACTGTACTTTCTTCCATAGTAAATTTCATGGACCATAAAGGCCGACATTTGCTCGCGAGCAAATACAGCATATTACACTCCATCTCCCTCTCCGTGCAAAAATGGACTGTCCCAAACTCACCCCTGTACAAAAATATATAAATATACAAATAAAAAAGAACATTCCAAGATAACTTTTGTACAAAAGTGAGCCTTAGTATTTCAGAGACTCAGTTACCCTGTCTAAAATGAGCTCTTCCAATTGACCCAAATTCAAAAAGATTGTTCCTCTATTTGAGATCACACTCTTCAAGGTACACTCCACATAAAATGACTTTTTCATAATCACCCTTCATCAAAATTGAATTGAAAAAATGCCCCCCTCCCATTCACGAGTGAAGTCTTACAGAGGCCCTTTGCTATGTGATGCCGTATAATTAGATTGATTATAATACATGCACCTTTCAGAACGCGTTAGCGTTCGGACAAACAAAATCAATATATACAAGCCTGAAAGATTATTTTTAGTAATGTTTTCTTACCTCCCTCTTAGTCGTTCAGACCGTCGTGAGGAAACCACAACACCAGTTCGACTGCGGACGTGTCTTCTTATGTGCGCACTATGACGTCCTCGGCACCATAACCGACACTGAATTCTTCTCATCTTCCGAGATGCCATTCGACCCTAACGTCCCTCGGGTCCTCAAACGCAATAAACAAACCATTGCAAACATCGAGCCGTCAAAGCTATGCCTACTAAAGAAACAGCTCCCGAGCCTTGCGACAGCTTTCCCAAACGTTGATTTTGACATCAAACACGACCACATCACCATCGCTGGAGTGGACCAGGAACCGACGAAGGCGCGCGACAATATCAATGAGAAGCTGCAAGAGTTCAAGGAATGCCGTTGGTCAATATCCGATGACCTCCAGTTCATCCTTTCCAGAGATCACACGAAGAATGCTATTGACAGTAGTTTGGCTGAAGCAAACGTGCAGATCGGAGTCCACTTTAGTGTAGAAAATAACGAAGTAGTCATTTGGGGTGTTGACGACAGAGCTGTTACCACCGCGGAAAGCTGTGTTAGATCTACATTCAAAGAAAGCAGTATGAAGATTCCCAAAGAAATCCTGGAGCTCCGCAATTGGGATGATCTGATGACCCAATGTAAGGAAGATGCCAACAGGAATGCTACAGTATCATACGACAAAACATCGGGTGTGGTTAACATTGTAGGCCTCATTCCCGAAGTCGATGAAATCAACAGGAAGTTGGTCAACTTCTTGAAACAGAATGATTTTAAAACGTCCGTTGTTCGTGCAGAAAGACCAGTCGTAAACGTTCTGGTTAAACGACAGAAGGACCGCCTGAAAAAGATTGCGATCGACAACGAAGTTTCAGTTGATGATACGGCAACAGGGTTCAAGATACTAGGTCCTCAAGATAGAATGAAGAAGGTGTCGGATGAAATTGAGGACCTTACATCAAAGGTGATGAAGACTACAGTGCAGTACAAGAAACCAGGTGAGAAACTAGTTATTTTACATAATATATATCACATCTTTTTCTCTTACTGGTGTCATCTGTGGTATCCTTGACAGAATGCTTATGTTCATGTAATTTTCTGTATGACATGCTGTGTCTTGTTGACGAAAAATAGCATGCAATTGATTAGAAAATCAACAATGCATTTTTAATTGTCAAATTTTGTCTCTGACTTTTTCAGGGCTTGGGAAGCTGTTCACTGATGACACATTCAAGATGCAATTGAAAAAGATAGAAGATGACCAAGGATGCGCGATACAGTTCGACTGCAAGACAAAGCCACCGTTGTTAAGAGACGTGAGTCTGAGTAGTGGTCTGATTGGTTGGCTCAATAAGCACAATGTGAACAACTCAACGACATTATTGCCACATTCCAGCATTCCATACTCTTAAACACAACCATCACTTTAACAAAATTCCTTTAATTGATGTCTGGATTTGTTAAAGACTCGGAAATGTCCCACTACCATTTAAAAAATCTCAAAAAAGCTTGGAAAAGTCGGAAAAGAGCAAGTACCATACATACTTACCCCACATTTGTTGTTGTTGTAAATAAGATAACTACTTCAGTACTTGAATTACATGTAGATGTTAGTCCTGTACAGCTCATGAATTCACCCTACGTTTTACCATGTATTTTCCAGAAAACTAAACTAAAAGACTTTCGGCCCTCCAGACCATCTGTTGGTAAGTCTATTTTCATATTCGTCAACAGCATATAATTTTATGTGTTTAATGACAAAGGAACGTGTTTTGTCGTTGAAAATTCCTCATGCTACTACACGTGTACTTTACCACTGATTGCACATTATACTATTCCTCAAAACCAGGCGGTTCCAGCAATGGACCTATCTCTGTAGACATTGGGCAAGGCAATATCGAGTCGGAGTCTGCGGATGTGATCGTTAACCCCGTCACCAACAACTCAGGTACCCATCCATTGTAATCAATGCCTAGCTACTTGAAAGTTAGAAAACTGGCAAATACACCACAAAAACGTAAGAGGGGCCACCTGGGTTTACAAACCAATTTTCGTCTGCAATTATGTACTTATGGTGCTCTATATATTTCCACGCCCACGCCCATATGATATGTATATTGATTTTTGCTTTAGTATGTTTCAATAAGTCATAAAGACTAACCCTTTGTTCATAGGAGATGCAAGATGGCACCGACAGGTAAAATACTGAGATAAGTTTGATACTATAACGATGTCTTTGTAATGATTTGCAGCCTTCACAGTTGTTGGGGGTGCTCTTGTAAAAGTTGGAGGCCAACGTGTCAAGGACGAGTTTGAAAGGAATTGGAGTAAAAGACTCAACGGTGTCCTTTTAGCAGGTACTCAAAACAACCTAAGTAAAGTTTTTGCTGTTCTCTCTTTCCATATTAGCCACGGATGTTTTGGATCAAATTATATTTAGCGGTGTCGATATGTGGGGCCAGCTTTATTCATTTACAAGTACCACAATGAAAAACACTTTGTGACTAATTATATGCATCATTGTTTCAGATGCAGGTACACTTCGATGTAAAACTGTTGCCCATATGGAGCTTCCTTCAAAGGACAAACTAAAGGATGCAGTCTGCCAGTGTCTTGTCCTCAGTGCTCAGGCCGGAATGAAGTCAATTGCATTCCCTGCGATTGGGACAGGTAATCACAACACTGGTATTTGCTTGTGGTGGAGAAATTCAGATTGAAACATTTATTGCAGGTGTTCATGATATCCTGCAGAGATCTACATTTAAGTAATCATCAAGCCTTGGTCCAAGATATATATTTTACAAATTCATTTCAAAACATTCATTAACTAGAAAGGTAATATTTGCAAAGCAAATGAATAATGTTTACCTTCGCATATGGTCTGTTCTGTTAATTCTTACTCAAACACATTCATATATATGGTCAAAATCCCTCCTACTACAAAATTGCAACATGATGTAACCCAACACCAGTTACCATGGTGAGAGACAGGTTGACCAGGTCAGAGGTCAGTGTTTGGAACGGAAGAAGAAGAGGAAACTGAGCAAGAACAATGTTTTCCTTTGGTAAACATAAAATTCATGTCTGGTTACACGAAGATGAATAGAACAAATTCCATTTGGTACTGTATAATTATATAATTATAATTACACAGGCAGATACGGGATAACATCAATTGAGTCAGCGAAGGCAATCCGAGACGGCATTGAGAAGTTTCTCCACCAGAACCCAGCTCCCCTCCTCACCGACATCAGACTCACTGTCTTCGTCCAGCAGATGGTTGCAGACTACAAGGCTGAATTCCGTACACCTCTTGGCGGTTCCCCCAACACAGGTTCGTCACGTTTCAAAGCAATTACTGACTGACAGACGTAACAAATTGTTCTAAAAGACCACGTCAAACAAACTCCTGTAGTCGTAGTTTTAAAGTCTATTGTTATTGTATCGGTTGCACCGTCATTGTTGCCGCACATCATACCCTATACAACTGTCGAGCAGTAAAGCTCATTCATTAATGGATCCATTCAACTACATATAAAATTGGCACCAGAAGAAGAGTACTATTTTTCAGTTCTTTTAATATTCTGATAGATTTGGTCCTGTCAAGTGTACTAGTAAAACAAAATAAAATGAAAAGATGATGTATGATATTGGGCACCAAGCTTCATATTTTATTTGGTTAAATTTGTATTTGGTTTCATTTTATTGACACGATTTAAATGAGGTTGTTTAAATCTATATCTAGATACTTGAAATGTATCCACTTCTTACATACAGGTATAACAAGACCATCACCAGGTCAACAAGAGATGAAGTTTGGTGCCATACAAATGCAAGTCCAACAAGGCGACATCAGTAAAGAGAGAACAGAGGTTGTTGTCAGCACTATCCTTAAGGACATGGGTAAGGCATTTGCATACATATCGTTTTAAAGAAAATCTCCTAGAATGGAATACATGTATTATCCTTGTGTATGACTTCTACTTTATGCTTGGTAGTGAATTGAAAATGTTTATAATATATGAACATAACCAGACAAAACGAGGACCCTGTGCAACTTCAACAAAAGTATACATTATTTTCTATAAAAGGATCCTTGCAATCCTGTCTTAAGCTATCTACATCTGAAACAGAGAATGTTTGTTTGTAACAAGCGTCTAACAATGTTAAAATATTCTATTCTGATCTTGCAGAGTTCACGGTTGTAACAAAAGCCCTTGTAACAGCTGGTGGACAGTCCATAGCTGATCAGCTGAAGACAGCATGGCCAAGCCGAACCGATAGATTTGTATTCACGGGTATGTAAATCAGATTATTGTTGCAATATACTTTGCTGAGCTAAGGTATCGAAATAAGAGTGCATGGCAAACCTACGGGTACCTTTGAGACGAGAGTTATAGTTGACATTTGACAACAGCTTTCAGGTTCACTGAAATGTTTCACTTAAAGTTAGGGGAACATAGAGGTATACTTCTGTAACCACAGAGACAACAACCGCCCAAAAAGGCATTTAACACACAATTATGTGCTACATTGATTTAACAGTGTCTGTGTAATGTATCTTATCTAATGTATAGACGCCGGAACACTTCCGATCAAGAAAGTTGCCCATATGGTCTTACCCAGTGCCTCTGAACTCAAAGACGCGGTAGCATCCTGTTTGAGGGCCGCTGACAAGCTTGGAATGAAGTCAATATCATTCCCAGCAATAGGAACAGGTATTTACATTCACTATACTGTTTGCAAACATTGAAATAACATCAAAGCTCTTGTGGAAAAAGATGAAGTAGTATTAGCATTGAAAATATATCTCAGACTAGAAAGGTAACATTTGCAAAGCAAATTCATGTTTACCTTCGCATATGGTCTGCTTTGTTAATTCTTACTCAAACACATTCATGCATATGGTCAGATAGCAGTCTAAATCCCTCCTGCTATAAAATTGCAACATGATGTAAGACATGGTGACAGACGCCTGGTTCAAGCCTTTGATCTTTATTTGGAGAAGAAAAAAGGAAGAAGAACAGAGCAAAAACAATATGTTTTCCTTTTACGAAAAACTAAAAAGTTTGATTCGCTACGTTCCAGGTGGCACGATGTCGGTGGCGGAGAGTGCAAAAGGGATATACAGCGGGGTCCAGGAGTTCGGCTCACAGTGCAATCCAAAGAGCTTGAAACTTGTGCGGGTCACCATCTTCGACGGTAAAATGCTGGGAACGTTCCACTCAACCATGCAACAGTTCACCACAGCCAGCTACAATCCTCGTAAGTACAAAATATTCCTTCTCACATTGATGAATCAGACTTTGAACTAGATGAGCATCTGTAGATCAAATTTGATTTCTCATTCTTCTCATCCATGCAAAGCATAGTTCTGGTAATTGTGAAGATCAGAGCAATGTGATCCGCCAATGTTGGAATGCAGTGCTTTAATTGCAATTCTATGTCATCTGTTTAGCAACCTTAGGGGCACCTACGGGTAGGATTGGGAATGTTGCTGTTGAAATACAACAGGGAGACCTAGCCAAGGAGACAACAGACGCAATTGTCAACCCTGTTAATACCGATGGAGGTATGGCAGTTTTTTCCACAGCTTCCATTTGAGACTGAAATCTGTTGGAACCGTGACCTTTCCGAATGTGATTGTACTTTTTTATGGTGCACAGAACCGGCTACATGGCAATCCTATAGCCATCACAAATCTGACATTTGTGTGTTCAATTACATTTTAATCGACAGATATGTTTTTGTCGATTCAAAAGGTGTTTCATCTCAACTGTAAGTGCGAATACTAAACGGTGTTACCACACAAAATTTATATAATATCGTTTTCTCACTTTAGGGTTCTTCGTTGTCGGCAACGCCCTTGAACAAGTGGGTGGACCAACGATAAGGACTGACTGCCAAACGTCCTGGAAGCAGCGAACTAATGAAGTGCTGGTGACAGGTAAGTGATACATGTACATGATAAGTTGTTACCACCATGCTGTCTTGTATAGGCGCACAACTTCCAAAATCGGCCATGTTCTATCGATCTGTAGGGTATAAGATCTAAACTCGAGAGTTTTTAGGTATCGAGGTGCTGAAAATACTGCTATTTGTTACCCTTGGCCTTGCGATTTAGCCCCAGACAATTGAACCTCCTACTCGACTATTCAGTCCCTGGTTGCGAAGAAAGTGTAGTCGCCCCTTATATGATTATACCTGTCCAATAGGGGCTGTACTAATTACCTCCGTGTAGCTAGCTCCTTGAGGCGATTAGTACAGCCCCTTCCCCCTTATCCTCTCTATAAAAATCAAACTAGAATTAACCAGCTTTTGATTAGGATGAAGTTGCATGATGTATATAATTCATTTGAGATGACGTAAATATATATCCTCTCACATATTGTACATATTGTAACATCAAGTTGTGTCTTTTGTTGTGTTTAGATGGGGGTAACCTTCCATGCAAGAAGGTCATACACGCGGTGTGTCCAAACGCAAGAGCCATGAAAGGGAGGGTGCTTGAGTGTCTGCTGCAGGCAGAAGTGAAAGGACTTGCCTCAGTATCCTTCCCCGCCATTGGCACAGGTAAATACTGCACTCTTAATCTACTACTAACCTAATCCCCCCAAAAAAAGATTATTGTGTCATAACTGCACGAATAGCAAATTTCTTTCTTTTGATGTATTAACCGATAGAATTTCTTAAGAAGAAACTTGTCCAATATAATTGAAGTTTTCTTGGACAAACTACGCTCTATACTTGGGCACATCATCTTATCCGTTACTATCTTACCCATAGTTAATATTGTTCTTTCATCTTGTTATTGTTACTATTGCTTTTCTCTTATACACTATTTGAAATTGTTATTTGTTATTAGTTAGTTATTATTTGACCTTTATTTATAGTTTTAACTTGAGGAATCGGCCTTGTATAGGATACTTATTTTGATCCTGTTACCGACTCCTGACAGAGCTTGTCTTCATGTCAATGTTAATAAATGAAAATGAATAAATAAATCACTACTTGTATGCTGAATCCTATTCAATGTGTGAACAGTCAATGCACACGTAGTGTTATTGCAAATATTGATAATTTTTTTAAATTTCCATCCAGGTGGATTTGGTGTAAGCGTTGCAGATGCTGCGAGGGAAACAATCCTGGGGATAAAAGAGTTTGCTATCACATGTAGCCCCAAAATCGTGAAACTTGTGCGAGTGACAGTCTTCCAAGCACAGATGGTTGCAGAATTTCAGAATGCATTGCAAGCTGCAGTTCCAAAACCATCAGTTGCTCCAGCAGCCCCAACACCACAACCTGGTAAGTACCATCCTTACATTTCAATATTCTAGTTTTCATTATTATTTTTTCATTATTATTACTGTTTATTATCATAAGTGCTGAATAAAATATTATCATTATTATGTTTTCCAAAGGAAAGCATATTGTTTTTTGTCTGTTTCCTCTTCTTTCGTTCCAAACACAAAAGTTAAATGACCAGAACCAAACGTCTGTCACCATGGTAACTAGTGTTGGGTTACATCATGTTGCGATCTTATATCAGGAGGGATTTAGACTCCTGTCGCCATGTATATGAATGTGTTTGAGTAAGAATTAACAGAGCAGACCATATGCGAAGGTAAACATTATATGCATTTGCTTTGCAAATGTTACCTTTCTAATCACTATTGTACTTCTTTCACCCGTGTTGCCATTAGGTTACATTTTACAATCAAATGTAATGTCTGATGATCCTTTTCTCAAAGCCAAAATGACACCCCAGACAGACGTGGAACAAGTCGTTGATGTGACGTTCTATGCCTGCGACAAACGGGACACAGACACCGCCATCCAGAAAGTGTCCGGAACCATCGACAAACACATGACCAGGGAGCGTGTGGATGACGACCGCCTCAAACCGACCATACGACACTTGCAACAAAATGAAAAGGAAAGCATCATTCAAATGGGGGCAGACTATTATCTTGTTCTTGTGACAATTACAGGTAAGAATGTGGTCAGAATATTTTGAATGTTTGTGAATGTTGTTGTTGTTGTGTTTTTTTTTTTGTATGGGGAGGGCAACCTTGCACTTTGTAGAATATCCAAATAAACAAATAAACGAGTACCCCATCAAGCATCATTGAAACTAACGTGTCTACCTACTTACTACTAACTAACTAACTACTGATTAGTGGTCCAACAGTTCAGACCATTATTGTACACTTGTGTCCTTCAGTGTTGTACAACAATGTACTCCATCGTTCCCTTCATCTTTCTGTCTGCTTTTCTTTCCCACAGGCCATGATATTGTAATGGTAGGGCTGAAAGATGATGTGGCAGAGGCGCGGAGGAAAATTGAGAGCTTTTTGTGGGAGAAGAAAACCGCTTATGACACAGGTCAGTACGCGTAGGCGCCATTATCAGGTAGAGGAAGCAACAGATTAACAAGTCGGAAAACGCTGAGATTGTTAAGATGAAGTTTGAATTCCAGTCATACTTTATATGCTTTCTCATTTCACTTTGTTATAGAATGCACGAATAATGGTATTTTACGTAATAAGCCATTAACAATTCTCGAAATTTCAAAAGTCTCGATGCTATAGACAGATTTTAATATATCTTTACATGTGATGATTCCCACAATGCAAAAATAGGTAAATACATGAAAGACTTCTTTGTTATTAGAAAAAATACCGAAACTCATGATTAGCCCCACTCGATTGTAACACTTAATCAAAGACTGTGCTAGCCCCTCTACATTAGATCTTACTCAATACATGTCCTTTTTTTACATTGTACCGTGTGCAGTTGTCGTGCAATAAAGGTTTTCTTTCCTGATGCAGAGCAACTGAAGAAAGACATTATCAAGGTCCCTGACTACTGGGCCACGCCTCCCCGGCACGTTAAAGGAGCGTACATGCACCTACTCAACGATACGTCACAAGAGTACAAAGATGTCCAAAGTCACTTCCTCGTCAGTGTCGGTTACCAGCCTCAGATTGTATCCATATCTAGGGTACAAAATGAGTCAAAATATAAAGCGTACATAACGGAATTAAAGGAGAGACGAAAAACGTGCGCGCGGAGGTAAGCCTGAATTTTCCTTCTCTATCGATCGTTTTATTTCTGGAAGTATTCCCTCACTCATAATTTGAACATATTGTAGCTAGAGTAAAAAATAGTTAAAACTTTTGATCCAACACAACAAAGTTCTCTCACATAAAGCTTTCGACCAGTCACTCTGGTCTTCCATAGTAGACTGACTCAGTGGAGCTTGTCACGTGGCTTCTTTGAAGTGTGACGTCAACACTGGGTCAAAGGTATCTGGTAGACGATGTCGACCCCCGTCGTGGCTGAGTGAAGGGTGATGGGCCCTGATCACCCCACCCAGGAAAAATATTGTTGATGTTGTGTGCAGCAATAGAGCAATAATTCATAGGTTAAACTTATTAAAATATCAATAATTGCTAGAAGTCTAAGTCGGTGTGCATACACACTGATAGACAGAAACAATCATTTAGCATAAATCCAATTTTTAATCGCTGACAGAAATATCGAAGAGCTCCTGTACCACGGCACAGCAGCCGAAGCGGTTGACAACATCAATCAAGGAGGATTCAACAGGAGCTATTGCGGGAAAAATGGTATGCCGAATGGCCCAAGCTTTTGCTAATTAATAGCTTATCATGTATTTTCTACAACACAGTATGCAGAACTTTTTGTTTAACTTCGTGAACTTTGTCGTAAGGTTAGCAATGCAAAATTCAATGACACACATAGAAGATGGGTAAAATGTAGACATTTTCCTTTGCCTAGCATATGGTATTTGAACCAAACAACCTTTAAACTCGTCAGTTTCATATACATGTACTGTCTTCCATACAGTAGCTACATCATTGGTAATACTAGTAACACAATAGCCAACTTATATGATTATGTCAGCCAACTTCTTCCAAAATTTTATTACACTATTGTCAACTTCTAGAGGGTATATACTGAACTAAATGTAAACGCATTTACATTCACCAATATACCGTTTACTCTGTGCATCTTCCTTATCTGTGTTTTAGCAACAGCCTATGGAGATGGGGTTTACTTCGCCAAACATGCAAGCTACTCAGCACAAGACACGTATTCACCACCAGACGCGCAAGGCGACAAGCACATCTACCAGGCGAGGGTGATTGTCGGAGAATACACCGCAGGGAAGTCCGGTCTTTTGGAGCCGCCGCCCAAGAACCCGTCAAATGCAGCAGTTCGGTATGACTCGGTCGTGGACAATGTGAAAAATCCAAGTATTTTTGTCGTGTTCCACGACACTGACGCGTATCCAGAATACCATATTGTCTTCAAATAGGTTGTCATTATGAATGAATAATTGTTAGGACTTGACTTGAATGATTATTCTACCCTGGGTACAATTCTTACGCTTGGAAAGTTGCGGGATCTTCTTTTTGGAATTGCAGATACGTGTATTAGCGTGCTTGAGAAGTGGACTCTAAAAGCACAGTTGAAAGCATTGAATTTCACACATCTTTCAGCACCAAGGACAGACATGTAAATGAACACCGCACTGTTGTATGTGGCACTCACATTTGCTTTTCCATGGATACAAACCAGTGTAATCTATAGTGAATATATTAGAAATACTGTTATATAATGTAACATAAGTCAACACCACAGGGTGTCTCCTACAGTACCAGTTACCATGGTGACAGACGCCTTGTTTGACTTTATTTGTTAGGCCACACCAATTTAATTTGTTGGTTCTCGGATTTTTTCATGAAAAATGTAAAGCGACAGGGCGAAAAAAAACATGCCCAAATGGTAAAGCTAAGGCTGGAAAAAGGGATTGAAAACAAAGCTATGACTATACATGCTAAAACATTGCTGTTTTATAGCCTATGTATCAAGGATCAATTGTCATTGATGTTATTGATTTCTAATTAACAAGAATTAATTTTTTTTTCATTTTGAGATTTTTTGAAGCGGCGATTCCGAGAACCAACAAGTTAAATTGGTGTGGCCTTAGGAACAGAAGAAAAAGAGAAAAGGCTGCTCACAATAGCATCCCGATTAGTGGTGAGTTTAACATGTGCCAAAAGCATTGCATGTAGATCTAAGCCATTGACACTTTTGATTGTATTCAGAATCTGGAAGTATGAATTTATTGTTCTTTTTATGCCCGAACTACACAACACAGAACAATGCATGATGACAAATATATATAATCCCTTTCAAAAGTCCAAACATTTTTATCCTATATGTTGTACATATGCATACCAACATGTACTTTTAGAACCATGTACATGTACCTACACTTGATACAAGCAAACGCTTAGACAAGTGAACACAATTTCGAGTAATGATATCATGAAGCATCAATGTGCATTTATTTCTTCTATTCTCAACATATCTTTCTTATTTACTTTGAATAAATTGATCAAGCAGATACATGCTGTACATTTGCGGGTCTTTTATTCCGCAAGTATTCAAAGCTTATACCATCAATTTAGATTGTCTTAGAACTTGTTGGAGCTTTGTTTCACAATACTGCAACGTATAATTTTTCATTACAGCTAAGGCTATCATTTGTACTGTATAAGCGACGACTAATTTAGTCTAGTCTCTCTATTGTACGTCATTACTATATACAACATACACTTTTATCCACAGTTTGTGTTTAGTCCACCTCGTTGATAGTAGGTCCCTGTGTCCCGGCTCCGTCCTGTTGTCCCCCGGCGGCGGCGCTGTGCAGTTTGGTCATGATGGGAGCACACACCTTCTCCAGTTCCTTCTGCTGTTCCTCGAATTCCTCTTTCTCCGCCAGCGTGTTCATGTCCAGCCACTTCATCACCTCCTCACACTTGTTCAGCACGGCGTCCCTGTCGGCCTGGGACAGCTTACCGGACACGTCAGGGTTGTTGACGGTGGAGCGGAGGCCGAAGAGGTAACTCTCCAGGGCGTTCCGTGCCTCTGCCCGCTGCCGTGCCACCGCGTCCTGCTCTTTGTGCTTCTCCGCGTCAGCCACCATCCGCTCGATGTCTTCTTTCGACAGCCGCCCCTTCTCGTTGGTGATGGTGATTTTGTTGCTGCGCCCCGTGCTCTTCTCCACGGCGGAGACCTGTAGGATTCCGTTGGCGTCGATGTCGAAGGACACGTCGATCTGCGGCACGCCGCGAGGGGCCGGCGGGAAACCGCTCAGTTCGAACAGGCCCAGTCTGTTGTTGTCCTTGGTCATGGCGCGCTCGCCCTCGTACACCTGGATGGTGACGCCTGACTGGTTGTCGCTGTACGTGGTGAAGGTCTGGCCCGTTTTGTAGGGGATGCGCGTGTTCCGTTCCACCAGCTTCGTCATGACGCCGCCCGCCGTCTCAATACCCAGCGAGAGAGGCGCGACGTCCACCAGAAGGACGTCCTTGATCCCGTCGTCCTCCACGCCGGACAGGATGGCTGCCTGCACGGCGGCTCCGTACGCCACGGCTTCGTCAGGGTTGATGGACTTGTTCAGCTCCTTGCCGTTGAAGAAATCTTGCAGGAGCTTCTGGATCTTGGGAATGCGGGTGGAGCCTCCGACCAAGACGACCTCGTGGATCTTGGACTTGTCCATCTTGGCGTCGCGGAGGGCCTTCTCCACGGGCTCCAGAGTGCCACGGAACAGGTCAGAACACAGCTCTTCAAACCTGGCCCGGGACAGTTTGGAGTTGAAGTCGATCCCTTCGTGCAGAGAGTCGATCTCGATGACTGCCTCTGTGCTGGACGACAGCGTCCTCTTGGCCCGCTCGCACGCCGTTCTCAGCCGGCGGATGGCCCGGGGGTTGGACCGTAAATCCTTCTTGTACTTGCGCTTGAACTCGTCCACGAAGTGGTTGACGACTCTGTTGTCGAAGTCTTCCCCTCCCAGGTGGGTGTCGCCGGCCGTGGCGCGCACCTCGAACAGCTGCCCCTCGTCGATGGTCAGGATGGACACGTCGAACGTCCCGCCGCCCAGGTCGTAGATCAGGACGTTCTTCTCCCCGCTCAGGTTCTTGTCCAGCCCGTAAGCCAGCGCGGCTGCCGTCGGTTCGTTGATGATCCTCAGCACGTTCAGTCCGGCGATCAAGCCGGCGTCTTTGGTAGCCTGGCGCTGCGAGTCGTTGAAGTAAGCGGGGACGGTGATGACGGCGTCTCGGACCGGCTGGCCCAGGTAAGCCTCCGCCGTCTCCTTCATCTTAGTCAGCACCATGGAGCTGACCTCCTCCGGCTGGAGCGTCTTGACTTCTCCCTGGTACTCCACCTCCAGCGCAGGTTTGCCGTTCTTGCTGACGACCTTGAAGGGCCAGTGCTTCATGTCCCCCTGCACGGTCGGGTCGTCGAACCGCCGCCCGATCAGCCGCTTGGCGTCGAAGATGGTGTTCTTGGGATTTCTAGAAGTAAAACATGAAAATAAAAGGGGTTAGGTACATGTATCATATTAAAAGCAACAACGATTTGACAATTCCGGCAAAATTATCGTCCATCTAGCTTTAGTAGAGCCTCGTCACCCTGTTAGTAAACTCTACTGTGCCGACACAATTCCGAGGTAAATGTACCGGTACTGCGTAACACAAATGAGGGGCGCTTGCATGCATGGGGGGTAGTGATTACGAATTACGCAAAATTTTCGCGGCCGATTACCAATTTTGCAATTACGCTAAATTCTCAGAGCTGATTATGAAAAATTACACGTTACATCTAATGTTGTTACGAGGATTTGGGGCGACTGCCTACGGATTACGAAGACTATTAATGATTAAAAAAATACGAAAAAGGGCATGCAGACCCTGAAAAATTATAGCAGGATTAGGGCACATTTTTTTAATACAATGACGACCAAACCAACCAGAAAAAAAGAGTCGTTAGTAGTTAGTTTAATTTAGACCACCAAAAGTTTAACGCTGTATACATGTAGTCAAGGCCTTAAAGACCTTAAATAACCTACCTGGCGACTTGTTGTTTGGCGCCATCTCCGATGAGTCTCTCGCTGTCGGTGAACGCCACGTAGCTGGGGGTTGTCCTGTTCCCCTGGTCGTTAGCGATGATCTCCGCCTTCCCCTGCTGGAACACCCCGACACACGAGTAGGTGGTGCCGAGGTCGATCCCGATAGCCGGTCCGCCGCGTCCCTGTTTGCCTGGCATGTTGTCAGTAACGTTACAGTCGCTCTGGTTCTCTTCTCAATCTCGGTTCTAGATAACTTTTGCTTCGCTTCTCTGGAAACTGAATGACCAGAGTTCGCTTTTGCGGCGCTTATAAACCACTCGGAAGAATCTTCTCCCACGATCTACAATTTTTCCGAACATTCAGGAACAATGTAGGCTTCTACAACATCCAGGATAACACGAGAACTTGCGCGCACCTTCCAGAGCTTTCTGGAACCGTCCACACTACAGTGACGTCACGCCGTGTCGTAAATACCTGCCGCAAAATGGGCTGGTCCATGGGAGAATGTAAACATTGAAGATGGCGGAACGTTTCTTCTGGAACGATGTAGAAAGTCTCCAGTGTCCTCCGATTTCAAGATGTCCCTTCTCCGGCGACAAAGGTTCTTTATGATTTTTAATATCATGTGCACGATTGGGCGTTATGTGATAGTATCTAGCCATTCATATGTAGCATTATGAGCGTGTAAAAAGTCCAGAGGGGGAGGGGGGTGTTTTCAAACACGTGCAGACGTCTGCGTCTGTTGTCCTGAAATCGTACCAAGAAGAATTATTCCTGTGATATCATATGCACATGATATGAATATTGCGTTGTAATTAGTCTATAATACTAATGTGTGTCAATCTGGAAAGAGCCTGCTTCAGCTATATATACATGTAATCGAGGACATGTCTAGCTAAATAATCTAAAACACAGTATCTCAAGCCAAGGTAACACAGTCCTTGATATAACGTTAATACCGTATGAATACTATGATAACAGCATCTAATAATGAAATAATGTGATGTCATGTTAGCCATTGGAATTAGTCATCTACGTCATAAGACGACAATAACAGTTAATTTTAACTAAATATAGTCTGAACCCTAATATCAAAGTCTGCTATAGTTCTTACTAGTAATTAAGCGTCTGCCCTTTTAAAATCATTTAAGCTTCGAGCTTTAAGCTTGCATGTTAGGCCTATGTTTCTTTTTCCGTTTCTTTAGTAGCCCAGGCTCACAAAAGTCCCCCAAGACATACTAGTAAATGCATCAAATATAAGTTTGTATTTCTAAAGTTCTATAATTTTGCATTTGTACTAAAGAACTTAGTACTTGGGGGGGGGGTGTCTCCACAAATTTGACTCAGGACATGCACACTTTTAACTGTTATTTTGCACATATCATGCTTTCTAGTAATCAGTATTTTTGTTCCCGCCATTGAAGGCTCAGTTTCCGTGCTGACAGACCAGGTTGTCAGTATGGAGATGTTCCTGCTGAAGGATCCGTACCTGAAGTTTGAAGAGTCTGTCCTGACCAGAGTCCTGTACAAACTGTCAGCCTCTCTCAGGAGGAACAAACACTACCAGTACCTCAAAATGGTAAGGGCAGGCAAGAAATGTTAAGGCAGCAAAACTCTGGAAATGTTCTGGATGAGGCATATTTATTGACTCATACTGCTTCACATTAGGACATTTCAATCAGTACTTCATACTTTGGGTATTTAAAATTGGTGAAAAAAGGCCCAAGATAAGTCCTTTATTTTATGGGTGGTACCCTAAAATCAGTTCAGGGCCCTTCCAGTAACAGTTTTTCGTCAGAATTTTGGGTATTTTTGCTCCATCAGGGTCAATATATTTTGGGATAGTGTGATAGACTCACAACACTAGTTTATGAGAATGTTGACTTTGACAAATCGGGTTTCCAAGCCCTAAAAACTGCATTGGGTGCCTTTAACTCTTACTAAATACTTAATCTTATATGTTTTAAAAATGAAGCCACAATGGAAACCGTGAATATTTATTTATTTGCGGTTCGAAAGGAAGACGTATTGTTTTTGATCTGTTTCTTCTTCTTCTCCAAGCAAATAAGGTCAATGACCTGAACCAGACATCTTTAACCATGGTAACTAGTGTTGGGTTACATCATGTTGCAGCTTTATAGCAGGAGGGATTTAGACTCCAGACTCTCACCATGTATATGAATGTGTTTGAGCAAGGAGGTTCCTTTTAACTCCATGGTTAGTAAGAATTAACAGAGCAGACAATATGTGAAGTTAAAAATTATGCATTTGCTTTGGAAATGTTGCCTTTCTCTAATGGTTATTTTCATTACTACAATTTACTAGTTTTGTTACATGAACACTAACCATTTAAAACACCTTCGTGTAAATTTTAATTTACAACACAAATACAATTTAAATTGTGTACTGTGTATTTGTGTTGTGATGTATGTTGTATTTATGGAAAAATGTGGAAACTAGTTGTTGATGATTTTCACCATTACCAACTTGAAATGGCACATGATTTTTTTTTTGTACATTGAAATGATGAAAACAACATGAAATACTATGGTATGTATATGACATGTCAAGTGTAAATTTGATACTATGTACTTATGACCAAATTTTCTTCAACACAAATGCAAAACTTTTCTTCATTATTTCTACAGATAGAGAAATCCCTCAGAAAGCTTTCAAGACTGGATCTGGTTACAGCTTTTTCCCATGTTACTAGATGCTTTCCAAGGTGAGTCAATCTAAATAAGACAGGACTTACATATTTTTGCACCACATTCTAAATACTGGTATGATGTTGATAGTAAGTCTCCATAGCGAGTAAAATATATATGGATTGTGTTCGAGACAAAAATAAATAGCTCAATTATGTGCATGATGTCAAATCTGCTAATCCCACCATGTATTGTAGGTATATTGTAGGACAGTTTATTCAAATCTTCACAATACCAAAGTGTCTGATGCTCATCATATATTTTCCTGCAGTTCTAAAGATGATTCAACAGGAGGCGCTGCAGTACTGCTGCCCAGCCGACAGCTGCTGGAGTTTCTCCTTGTGAAGCTGCTGGGGGCTGCAGAGATCACCAGCCAGACTGTCAGTCTGTGTGCTGAGGCATTCATGTATCCCCTCTCAACTGTCATAAAATGTTCCATTTCAAAAACCCAGGGGAGGGGTTATACCTACAATTACCTTCGCCAAGGAGATAATGTTTTCTGCTGAGTTTGTGTCAGCCTGTCAACACAATAACGTAATTGGTAGGTTCGGTAGGTCTAGCATGTCTGGATGAGGCCTCAAAATGATTAGATTTTGTTCTCCTAGCAGGTTGTTCTGGAACTGCATGGGCACTTCTTTATCCCTGCCCTTGGTGCTGAATAACATATGTACTACACTGATCTGTCCCTGTTCTTGGTGCTGAATAACATTCTACTATGAGGTAGAAAAACACCCCTATGTTTGATTTAAAAATGCAGGTGTTGGCTGAATACAACTTGCTGTAATAATGAAAGAGGAAGATCTATTATTGATTTCTAGCATGGTAGTAAAGAAATATAATATGCTAGGATATACAGGAAAACGATATGATCATTCCAAAATACATGTAAGATTACATTGACTAGGGCCTCCTACAGCTTACAACTATAAACAAGCAACCAATGACACATCAAAACAGTTTTCTACTGGCAACTAGTACAGTCAATAGAGGAATGTTACTTGTTATATAAGCCTTTTTTCTAGTTTTTGCACAAAACAATTTCATTTGCCAGTTTGCCCTTGACTCATTTTTAGCCTCACAGCTCAACAGATCACCAAGTCTCTGTTCCTGGCAGCCAACTGCACTCTACTCTCCATAACCAGCAGACTGTGGTAGGTATATTTAATATGAGTATGTTTGCCTTTGCAGAAGGAAAACATAATGTTTTTGCTCCATTTTTTTCCTTCCTCCACTGCCTCTTTTCTTTTGTTGCAAACAAATAAGGTCAATGACATGGACCAGATGGTAACTGGTGCATCAACCTGTGGTGTTTGATTACATTATGTAGCAAGTGGCAGGACTAGGTTGGAATGGCAGGTCACCATGTATATGGATGTAAGAAAAAATAGAGTAGTTTGTTGGGCTAGGTCATGTGAAGGTTAACATTAATGTATTTGCTTTGCAAATGTTACCTTTCTAGTTCTTACTACAATTTGTAGTACAATGTAGTTATAATAGTGGTGTAAGGAATAAGTAAAGTGTGTGGTATCAGTCAGGCTGCTACAGAAGAAGGGACATGTAGCTAGGGAGCTGTCGTCAAGCACATACCTGATGATGCATTTGTGATTATGTATTTGCTTCGCATGTGATGATGTACTAATATTTGCTTTACGTGTGAATGCTACAGAGAATCATTGTGCATCAATTTTGTTGTCTTTTGTTTCAGGGCCCTTTTAAAGGGGTTTCAGGAGAAGCTGCAACAGTGGTACTCCTTCCTTAGGCCTTGGGTTGATAAGCTTCAGGGCACACAAGTACAGTGGGTAGGTAGTCGCAGAATTTTCCATTCTGTCGGTATGTTAGACGTTTCTGAAACAAAAACAGTTTGCAACAGAATTGGTTTTATATCACCAGAAAGCGAACATTTGGATAGTATATATAAAAAGCCATGTTTCGAAACATTATGCCCCGACAACCCAAATTTATTTACATGGACACCCTGTATCCCTATGTCATTGTTTGATTCTGGTCCTGCAATTCCCTTTACAGCTGCCAGGTGGTGTCAAGCTGCCATTGGACCTAGAGGAGTGGATTGTGCCAGAGGAGGACACAACCCAGCAACAGTCAAGGTGTGTGCTAAACTTCAGTGTATCTGATGTAGACGTTATATCAGATAAATTCTGAAATTCAATCAATATGTTACAGTATCTTTAATCATCAATAATTGCTTAATTGAACCTCAAATATACTAGTATATTGTATTTTGTAGTTTGAGTAAAAGATAGATGCAAAAGGGCCTAAATGCCAATTGCCTCTTTCTGACAACTTAATCTACCTATGGATCCCAAAGAAATTAAAGAAAATCTATTAAACATTGTTTTCAGTTCAAATTCAAAACAATTAAATCTAAACTAACAACCAAGTGTTGCTAATATTATAAGAAACTACCCTCTTCTTCAAGTGGTCTTGGTGGGGGTTATTTTGTAGATAACTCTTCATACGCATCTGTTCTGTTCTGTCCTGTCATGTCATGTCATGTTATGTTATGTTGTGCATCTTTTGAAATAAACCATTCATATACAATATGTCATCGTTTTGCCACCATCAGTTATTTTAAGACTGTACCATGTTGTTGCCTCCTACAGAATGCAGACCAGTCTAAACAGTGTCAGCCCCGGGACCCTGGGTTTCCTGGATCACCTGTTCACCTCGCTTGTCCCCTCACCTGATGATGGAGACCATGATGCTTCCCTCAGTGTCCATGCAACAGCAACGGAAAAAACTGTGTCTGTTAAGAAGAGAAAAATCCCACCTGTAGCACAGAGCACACCTGTGTACAATTCACCTTTTCTTCATCCTGGAGAGGGACTTCCTGACAACCTAGACATGGATCTTGGAGGTAATCTTGACCTTGAAGTACTTTACCACACACTGTACCAATTTAATCAATATTGGTTCTCAATCCACCTGATTCATTTCTTTCTGATTTGACAGTCCCAATATGACTAAGTTCAAGACTGCCGTAAACAGTTTCTTGTTGAACTCTTAGAGATTTTCTAATTTATGACAATTAATTATGTACCATGCAATTATGTATTATGTATAATGTATCTGATAATTTTGGAATCGAATGTGACTGTGCACTTAAGCGAGGGGAATTGATTGATGTGACATTATATTGAACCGAAAATCATCGATATACGATGTTAAGACCAGGTTCATTTTGCACTGATTAGAAAAAAAAAAAAAAAAAGATATTTAGGTTCTGAATCATCTCCAAAATGCTCATACTTTGGCCCCAATAGTTGAAAAAGTCCTTGTTTTCCTAGCTGTTAGCTTTTCCATCTATCAATGCTTCTGTTTGATTATGTTGAAAATTCATTGTTTGAATTACATGTATAAACAAGCCTTTTATGTTGACTTCATGGGTCTAATTGTAGCATTTGGGGCTTTCATAGGATGCTTAGGCCTGTTTTTTTCTGCCCTGTCACTTCTGAAAAAATCTGAGACTCAACAAGTTAAATTGGTATGCCTGAAGAACTTTAGAGTTTCAGAGGACATTGTAACTACCTGGAATGTACAGTAATATACATGTTGTGATGCAAATGTGTCTTGTTTCTCCACTAGAGCCTGTTTGGTCTGACATTTCCAGTATCAGGAATAGACTGTCCAGCCATGTGCAGGTAAGGGTTAATATTGTATCAACTCATGGGGCTAACAGGAGGGCTTTGGAAAATAATAGGAGGTGGTGTGTTCAACACACTTCTAGGCTGAGATGAAAGTGGGAATGGGTTCAAAAGTTCTTTGAGTTACCTGGGCCATGGTAACATTCAATCCAAAATTTCCTTCACATGCTCAGTGTGCGCCTCTTTCAAAACTTAGGAATTGATGTTTTTACAAATGAATTCTTTTATTTAGGGACTCAATTTTCTCAACTTCTGGCACATTTTGCACTGTAATTGTGTGTTTTCTTGGGTATTGGGTGACCCAATCCATAGCTGGCACGTCAGGTGATACACCATGCTGTATTCTGTATATGTAGACCCATAGGTGTCTTCAAACATACTATAGGCTGTATTGAAAGTGAGTAGATGTGCCATGTGTATCTTAATGTAATCAATGTACAATATTTACAATGTGAACATTTCTGCTGTTGTTTAATCAGGGAGACATTGTAGTCCAACCCACAAAACTAACCTTTGGAGAGGACAGAAGGGAGGGTGACTCACATGCGGAAAGCTCCAAGTCAGCAAGGAAAAGAAAGAGGCAACAATCCAACAAGCAAGCAGAAACAGAAAACTTGGAAGATGTCACCCACCCTGCAAAGAGAAGGAAAGAGGACAGAGACACGAAAAAAGATGAAACAAAAGAAACTGTACAAAACCTTGCAAAGGGAAAGAAAAGGAAAGCAAAAAGTGGCAATGTTCAAGAAACACAATGTGAGAAGAGTAAGTCACAGCCTATGGAAGTCGAAAATACTCAGAAGGAAACAACACTACATTTGCCTGTGGAAGAAGATACTCCAAGTGAGACGAGAAGGAAAAAGAAGATGAAAGCCAAAGTTACAAAAGAAGACAAAGGAGATTCTCACAAACCACTGTACAAGCCAGATGAGTTTAGGACACAATCTTTTGAGAGAAAACATCTCCATAAAGATGTGGAAAATCCTGTTGTAGTAAGTATAGGAAAGGGAAAAGAATGGATGTTGAATGCTAGTACATGTAGTACATTCAAGGAGTTGTACCAGTGCTGTCAGTTGATTGGTGAGAAAGTCCAAGAAGACACAGCAGCAGAAGCTAAACTGCAAAAACTCACTTCGAAAATCAAGAGGTGTGCTAAGATGGAGAGCAAAGGGAAGAATGTGAAGTTTGACTTGAAGTTCTTGAAATCTAAAGTACTAACACTAACAAGTGTGGGGCGATTGGAGCAATGTACTCTGATACAATGGTCAGAAAAGGAAGACAGAAGTCTCCAAGCAACAGATTTTGAAAGTTTGAAGGAAAGACAAGATACTACATGCACTTTCAATACAATTACATGTACTGAAAGTGCGAGGGGTACACCTACAATATTGAGCCCAGAGAATATATCCCCTGTAGTAGACAAGAAACCCAAGCAAGTGACCCCTAAGTTACTATCAGACATGAAACAAGATGCTACAGTAAAGGAAAAGAAGAAAAGTGCTGTGAAGAATAGAGTCAAAAAGAACAAGAAGTCAGAGACCAACTCATTTGCCAAAGATGACATACTGTTAAAGAAGAGGAAGGCATGCAGTTTAAATGACACAGATGAAATAGATGACATATTCAGAGGGCTTGACTAGCATGTGGTAAAGTGTAAATCCTGTCATCCTACGTAATTGGGTTTGCGGAAAAACCTGTCCACCTTTCAGGCCAGACGTGCTAGCCTGGCCTGGTGGACTGGCCAGATAGCCTGGCCTGAAAGGTGGACAGGTTTTTCCGCAAACCCCTACGTAATTACATGTGTGAATTGAGATGGGCCAAATTATGCCAAAAAATTATTTTAAGGTATAGGCACATCAATGGTTGATATAAATAACGACCAATATTAAAGGTTATTTCACTTAATCACACTGCAAAGTTGAACACGTCTTCTTTGTGTTCAGTGTTGGTCAGCAATGCCCTTGATCTACAATGGTGTAAACACTGATGCACTACAGCTTTTGCTGAGGTAGGGAGGTTGTATGATTTAAGTAAGTAGTTTCATCAGGTTGGTAAGTCAATTCTACATCGTTTTCTTTGGTACACAAGTTTGCCAAAAAAAAGCTGGTAGAGAACAAGTATGGTTGACAACCATACTTGTTCTCTACCAGCTTTTTTTTGGCAGCTGGTCAGCTGCCTTCATCAAGACTGTGCATGTTATCGACAAGATTATGCCTTTAATAATTCTGGAACGCAATTCTGACACTAGTTCTTGTGGAGAAGAAGAAAGAGGCTTGGCAGCTTCTTAATACTGAGCTTAAGTCCACCAAGGGACATCTTGCTCATGGAATGCTAGATAGAATTGGTATGATAAAGGCTTAGAAAATATGTACCGCCAATAGAAGACCTGTTCGTCGTATCCTGTTTCAGAAATACACTAGACAATTGTTGGATAATCAGGTTTAGTCAAATAATTTGACATGACCCATGCCCAGAGAGTACCTCCGGGTCAGAGGTCACGCTTCCTGTCTTTGTTAGGACAGGTGTGAAGAGCGGTTTGCTGGGTTTTCCTGCGTTGTCGAAATTTCATCATCGCAGATCACAGGGTTGGATAGTCTCTACAATAGGCTGTGGACAAGCTGACCTATAGCCTAGGTAAGAATACTAGACTTACTATATATTAAAAGACCATAGGTACAAATTATGCAAACCCATTTCTCACCGTTTTACACTCATAATTTTCTCATCGTTTCACACCCATTTCTCACCTTTCCACACCTATATTTTCTCACCTTTCCACACACACAATTTTCTCATTGTTCCACAACCATCCCTCGGCATTCTACATCCCTTTTTCGCCGTCCCGGTAGGAGTGTTACGCTAATAAGAGGCAGTATGCATGGGGATTTGGAGGGCTAATCAATCTCCCGTGAAATACACACCGGGAAACCTATGTGAGGCGGGCGGGACAGAACCTTTGCAGCCCCGACCACGATCAGACTAGATACCAGGCTATGCTCGTGCAGCACCGTGCGTGCAGCCCCTATTGTCCGGCTAATACGTACGCCAGAGCCAACAGGTGTGACAAGCCACAGTCCTTTGTTCTCCCCTGTCCTTGCCACATAAATTATTCATATATCAATATAATGCATGTATAGGCCCAATTTACTCGAGGCAAAATATTATATACCATAAAGGTAACATTTGCAAAGCGAATGCATAATGTTTACCTTCGCATATGGTCTGCTCTGTTAATTCTTACTCAAACACATTCATATATATGGTGAGACAGCTAGGAGCTTAAATCCCTCCTGCTATAAAATTGCAACATGATGTAACCCAACATTAGTTACCATGGTAACAGTCTGGTTCAGGTCTTTGGCCTTTTTGGTTTGCAGAAGAAGAGGAAACGTAGCAAAAACAATATGTTTTACTCAGGTAAACATAAATATTTAATTTATAAATAATTTCAAGGATCGAGAAAGAACCGTTGAAAGGGCCGTGGCTTGTCAGACGACAGACAATAGGGGCTGTGCGAGCATCCTCCATGATAGACTTTCGTGGTGGTGGTGGGGGGGGGG